AGGGGTCCAAGTTATATCTCATCTGGACATCCTGATTCAGAAAAATAAAAATGAAGACATCTACAATTGTTTAACATGATGCCCAATTCTGTTAAATGCAGATACAATGCCGATACTGATCCATATAGGCACATCTTCGTATTCGCTCTAACCATTCAGTCAATGTCGATCCAGTACAACCTGCCCTATTTGCACCCGATTTATAGTTCCATGCTTTAAGTAACAGCATCTATCGGCCTTGAGAGGTATGAGCTAGCCACCAGAAGTGACGCACAATACAGGCACGGTCCGTAACCCCGCAACATATTTAGGGCCTAGACTTATCTGATCGACCCTGAAACAAACTGTCACATTTACTTAGGTACTCCTGCATAGGTACGGGATCCATATGAGAGATCTGTATTTTGGAAAGATCCTTTCAGCTGTATCTTCTGGGAAGTGTGAAGAAATACTGTGTCACGTTTAAATATATACGGTGGAGGTGGAGGTGGATGTTGAATGTGTTGAATGTGGAATGCGATAAGACGAATCAAATATATAGTTCACATGTACTCCATAATCAGCAATGATAACTCAGATAGCACTGCTCCGTACCTATACTTGTGTTTATTCAAAGAAAATATGCTGTGGCTTCATCTTTGGAAGGCAAATATCAAACAGCATCTGCGTACTACGTACTATGTGCTATTCGCTGGCATTTGCTATCCACATAGGGAATATAAAGACGACTTTTTCATTCACCCACACTCTCCTCCTTTGATTTTTTTCTAGTCATCTTGGGTCGTCATGACTTCAATATCAACTACTCCCTTAAATTTATATATATATTCATCTTCCATAAACCTCAGCATTGCTATTCTCATCTAGGCGATGAAATGGCGGGTAGTCTAGGCAGACATATAGAGGTACAGCGGGCGGATAATGGTGTCCACTTTGATTATAACCATTAGAATGATCCATGGAAGAGAGAAAAATAAAAGAACTTCTCACTGAGCCTCCCAATGTTCTCGTGGAACCAATCCTAACCAGCTCGAGGCAACTGAGTGCATCCGCATGGCTTCCTCCTGGTATGTGATATCCATCTAGGAGAAGGTGTTCCCGGCTGTATTCGCATTCATGGGAAATGAAAGGAGTCGATGCTCAGAAAGTGGCCATGCTACACCACCGTGGGTGCTTTTAAGAAGTGGACATTTCGGTACAAATTGCTAACACGGTCAGCTCTTCTCTCTGTCATCCAGCAGGCCCATTCTATCGTGTCGAGAAAATGTCTTGCGACTCATGTAGGGGGAGTCGAAGAGAACATCAAAACACCATTATTTGCGAGACAATAGCGCACAGTGGAGTATGCTGATTCTAGAGTAGTGAAGATACAGTTATCTCTTTCCTCATGATTTCGTCTACACCCTATATTCAGAGCTAGAAAGCCTTCATAATATCATGAAATTCGAACTTATTTCATAATTATATATCGCTAGTCACATTGCGTGATCTAGTATTTGCTTGAGATTATCTAGACTTTAGATATTAAGATCTCAATCAGGTAAGAACCAATGACAAGGTAGTCAACCAGTGGCTCATACATTATATGAGTCGTGTGGCAGAAGAGCCCTGGAGCAGCTTGGGTGGTGGGGCTGTCCCGAGTGCAGGCTGCTACAGCTAGCAAGGTCTTACACTAACCACAGTGGTCATTGCAACCAATATACAACTGCACCTTAGTGGTTTGTATATCAATGTCAAATGTGAGTGCGTAATTGTGAGACTAGGAATTGCCTTGGTCTGCGAATACAAGAATATTGTATCTCATGCCACTGGATCTTAGCCATTGCCAGCCCGCTGTTGCATCCAGCGCAATACCCACTCAACTAAGATGCTCAAGTCTTGCGAAACCTCAAGCACTCTAGCAATCTTCTTTTGTACATCCTGAAGCCCTGGATCAAGGTTATCCATACCCTGCATTTCAGTGTCGCCACCTGTCTCATCATCCACTAAACCAGCAGTATCCACAACTGAGATCTGGCCGTTCAGCCCGACTTCAAAACAAATTGCGATTTGTCTGGGGGTTTGAATGAATTGAGCGGTTTCGGAGTTCTCGTTGTAGTTCCTCTGATCTGTGATGAGTAACATGAGAGCAGGCGATTGGCCGAGTTGAATACGCAATGTCACGTCGACTTTGACGTCGTCCACAGACAAATGATTCGGACTCTTTCCTCCACTGGAGGGGGTTGAAAGTTCAACACTAGAGTCATTTTTGCTACCATCCGAGCTACTCAGACCGAGCAGGAGATTCAACCTCTCCTCGTTAGGATCATCGTTGTTCAAGATTATGGGCCCGTCGTGGCCAGCGAAGAGGTCTGGGGGTTGGACAGGAGGAGCGCGGGTATTTTTGGGGGTGGCATTTGAAGAGTCGGCCGTGTTGGCCTGGTCCTTGGAAGGAACATGGAACGTCTTCCGAATCAAATTGGCTAACACGGCATATTGCCGGAAGATCTAAACTAGGTTAGCCAAAGTCAATATTGGACGAAGACACACATACTGGAAGGATATCTGCGAGCTGTCGGGGGTGCGAGAAGGGTAGATCACGGATGGTGCAACCAGTAATGGACTCAAAGGATTGGAAAGTATAGTTATGTTGTTTCTTATATTGCTTGCCATTTGAGTCAAAAGCATGCACTGACATCCGGCGCTTTCTACGGCCAATTTGAGGGGAGGAAACGGGTAACGTCATCGGCGAAGATTCCGATACCAGCAAAGCATCGTACGTGATCATCTTAAACTCCTGTGGTAGCTGCATACCAAGCTGACGATAAATCTCGGAGGCTGCAAGAATAGGGACGTCGAGTGCAGGCTCAAGTCTACCGACAAATCGGCGGTTGGGTGGCGATGATTCTAGCATGCTAGAGTCCAACGCCATGGGGTCATGGTTGCCATGGGTCAATCGCATCGTCTGCGGAGGATCAAGCCAGTTCACAGACCCAGCAGCACCATTTGATGGGAGCAATTCGGTGCTTTCACCTGCAGTAAAAGCTTCATTCCCAACCCATTCCTTTGAAATGCGCAGGGACGGATACCCCTCTTCGCATTCAATCATGACAGTCCATGACTTGCTTTGATCATCCAATTCGCCCTTTGAGCCTTGACCGTGTTGTGGGTCAATCTCCATAGCATCCGGAGATGGTAGGCTCTGCTTTGCATCCAGGACTTTTGCTTGCTCAACCCAATATTGTAAGCCGAGCCCGATTCGAGTCCCCTTGTGCATGGTGGGACGTCCGAGGACACCTGCGCAAAGATGCTGATACTCGCCGCCATACTTCCCATTCTTGTTCTCTTCCACCCAGATCCGCCTGAAGTTCTCTTCGAGATTCTCCAAGGCCTCAAAACAATTGACCTCTTGGCTGAGTTTGTCAAGTTTTGCAAGCCATTGGAGATTTTCGTGGAACTCTTGGAGTGATCTCCATTTACCACATTCAGCCTCCTCCGGGGACTGGGCGAGCGTTCGTTTCAAGACCGCTGTAGCTTCCTCGCGCCGCACTCCTTCCGTGTATTCAGGCGTGGCATATCGTAGACTGACATCTTTGACGACATCTTGCCCAGCGTAGAAATCAATCTCAAGATCGACAAAGTTACCAGCGATGTTGAGATTATCGTCCTGCCAAATGGACTCAAAACCTTCCAGCCGACTCAGCCGTTCCACGCTTTCACGCGAAACTCCTCTACCAGAGACCCGGGCTCGTAGAAGCTGAACGACCTGCTCGACACGATGTCTCTGCTCTTCGTCATTGTCGCGTGCGACTCCAAGCTTGATTCCCTGCATCCCGAGGTTTTGGATGTCGCTCTCGTTCATGCCCGCACCAACAAGACCATCATGCACTGCAGGAGAAGGACTGATGCCAGTATACCCACCAAGCGCCAAGAGAGCCGAAGGCGAGCTGAAATTGACAGTGTCGTCAACCCCGCCAGGGACGGCGAGGGGTGTAGCGTATTGATGGGACGAAATACTTGTGTGATGCGCATGTGCAGCAGGCCCTGAGGCTGTCGGTGTTCTCATTGAAGGCGATTTATGGGCGAGAGATCGCGATAGAGGAGCGGAGGATGGGTGGGGAGAGGAGAGATGGGTTGGCGTCGCGCCAGGTTTGGCTGAGGGAGTCGCCATGGTAAAATGAAAGGAATAGCCAGAACAGAGTGCCAATAGTAATTGAAAATTAGATATAGCAGATCCGTCCGAAAAAATTGGGTATCATAAGAAGTATTGAAGCACAAAACTAAAGAAAGCCGGGTATCGTTGAATGCGACTCAATTCTTACCGGCGCAAGTGCCAGTTTTGAGAATGCACGAGGGAAGAACTGTCAAAGGAGTATATAGATCAATACCATGACGCATCCGAAGCTCCCCCGTTCCCATGAACACTGCAATTAACAAGCACGATTTGTTTCCCAATGATGTTCTAAACAGAGAGCTCCCCGTCAAAAGAAGATACGATCACGTGTGTTTGCACTGTTTGCATTCATCGTCATATCTAAGGTTTGCATCAACACATGAATGAATCAGGACTACATCTGTACTGTTGTTGAATAAGTGTGAACCAGAATGTACAAAAGAAGTTGTATTATGAAAAACACACAAAAAAAAAAAAAGCAATTTCCAGCAGTGTAGGAACGAGTTTTCCGATGCAGCATAAGGTGTCGCCCTTGATACCCTGGATATCCTAGCTTTGGCGATGATGATTCTCGTATGTCTACAGGAATCCGTAAAATTCAGCAATCCACATATCCCACCAATTGACCTGATATTTTCACATGTACGTCGCACCTGGGGGCCATTCTCCCGAGTCTCAATCTTCCCATATAACTCTTGAACAATCGACATTAGAACACACTTTACCCACACACAGCAGCACGTTCCTTGCCTCTTGCTCTTCTTCGGCACCCAGAGAAGTCAATATAGGGAAATTGACATGAAGGCGTTAAATGTCGCATATGCCCACAAAACTGCACTTGACCGCCATGTCTTTCAATGGTGGTGGTGTATCCAACTGGACTTTGGTGGCTGCTCCTGCTACTCATGCCGAAGCATGGTGCATGCGGTGTGTCAATTCCATTGCGAACATCCCCGCTGGCTTATGCCAGAACTCCACGGCCGGTATTAAATGTCAATACTGTCATCTGCAACATCAAACTTGCACACCTCCACCATTGGTGCACGCCCGTGTGCACGACCTCATCATCGCGCAATGCCAATCTTGCCCATTGGAGCCAGCTATCGCTGCTTGGGATGGCCATTTGACCTACCATGAGCTTGATCAACTATCTACCCGCCTTGCAACCAAGCTCGCAAAGCTCAAGATAATACAGCCTGACAAAATAGTACCTGTTTTGGTGGAGAGATCTGTGTGGGTTTCAGTCGCCATCCTGGGTATCTTGAAGGCAGGCGGTGCTTTTCTTCTTATGGATATCTCATTTCCAGATGAGTATGTTAAACAAATTTGTGCAAAGATTGAAGCTCCGCTTGTTTTGGCATCCATTCGTCAAGCCTATCGTGTGAAACCACCAAGTCCACTTGTTTTAGAGGTGGGAGCTAATACACTGTTGGCTGATGATGAGGAAAAATGTACACACCTTCAGTCGGCTTACGCACGACCATCTGATGCATGCCATGGTCTTTTTACCTCCGGATCCAGCGGGAATCCTAGAGTTGTCGTTATAGACCATGCTGCGGTATGCACTGCCTGGGCACAGCCGGTAGCCACTCAACTGATGCTTTCGTCATCATCTCGGGTCCTTCAATCTAATTCCCATGCATTTTGTGCTTGCGTTGTTGAGTACCTTGGGGCCATGATCCATGGAGCTTGTCTATGTATAGCTCCAGAGCCGGGCCAAGGAAATGATACAATGAAAACCATTCGGGAGTTGAACGCCAATTTTATCATCCTGACTCCCTCTGCATCTCGCTTACTGGATCCCAACCAGGTCCCCTCACTCCAAGTCGTTGTTTTAGCTGGCGAGGCGCTGGGCCCCCTTGATCTAGAGAAATGGCAAGGACGAGTGCAATTGAAGTGCATGTATGGATTGGCAGAGGTTGCGGCATTCGCCTTGCTTGCTGATTTGACCAACCTTAACTCAAACTACCGGGAGATTGGAGTGCCGATGCATACATGGAATGCTTGGATCGTAGACACCAACAATGTCGAAGATTTGGTACCACCCGGTGGGGTAGGTGAGCTGCTGCTAGAAGGTCCCAGTCTGGGACGTGGCTATCTCAACGATCCTGCTTGTACGGCCCAGAATTACATTTCGGCCCCTTCATGGCTCATGCAGATTCGACCCACGGCGTCACATGGCTATCGCTGCTTGAATACAGGGGATCTTGTTCGCCACTCCCCCAACGGAGCACTTGAGTACATCCGCCGAAAGGATGTAACCGAAGTAAAGATCCGAGGGCAGCGTATGGACCTTACAGATGTTGAAAGACATCTCGCCCGACAGTATCCTACATCTACTCAAGTCATGGTGGATATTATCATTCCATCCGATGATATTGGCCACAATGGCATCATGTTGGTTGGCTTCATCCATACGGAGTCCTCACATCACAATATGCAAAACAAAAACGATGAAATATTTGCTTCAAAAATTGAGAGTCGTGCAAAGGCAGCCACTGTTCTTTCTGCCATGAAGGAAGCGCTTCCTACATTCATGGTCCCAGACGTCGTTGTTGTTCTCAACCGGATCCCAGCAACAACCTCAGGCAAGCTACACCGCGATCGACTACGCCGCCTAGCCTCAAGATTGCCTCGCAGCACTTTACTGGCGTACGGCGATGTCTAGCTACTAGATACTGATAGGTGCTTAGAAAGGCTTGCTAAGTAGATCATTGATGAAGCTTGTGTGTAGGCTCTACGTGTTGTGCTCGGGGAGATGGTGGTTGCAGATAGACCGGTAACACATCAAATGGATTGAATCAACTTGGACTACATTCGGAGTAAATATGTATAATGGTTCCCTTAGATGATACATATCAAACCTGCCTTCTGTATTACAGCTGCAGAATTAAGCACATCTGTTCTTCCTCACAAATACCAAAGGACGACGTTTATTTTGGCAATTTTCAAAAATAAGAAACGCCGGAAGCTAAGACGGGACCTCGGGAAATCCCGAGATACCGAACCTTATTATTAACAGGCCATTTCAAGGTTATTTGGAACCTTGGAAAATACAAGAAGCGAAAGCAAAGAACTCAGAGGAATGGATTCAATATGGTTCGAAATTCAAAACAAAATCCTCCTTAATCCATGTCTCACCACACAAAAAATGGAGGAATGTTGCGAATTACAAATGGGCAGCATTGAAGAAGAGGACGAATCGATCACGAAGTCGAAGTGGTCCTAAGAAGAAAGAGAAAAGAATATCAGATGAGATGAGCATGAAATAAACATTGCACCGTACTTACAATCCAGGGGTGGGGACAGGGAACGTCTCCAGCATGCTTGCATACCATGTCGCAATCGCAGGTTCACAGTGGTCAAATTCATCTTTAATCATGTCCAGGATAGTTTGTCGGAAAGAGAGAACTGAAAGGTACCAGGGTAAGCTGACGTCAGAGTTAGGATCAAGACGAAGGTTTTCAAGGGCACGGTGCGCAAATTGAGCAGATTTCGGGTGCAAAGTGCCATCAGGACGAGCACCAAGAGGGGCCGGTTTTTGCATCAAGCTACGTTCAGTGGCACAGTACTGAATGTAGGCAGATTTGTCCAACTAGATCCCTCGATTGTCAATTATTGGCACACAAAAAGGATCAAAAGCAAGGGAGACTCACTCCAAGCTTCCTGGCATTTAGGGCATGAGTTTCGGCATGGGACTTTACCACGGAGTCGAAGGCAGCACAAAGATCCAGTACAGCCACGGCAGCAGCCTGGATAGTATCAGTGTCGTGAAGAAATTCGACAATTTCGGTCGCTCCAGAACCGTACTCCTCGTTAACCCAGAATCCTTATACTCACTCCAGCAAAGCATTTAGTTCGAATCCATGGCCACGGATCCCCTCGTACAGCTGATTCGAAATAAGCATGACACAAAACCAAAACGGAACTATAGTCCACTCACCATTTGGCATTTGCTCCGGACGGGGCAACAGCGCTGACATAGTTTGGACATGACGGCATCCCAAACGCAGTTCACCTTCAAAGGCTGCTTCCAAGCAGCCTCATTCCATTCCCGCAAGGCAACACGAAAACAGGATATACACCAACCTGTTTCGGCTACAACTGGGTGCTTTTTGAGTTTTTGGTGGGAGCCTTGACTACCAGCTAGCCTTTTGATAGCGGCTGTGGTCTGTTTTGTCGCTTTGGTTGGGGGTATAGGACCCCTTGCTGCCCGTTTTGCCTTCTTAGAAGGCATGGTAAGTAGTAATCAAATGAATCTTGAATGAGAGGGGAGTAAAGAGACGTTAAATTGATAGAATAACAATGATGAAAAGAAACGTGGAAGATACAGGAAGAAAAGAAAGGAGAGAGGCATAGGAACATGAGCCTTCGTCTTGATGGGGTAAGCAAAGACGTGTCGACAAACAAACAATACGTCAGATGGGAAGTCTAGTGTCACTGGCTTGGCGGGGGAAAGACCATTCCCAGATAAGAGGATGATGCCTCATGATAACCAAGGCACTGTCACCACCTATACGTTGACTGGTACATTTCTACCAGGTGAATCACCAAAGTGGACGCCCCTCTAAATCTAATCCTCCTACGCTTTGCGAAGAAAAACACGCTCAAGTATTCCTTGATAGAATTAGCCAAGGAGGTAGTGCTCCCAAGTCCGCCCATCGCAATCACAGTTGCAAGCCTAATGAAAGTGGCGACGGGTATCTGGCCAGGTATTAAGTGGGCACATCATGGACTTTGCAGGCGTTGAAAGTATTCTTGGTGTCTATTCAAATGTGTCTATTCGGGTTCTATCAGCCAAAGTGGAGAGTGTTGGACCTCTTTCAGACTGTGCAATGTAGGCTCAGCAATTTGAACCCGGGTACTCCCTGTCTGAGGTTCAGTCCACGACCCTGGTATTTGGTGGCTCGTTTGAGCCATAGTATTCTGTACATAGTATGTAGAATGATAGCCCAGGTCTTCACACCAAGTAACCTGCTCAGTGAGGGTCATTGCCGGAGGATGCTCGATCAGCTGTGCAAAGCAGTGTTTTGGCTTGCTGCTCACCCTTATCATTTGCTGCTGAGAATTGAGCCTCGACACTTCTTGTTCAAGAGCAAGGCAGCGGAGGTAGACCAGGGTAGTTGTGACGAAGACTCACAGACACCAAAGAATATCCTCATACAATGCCCACTTTACGCTGAGCTTCGCGCGAGATTGTGAGGTCAACTGGGAAAAACTAGGCTCGGAATCATAGAGACGGACTGAATATGACAAGCTCATGTCAAACCTAGGGCCACAGGCCACGCGCTACGTGGTCAAATTCATGCACCGAACAGGTCTTCTTCAACAGTTTCAACATTTAGGGCTCGAGTAGGATGACGACAACAAACAACAGCCAATAGGCCTTGTGCCCATAGACCTAGGTGTGGAAGACGATGAGTATTAGCCAAGGACGATAAATGAAGATGTGGAATAAGAAACTTAGCTAGAGTTGACAACCATGCCAAACAACCGGCTGAAGAAACCACACCATCAATTGAAACCCAGACAGGGGGAGGATACGGAGGACAGGAGAGGAGAATAAAAAGCGAGAAGTGGGAATATGGGAGATACATGGTGCAATCAATCGCATTCATTACATGTTTCTTATGTATGTATAGATTTTTGGGCTTACGAGATGCAGGAATAGGCTGATTCCACACTTTTTTTTTTTACGGATCAGCATCTGCATACTCTCTGCATGGGATCCTAACTCAGCGTTTTGGCTTCAATTTCTTGCTTCGGTTTAATGAAGCGCCTGCATAGCCATATGCAACTATACAACATAGACTGCAACAGGTGAATTGATCTTGATTGATTGATTGATTATCACTTGCTGTCAGAAAGTGGGAATTCCTTTCATCAAGAATAGTTTGTTATATCCTGCCTTTAAATGGTATATATTTGTAAAAGCCCTAATCTAGGCCTTTGAGCTGCTTGGTTTGTGAATAAGATATATTGTTGCCTGATGAAACTGGCATAAAATTAACATCCCCAGTTCACCTTTCTTCTGGCAAATATTCACCGCCTTTGAAACCGCCTGCCATTTCCAATTGAGCTATTATCCAGCTCTCTCGGATGTGATCATATCCAACCTGCTACCTAATTGCTCAATTATTCACTGCCAAATATCTTGCTATATTCATATATATCTCAATGTTTGCAGCAAGAGCATTTGGCCAGCAGGCTCGGATTCTTCCCAAATGGACTCAATTCCGTTGTGTATCGACATTGGAAGGGTCTCCGCACATAGTATGTGATTGTTGTATCTTATAAAAGTCCCCATTGAAGCTAAATTCTTGATAGTATGTGTTCCCAAATGCTGAGCCAGCAAGCGGAACCCACATATTGTCACTGTTGCCCTCCGAGCCAGTCAACCCAGATTTGGCTATCGGAATCTCGACTCAACTGCCACCAACAACAGATTCCTTTAAAGAAAATCCAAAATTCTTGAATATAGTACAAGAAGCGTGCTCACAATACGCACATGAAGATCCCGATGCCAAGTCCCAAGCACAGGTCATGGTGTCTGTCGCTGGGGCGAACCTGAACTCAGGCGGTGTGTTATTAACCGGCCAGCGCGGAAGACGTCGTGGAGGCGACTCAAGAAGTGGTGCTAGTGGGCAAGGTGGTGCAGGTTCTGGTGGACGTGGGGGTTGGATTCATGTCTCTGACCAGAGACGGCCGCCTGACTATGGGCGGATTGCTTGGTACGGGCTTGCCTGTGTTTCAACAGCACATTTTATTCCATATGAGACTTATGCTAATGCCATTTAGGCCTGAGGATATGTTCGGAAGCCTTGAGGTGGATGCCAATGGTCAGTTCGTTGGAGAAAATGGCAATTATCAACCAAGTGGTATGTTTCCCGACTATATGGGACTTAACAGGCCAAGCTGATACTTAGCAGGTACCTATCGTATCCTGACCCGAGATGGAATGTAAGTATCCCCCTTCTTAGATGTTCCATCCTATTCATATTCAATGTTAATTGATTGATATAGTTTCGGATTGAGTCCTTTCCTCAGAGAAAAGCTGGTCCAGAAGCTCCGAGAGCTAGAGAAATGATCTCTTCAAAATTTGGGCACCTTGCCCATGGAATTCTCTGTACAATATATCTCAACCCTCAAACCGGCATTCGGTTGCTATTGAACTGCTCGCGCATGTCTTTATTTAACTAGAATCCTCTTGCGCTTGGGCTGTTCTCAACCCATCACATGTTGCAGGCTAATTGAGCTTCCTTATTTATGGAGCTGAGCTCGGTCGATGCATTAGATACTAGTGTGTCGCCTAGTGAATATGGTTCTTTTATATTATTATCTTTTCTACTTTGACAAAAAGAAAAATATATATTGGTCAAAAGTATGGCCGAACAAACATAAAACCAAGGTACAATTATTTCTTGAAGAAACTCGTAATCCGCTGCGATCTATCTGTTGCCTTTGTTCCACTAGACTTCTTCATAGGGCTATTATGTGTAGCACTGCGCAACTTATTTTTCTGCGGCGATGGCCCCGTTGGATCTGGATTGACCTTTCGCTTCTTACTTTCCTCTGTGACACCAGGGGCCTCTGGGCTATGCTCCCTTTTGACAACTGACACTGGGTTTGGGGCATTATTCTCGCTCTGTTCCAAATCCTTAGTTGGGCGGTCCTCTTCAATCATCTTCACCTTCGGCAACGCAGTCTCCTTCGTTTTCACATTGGCAAAGAAGTTTGCGATATTGCTTTTGTTTTCCTTGCTGTGGACAGGCACAATAAAGTTCGGGGAATTATTCCCAACTTTCCCAACCTCTTTGGGAACAGGATAGCACTCTAGTTCACCTTCATAGGGCTTGAGAATTGATTGGAGCTCCTTTGACCAGGTCTTTTGGCGGGGATCCAGCCATTTATTCATCGCGTCACTCCCAGGGTCTAGAATGACGGGCATACGTTCATGCAGAAACTTTAGGTAGGAATTAGAAGATGTCGTGATCACTGTGTATGTGTAGAGCTTTTCGTCAGAACCTGTTCAAAGTAACTGTCAGCCCGATTAATGCTTTATATCAGAAACGCCTAGACATACCCTCACAGGAAACACAGTCCCACAATCCAGCGAAGCACATCAGCTCCCCGTCTTTGCGCCGGATAAAGTGTGGAACCTTTTCTTTGCCCCCAGGCCCCTTCTTCAGCCACTCATAAAAGCCTTGGCAGATGACAATGCATCTCTTTCGTCGCTTCATGGTAGTCCACATCCCAGAATCTTCAATCAACGAGTCATCGCGACAGTTAATCGTGCGCATCATAGATCCGTAATCCGGTTGGCGCTTCGTCCAGAATGGAATGAGACCCCATTTCATGCTCTGGAGCTTGTATTTGATAACGGTGCTGTCTCCTGGCTTAATATCCAAGTTCGCATCATCTTTCCCCTTTTTGAGATCTTGGTTTTGGTGCTCGTTATCGGCATCTTGATGAGCACTGTGGCTCCCTGTATCGGCGATATCAGCGCGATAGACGGCGCCGAAGTTGCCCGGTGCAAAGTTGTATGTCTCTCTAACTGCATCGTCATCCGGTGCTTCATCCACTTGCATGCCTTGCTCTTGTAGACGATGTTGGATGTACGCCAAGCGCTTGGGACCGTCAGCTGGCGGACAGGCTAGATCCAGGAACCGTGACATACCACGCCCAAAGCGTATCGCCCACACATGATCAGCACAAGCCACTAGATCTATTCAATGGCGACGCCTCCGAGGTCAATGCTGGATCAAACCAGTGCATTTTTCAGACAGAATGGGCGGAAAGGCGAGTGCATACTCTAGCGGGCGACGTCATATGGCGGAGCGGAGCTTGGACCACTAGAAAACCGAGGGCGGACTCTTCATCAACTCACCCTATACCTACCCGCTCCCTCTCTATTCTCTGCATCAATTTCCTAGGTTGTATCGGACAACCACCCGCTAAATCAGAATCAAAACTTGCAATCTTAATCCGATACCCACTCGCACACTCCCAATGTTCCGCGCAGTATCACGGCGCACAGGCGCGCATGCCGCAAAACTTCTACAACCACAACCAAAGAGTCTCGCCCACTCAATACACATCAACAGCACCACCCGACCAACCCTCCAACCCCGAATCAACAATGGCAAACCACTTGCAGCCCCCTACATCTCCGGTACACGGCACCTCACGATCCTGCAGAAAATCGGCCGCAAATACCGCGAGGCATCTAAAGGAATCTGGCGCAAGAACCCCATCCTCATGCCACTAGCAATCTTCTCCGTTGTCGGCGGAGCCTTCATCTTCGCCTACATCTCCTACGTTGAATTAACTCGCGTCGGGCCGCAGTACCACAAATTCCCGCCGCCTGTGGCCGACGCTCTCCGCACGGCTATCTATTACACCGATATCGATCTCAACCCAGCCAAGGCGATGAAGTCGTACAGAGAGGCATTGCACATAGCATTTGAGATGGGCATACACCCATACTCGGATGAGATACTTGGAATCAAGCTGCAGGTCGCCATGATGCTGGAGAAAGCTGGACTTGTTAAGCCGGCGATTGATGTGTTGGAGCGAACGAAGAACGAAACTCTGGCCTGGGTAGAGGAAGTCACAGCAGGGAACGCTGCGGCGGCAGCCGAGAAGGTGAAGCAAGCACAGGCGCAGGTGCAAAAGACCGCGGCCGATGTCCAGGTTAACACCGAGGCGATCCAGGAAACTGAGGAGGATCTGAAAGCAAGGGCGCAGTACGAGGCTCGTCAACGAGATAAAGCGCTCAAGAAGGTCGTCGGCATTGCGATGAAACTTGGTGAGCTTTATTCCAGCGAGTATATACAGGACGAGAAGAAAGCCGAGGCTGCGCAGGTCGCTGCTGTGGAGATCTGTCTGAAGGAAATGCACCGTCGCCAAAAGCTGGGACTTCCCGTTGGAAGCTCTAACAGTGGCGAGGGGTCAGACGGCGAGGCGTGGCTGAACCTCACTGAGATCGCGACGGCATTGGCTGAGCTTGCCGCTACATATACCGCCAAGGAGCGTTATGAGCTGGCCATGCCGTTGTACATGCGTGCGTTGGATTTGATCCGCGCCGCTGAAGGAACTTCCATATCTTGCAAACAGGTAGTGCTGCTGAACGATGTCGCTACCGCCCTGGTCGGCCAGGTTCAACTGCCTGCCAAGTCTCAGCCGCAGAAACCTGTTACAGCGGAACAGACTGTTGAGGCTGCCCAGAAGTGGGCGGAGAAGGCCATTGAGGTTGCGGCGCACATTAAACCCCCGATACGTGATGAGGAGTGTGACATTACTTGTGTTGTTGCTACGTATAACTTGGGCGAGCTTGCTGAGCTACAGAAGAAGCCAGAGGTCGCTAAGCAACGGTATACTGAGGCTAAGGCGTTGGCTGATGGGATTGGATATGAGGAAGGGAGTACGATGGCCAAGGAGGCTTTGAAGCGACTTGGAAAATAATGGGTAGATTTGTGAAGGCCTCTCTGTTTAGCCTGATGTACATTATGACGAACGTTGGAAATAGAAATCTCAACACTACTGTATATTTCTCATTTGACGCTGCTTGAGGTACATCCGGCGGCTATCATAGCATACCTTACATGGGTAACAAAAGTAATAAGAAGTTACATGAGAACAGAGAACATTGAAGATATTAGTACACAGACATACGGTACGATGATTTTTACAAGAGATTTTCAATATTGAAAAATAGGAAACATTTTGATGCCTTAACTGGTATTAGAACATCACACATCTTGCACAAGATTCCATACATTGCGGATCCAGTAAGCTAGACATGTCAGAAAACCTTCAGGCCGGGGACATCTCAGTCCCGGCGAGAAGTGCTTCATTGCTCGTGGCTCATACATCCCAAACCAATGCTCTTCTGGCCGTATCTTTTGAACTTTTTTTCAATTCCCTTGTCAATAGAACAAAAAGAGGCCCCTCAAGCTCCGATACAACAACTCAAATCTATGCGCGCGACATAACACCCCAGGCACGGATCTTGTTGTCGGTGTAACCGGCGAACAGGGTCTGGCCGTCAGCGGACCAGGCCAAGCTGATGCACTCGGGGTCACGGCTCTTCTTGCCCTTCTCAACGAACTCAGGCTTGAGCTCATCAACCTTGGACTTCTTCTCGAGGTCGAAGATGGTGATGGAGCTGCTGGTGGCAGCGCAGAGCCAGTAGCGGTTGGGGGAGAAGACGAGAGCGTGGATCTCATCGCCAGCGGAGAGGGAGTAGAGGTGCTTGGACTCGTTAAGGTCCCAGAGCATGGTGGTACCGTCCTTGCCACCGGAGGCGCAGAGGGATCCGTCGGGGGAGATGGTGACGGTGTTGATGTATCCGGTGTGACCGATGTGGTCGGTCTGGAGACGGCAGGAAGCGAGCTCCCAAACCTAGACGCGGATCAAATGTTAGCGTCGATACCCTCAAAAGAATGTCAAGTGTTCAAGGAAATTTTTTTTCCAATCCTTCTCTCGTTCAATAGAAAAACAAAAAAATTGTTGCTGTGCCCATCAGGCAAAATGGGTGAAAAATTGTCTCATGGCCCCGAAGGGCTCTGAAGTAGCAAATACGTTTATGCAAACATCACGCGGGCAAAGCAAGGCGGGAAGGAAATTCTGTAGGGAGATTCGGAATCGATAGCGTACCTTGACGAGCTTGTCCCAGCCAGCGGAGACAATGACGGGGTTCTGGGGGTTGGGGCTGAAGCGAACGCAGGAAACCCACTCGGTGTGGCCCTTGTCGGTGATGGTGAACTTGCAGTCACCGAGGGTGTTCCACAGCTTGATGGAGCGGTCACGGGATCCGGAGACGATCTGACGGTTGTCGGCGGAGAACGAGACGGACAGAACATCGTTGGTGTGGCCGACGAAAGTGCGGGTGGTGTTACCGGTAGAGAGCTCCCAGAGACGGAGAGACTTATCCCACGAGGCGGACAGAGCGTAGGCACCGTCGGAGGAGATCACCTATAACGCAGACAAGACCATCGGTCAGCCAAAACCATTCCATCTTTTTTTTTTTTCGTGTAAATGCGCCATCCAAATTCCATCTGTCGCATCCAATGGCTTCTGGGTGTGGTTCATTCGGGAGAAGAAAAACGTACACAGTCAGAGACGATGTGCGAGTGACCCTCGAGGCTGCGCTTGGGGTAACCGTAGGCCTGCTCATCACGGGTAAGGTTCCAGATGATCAGGGTCTTGTCGCGGGATGCGGACAGCAGCATGTTGGGGCTATCATCAAGCATTCAAGTCAGAATTGTGTCCCTTTAAAAATTCAATCCCCGATCGGGATAGATCACTCTTACTTCTCCAGGGAGGTGGCAAGGGAAGTAACCCAGCCATTGTGGCCCTCAAGGGTGCCGCGAAGAACCAGCTGCTCAGCCATTATGGGAATGAGACAATGAAGGAGAGAGAGGGATGGGCGGAGATTGTCGTTGACTCTGGGGGGGAGGTAAAATCGAGATGGGAGGCAGACGTGCCCGCTCAAGCCCTAAGCCGCTTCGCTGCTCTCCTTGTGTGGTTTCCGTGGAGCCCTAATACTAAGCGAACACGTCACATGACTTGAATCTATACAGAGGTCTCGACTACGATGTATATCGGAGAATAAAGAATTGAATGTCGATTGGCATTGGAGTTTTCTCTGTCATATTTGAAATTAACACTTGTTTTATTTTTTCTATCTTAGCCCGTGAACTCTACACCAATTGATTCCAGTATCATCAAATATACACCATTCTTAATTCACGCCTCCTATGGACAATATGACCACTATGACAACTATAGTACAGTTTTTTTTTCAATCGACAAACTTCCAGAGTTCAATCTCTCCCATAGACCCTTAGGAGTTAAACACCTGAACATCAGGCATTCTCCCCAAGCCACCGCCACCGCCAGTCTTCTTATTCTTGGCCTTCTCAAAGCCAGTAGCACTCTTATCACGAACATGTTCTCTGAGCAGCGCGAGAACCTCGGAATTCTGCCAGCGCGACGGAACAGGTCGGTAAGCCGCCCTGAAAGCGCCAATAGTTTGCGCCCATTCACCGCTCTTGGCACTGGACTCCTTCCAATTCTCGGTGATGGTATCCTCCTTAGGAGCGGAGGCCGAGATCTCCTCAGGCGGATCTTGCGTCGCCCAGTAGTAGATGTCCCAATCGTTCTCATCGAGGAAGCCGTCGTACTCGACGAGCTGATCGTAGTCCATCTTGCCCAGGTAGACGTCTGCGAAGGTGGAAAGGAGCAGGTCTGACTCTAGGATTCCGCGCTTGCGGCTTTGGTCTGGGGTGGAGCTGGTTAGCTTGAATGGTTCTTCATATATTGAGGCACCAGATTCTGGGCTTAAGCATTGAGACCGAGGTGCCAAGCATGCATGGGAACGGGTACTAACATAGCAGGCGTGCCCTCTTCGTGGTAAGATCCTCTCCAACTCTCTTCAAAGGCTCAACCTTGAACGTAATACCCTCCATCTCACCAACGCCAAGCTCCGGCTTCTGCGCCCCGTCATCCTGGCGACCACCAGTGAAATGCTCAATCCTTCCGGGATACGGATCAGACGGTCTGTAATTGGGATCGACTGAGTTCAGCATCTCCGGTGGCGCGGGCTTCTTGCCGACATTTGGGAAGTCCTTTGTCATGGTGGAGGTAGAGTGAGGCACGAATTGGTTCGGGGGCTTGTTGGCCTGGTTTGCGCGGTGAGCTTTCACCTCGGGAGCAGCTTCATCGCTGCCATCTTTGAGGCGTAGAGCTGTTGCGCCGAATTGGCGGTTTTGTCTTGCGATTGTGCTTAGGGAGGATGGCACAGGTCGCGCAAGACGAGAAAGTATACGTGGGGCAGACATCCTGTTGCACAGTATCCTATAGAGAAAGGGTTGGGACTTTCTTTCCTCTAGGGATAAGGAGTTGGCGTTGATGGCTCGGCCTTGACATCATCCGGCGTAATGGGCCCGGGGAACCGAAAGCTCCTGCAATGCCCGGTGTTTGTTTTGTTTGCAAGGCTAAACATTCCACTGAGAGGCTGTTGATTACACATTTCTCGACAAAGTGCAGTTCTTTAGATTCTATCTTTCTATTGCGGTGTTTCTGGCCTTGGAATTGATGCCATTTTATATTTTCTATTTGCCTGTCTATTGTTTATGTTTAATTACTCAGACTGCTGCCGCAAGATATCGATCTACGCAGTAGATGTATACAACATACACAGACCTCACACAGACATCCAAAGCTCCCTCCAGGGCTGCTCATCAAGATACCTAATATATACCTAGGCAGTGCTTTACCGGCATAGCTGCCTAGGTAGATATATTCCATCCACGAATACTCGGATAATACCTCACTGGACGAAAAAAGAGCCTGGTAAAGCATAGCTAATCAACCAACCCCAAGACATCCATAAATCACATGCAAGAAACATAAAATATTATTAGCGCCAGGCTGCAGAAAGCATGGTGTACATTTTATATCATTGAGATCATGACTGTTTAACAGAATGCCACTCGACATTAGAGCAAAAGGATTTGCAATGCAACCGCTGCAAAACCAAAAAAAGAACCATCAAAGATGCAACCATTCCATGGACCAGTAAATCTAGATAAGGTGCTTAGATCTGCAACAACCAAATAGTCAGTAACAAGTTCCACCATCCACCACAACCACAATTCAACATACCTGAAGTAAGCCCTCAGATAAACAACCTGCCAAGCACCAAGACCAACAAGCATACCCATAGTTCCGAAAGCGAACCACTTCACGCGCTCATTGGTGCTCTCATTTGTATCACGCAAACGCTGCTCACGCGCACGCAGGTACTCCATCTCAGTCACGATATCAGCAACCATCTCCTCGATGCGGCGGAGGTCTGTTTCAACGGGCTTGAGCTTCTCCTGCGATTGGATGCTGTTCCAGTCGCGGGCGTCGGCGCCAATGTCGACGTCGAGTTCGATGGAGCGGCTGGGGTTCACGATGCTGTCTGATAGGGTGGAGTTATTTTAGCATCACTTTCTCTCTTTAATTCTGGAATTTGTCCTGGTGGATTGGCCGGGTTGTTCGAAGGGGCTACCACTTACTGTGGCCGACAAGCTGGTTCTCGAAGCAGACGTCGAAAGCCGTGTCTGCGGGCGAAGTGAACAGTTGACGCGTTTCGCCGACAACATCCTTAGGGCGACCGTGGTCATTGCCCATGGCGTCCTTGATCTATATAAAGAAAAGAAAAGTATTAGTCGCGATCCACAATTCAGCAATTCGGCGGGTTGGCATTCAAGTTCCAGCAGACGTAGGAAGAAATCCCATCTACATCCTGGAATAATTCCACATACGTGAATATTGACTCTCTGGCCATCACCTTTCGTACCGCCAACAGTGGCAGTGACAACGACGAGCTGGTCCTTCGAGACGAAGTTGCGAATGCATCGCTCGTTGTTGCCGCCGCCAGAGGTGGCGACGAGGTCGAATTTTAGGGCGTAGGTAAGCTGCACAAAAGCGAAGAGGAAGCTCAGGATGGCCCTCAGAGTGATTGGTGAGGTGCCCATTGTTGCGGCGTAGAATTGGCGGTTGTAAACACAGATACTTGGTGCTGTTGATGACACCTGGTAAGGGGAGTGTGGATTAACTTTGTTCCGGTGCTACGGTCCAGGGTCTATACTTCGACTGAAGGTTTTATCGTTTCACACAGCAAATATTGCTGTAATCTGATTGTATCAAATTTATCCAAGTCGATTTCGTACTACATATTGGAGTCATTGTGTTTAAAGAGGAATCAAATGGGTTCTGATTGTCAGGGCATTTAAAAATAGCCGAAGTAGTTATAGGTACATCATGGTATCTTGAAATCAACGCAAGCAATCGAAATCGAAGCGACGTCCCAATAGGAGAAAAAATAGAAAACTCAAAGTCCATATTAGTCGTTCAGTCTCTCGCAGAAAGGCAGAAAGTAAAATATTGCACAAAAGCTCAAAAGAAGATAAGAAACAGCCACCTTGTCGTAGCGATAGTAACAAGAAAGAAAGGAAGAAATGTCTATGTGAATGAAGTGAAGAGATGGCAGTGCTGTCGCCCAAACAAGAAAGATCAAAGTGATGGACATGATATGGAGATCGTTAGATGAATTAGAACGCTCAGCAAAGTAAGACATTAGTCGAGGATATTGTCAAGGTACTTTCAACCCATTAGACCTCGATCTTCTTTCGGCGCGTGAAGAAACGGGAGAGACCACCATCCTTCGCCTTGGAGCTCATCGGTGTCGATGAAACTGGCACAGGGGTTGGAGGAGGCCCGGTGTTTCGGAGGAAATCCGCTAAATCACCAGTCTCGGTCCTGCGGTTCGAAAGAGAAGGTAGGGTGCCGTTGTTGCGCTCCAGGCCAACCTTGCCAGAGTAGTTAGTCAGGACTGTAGAAGCGGTTTGCGTGGTACGCAAGGAGTTGTGGGAGGTGCGGAGCATGCGGGATTTCATGCCCGGTGCACCAGAATTAGATGTAGGAGCGCTAATTGCAAACGGTTGTGTGGATTGTTCGGGGGGAGGGGGAGGAGCAGTGCGTAGGAAATCCATCAGGCTCTCCTGCTCGCGCCTGGGCTTGGGGTTTGCTTCGTTTTCCAGAAGCTCTTCTAGAAGCGCATCATCGTCATCATCATCAATAGCGTACGGATCGCGAGCACGGCGTTGCTTCCGCACAGGCTGGGGCTCGTCGAAATCCGTGGCGCTTCCTGATGTTGAAGTCTTGTTTCGGTTTGAATCCAGCAAACCAGTTCGTGAACCAAGAGATGTCAAGGACTTATTAGGCGTAGATGCATTACCAGTGCTGACGAAGGAGCTGGATGTGGTGGTTTCCATCATAATATCATCCGAATCGCTGGTGTTGCGGAAAGGTGCAACTGTGCGAGGAATCCGATGGGCGCCTGCTGGCATAGGAGGTCCCTCGCGAATGAAATCAATGAGGTCCGAGGTCTGGGATCCTCTAGTCTCAGCAGACCGAGCTTGGAGTTTAGGTCTGTTTCCACGGGAGGTAGTAGAAATTGATGCAACACGAACAGGCCGCGCGCTCTCGGCAGAGATAGTAGTCTTAGACTCGTATGGCCCACTAGCAGGGCCAGTCGATCTCATGAATTCCGCAAAGTCACGGGTCGAATCCGAGGGTGCAATTCGCGCGTCCCGCGCCTGTCCAATCTTGCTAGACCTCGACGCTGATGAAATGCTGCTTAAGCGCGTAGTAAGCGGGATGTGCTTGGGTGACTCGATGGATTTGGTGTGGGCGATTGGGCTCATCTCTCCAGTTGTTCTGGAGGAAACCGAGGCGTGAGGACGGTGCTTATCTTCGCCTGGTGGTGCAGTGGTATTTAAGAAATTTGCCAAATCGGAGATGCCTGCCGTCTCTGACAGTGCCGTCTCTGATCGGGGAACTGATCGGTTGGGTGCGTCAGGGAAGGTCATTTCCCTCACACTTCGGGGAGTGAGGGTGTAATGAATAGTCTCATCACTATTAATCAACTTGTCCAAATCGGCAATGTCGTTTTCTACAGAGTCTGCGCTGCCGCGGGATGCGCGACTAGTCTCAGACGAGCTCCGCCTGCGGAGCGAACCGGATTCACCCTGTGCTCGACTCATGATACCCTTCAACTTATTGGATACCTGCGACGATGTAGTAGAGCCAGAAGTCACTGGACGCGTATTCTCGCGAGCACTGCCGAAGCTCCCAGACCGACGGGATTTAGCGATGATCGATGAAGACATCGATATCGATGGTCGAGACATGCGCTGAACAGCCGCTCGCTCCACCGTGGAGGCGGAGGCAGAGGCAGAGGGGCCTCGGTTGCTGGCTGTGACCTCCAACGGAGCAGGTCTGGGGCGAGTTTTCGATCGTTGCGAATTATTTGAACCAGAACTCAGGCGGCTGATATCGGGGGAGAGAGAATTTGAAGATTTTCCCGATTCGGGATATTCCTCCGATGACGAAGTCGGAGGAGTAGTGATCACTGCCATCTTGCTCTGATCGTCATCATCATTGGTCGCATCGTGGTTGACAGAAGATGTGACAGCCTCGATGGGGGTCACGGGTGGAGCCGGCGTGGTCTCAACCCCTTGCGTTGGAGGTTGACTCTCCGCAACGGCTTGCATTTCAGAGTCGCTAGTCTGTCCAGAGATCAACGTTGCATTGAGTAAACCGGCGTCCTTGGAGGATTGTCGTTTTGGTCGGTGTATCGTCGAAGTCAATTTGGGCTTTTCGCATGATCCAGTGCCCTCAATCACTTCTGGGTCTTTGTGATTCGGCCGATCGCCCAATGATACGACGGAGATGCGAGCACTGTTGGACTGATCGGTCATGGAGTCTTCGTCTTGTGCGACAGCGCGCAAGGATGCAACCATGTCACTGACTGCAGGAGACGTCTCCTCTTCTTCTTCATGCAAGACCGACATTCTCGTATTTTCGAAGCCTTCTGCTGCAGATTCGAAGGATGGCTTCTCTTCATGTTCTGTGAGAGCGATGCCAGGGGTAGTTTCGGATGCATCCACATATTCTGCTGATTCATCATCCTCGTACATAGTCTCGAGTTGCGTTTTCTCCGACGCAGTGGGTGATGGTTGTTCTGTTGGCGACAATACTGTTGTTGGCGACACTGGCTCCTCCTCAGCGGAGTCGGGTGGCGCTGCCCCATTAGGTAGAGACTTCGTACGAACATGGCGGATTGATTTGCCGGGTTCAATAGCCGATGCACTCACGGGGGAGCTATTTGATGAACCTGGAGATTTTGGCACAAGCGAGGGCGATGAAAACACCATCAGACTGCGCGGTCGCACCTTGTGAGCAACAACGGCTTCCATAGTCTGCACCTCCCCATCTAGATCACCAATGTAGCCTGGGACCTCGATCTCTAGAACATCGTATTCGCTCATTGGCAAGGGGATAGTAGTGGGGTCAAAAGGTGGGAGCGCCACGGGCAGAGGCTCCTCGGGGGTCATTGGTTCCTCGATGGTCACAATGCTGCTCTTTCGACTGTTTGCCAGGGAGTAACCCCGAGGGCGGAATGATTCACGAGATAGGGTTCTAGAAAGAGTGGTTCTGCGTTTGTGCTGTCTCCATGTGCGCCACAAGCGACCCAGGGTTGCATTCAGGGCCAACTTCTCCATATCGAGGTCTTCAACCACAAGTTGGTCGATCCGTTTTCGCTCTCCGGATCCACTACACTCATCCCCACTGTTGAGCTGTGCCGATAAACGAGACCGCGATGTCTCACCAGCAATGACGAGTGCGCGCTCGCCAATGTATTCGATAATTGAGGTAAGGAAAATAGAAGCTGCCGGTGTAATATTGTCGACATGACTAGTAAATCTGCGGGGCGCTCCATCGGTTTCTCCAAGGTTGTCTTGCGCGATAAACTCATCTTCGTCATCCTCTTCCATGTCACCTAGTCGTGTGTAGACCATGCACCGTAGACGAGTTAGCTTCCATGAGCGTACTAGATCAAAATCGCCGCCGGGCTCCTGGCCACCACGGAATTCGGTCTGTTCATCCTCCACTCCGCCCATAAATTCGCTCAACTCTTCTTCAGCCGCGGAGACGACTTCCTTGGCCAAGCGGGGCTTCAATACATCAGCCATGGCGGGTCGAATGGAAGCCAGCTGTGTCGACTTTGACGAAGCCAGGATATTAAATAAGAGGTTATCGAGGAATCCGTTCAGGAGCGATAAGGCAGCGGGGGTCACCAGCGCCGTGGCGCGAGCCCCGGTTTCCTCATCATCAGCGACAAAATCGGCGGCGTTGAACTCCTGATCGGCAGAGATAATATCTGAAGCTGCAGATGGCGAGATGAACGCTGGAGCAGGTGTCACGGACGGTGGGGAAATGAGATTGACTCGAGAAAACTGAGAGTCGCTGGAAACGACGCTGGGGCTGCGCGAACGAGACGCAACCCCAGTCTCCAGATATTCGGGTGCTTTTGTGGATTGCATTATGAGCCCCAGGTATAGTTAGGTGGAGGACTCAAGGACTTGAGAGCTTAGGTTGCCTGGTTGCCTCTTTTTTTTCGATATTCTTCCGCAAACCTCGAATTAGACGGGAAGGCACTGGGTAGAAATTGAAATTTCTAAATCATCCTGTACTCCCAGGAACGTCAGTCTGACACAATTCTGTGAGTGAAATCTGACTTGGGTGAAGTTGGGGGGGGGCGCCATTGTACCACTGCATGCGCTACTTCGCCCCGACCCCCATGACAATGGAAAGGTGGATTTCTAACTTACCCGTTTAGATCAAAGAGGCGATCAATGCTCATACCGCATTGGTATAGCGAAAGTACAAAGTAGAAGCAAAATGATGAGAGAGAATCACCCGTAAAGGCCAGGAAAGAAAGAAAGAGAGAGAGAGAGTCAGGAGTTATTATTCCACCTGAGTCAGTGGGGATTTGGGGGGAGCATTCGGGGTCGACTACCGAATAATTTATGGAGCAACTTGTATACAAATCTTACAATCTTACCTGATTACACTTTTATTTTCAGGTTGCATTGTAAAGACCCCTGTACCTTATTTAGGTTATTCCTCTATTGTAAACGCCATATCCTACTAGTGTTCACTTATATAGTTCACAGACAGTTACTATATATATGTATATCTTTTATGAAAGAGCTGTTCGAAGATGGTTATCTCTCTCCCCCTTATTGAGACAAGAAAAGGAAAAAAAAACAAAAACCCCATCGCAATCGCCCCAGGGGAAAAAAACAGAACAATGTTCCAGCGATCGGCACGCTAAAGTGCCCCGCTTACACCTCGTTTCAGGCCTCATTGGCTGTGGGTAGCCAATCATTGAATGAGGTTCCATGGATTCGAGGGGAACTTAGTCTTTGACGCCATTCCTTTTTTGGGCAATTATTGATTTTCTTTTACGATTCCTTAAAAGAGAAGAGGTGCATGCATACTCCGTACGCCTGGTAGTATTCTGTATTTCCAATTGTGATATAATATTTCTGTATATTAATTTTTTATTCAAAGGACCCGCTATGGGGCACATTCGGTAGTGCGGCTGTTAGCGCATATCATGCTTTTTCCACACGTTCCTCGGCCGTTCCACCGCTCCCAGGGGCACACGAGGATAAGCCTGTGGCGCAAAAATGCCATACTATGGAGACCTGGTCTCCATTCTCAAATTTCTGGAAACTTTATAAGTACGGAACAAAAACATGTATACTCCGTACTCCGTACTCCCTACGGAGATACCCATATTGCATGCACAATTTCTAAGTTTGAATCCACGGAACACTTTAAACATCTGAGACACAAAATACATTTCATCCATGGATGGATCCCAAATTATATCAGTTTCCCCAATCAGCATTTGCCTAGACGGCCCCGTGTTACACGCAGCCGTGCCTGATCTGAACCTTTCATTGCTCAACTCTGGATCCTCCAATCAATTCCTTTGCCGTGTTTCCAACCCATGGAATGTCATTCGATTCCATTATTAGAAGAACACCTTCTAAACGAATCAAAGGCTGCGATCGGTTTCTTATAATCATATGTTGTAGCTGAGAACGTGATGATATTATACGATGTAGTGAACGGGATGACCGGAGTACTCCGTACCCACACGAATGTCGGAGATTGACAGCACTTTAGGTCAAGTGGGCCCCATGTGGCAATGAACATAGGGTTATGTTGTATGGCGACTATTACCGCACTAGTAGCAGTAGCTATATGAATATTGTCACGAGACTTGATGCAAGAATATCAGTTTTCTCTACTCCGTGGACTACGTACTCCGTACACATTCCGCAAAAAGCAACGGATATTGTACAGCGTACTCCGTATATACTTCGTATTTCGTACAAGTTGTCCTTGCGCCTTGCAGTGCTGCTCCATACTTTGTACCCCGTACGTCCCCCCTGATACACCACCCTCGTGCATATGGACATATCCTGATATGTACTCCGTACTACCTCTCAGCCCTAGAAGCAGCTTACAATGTACTCCGTACAGCATCCATATATTAGGACCTCGTCGAAGTACTAGCTTTAGCCCCTCTCACGCAGAAGTTACTATGTCGCACAACGAGACACTATACGTTATAGCCAGCGTTAAAATATTGTCATTCTCACTAGCCGCTCAAATAAGCCTACCCCCACGCTACAATCACGTTTACTTCTCCATCCCCAACACCCCATCGCACCATGGCACGCGTGGCTATGAGTGGGGTTTATGATCGCCATCAGAAGAAACTTGGTTTCCCTAACGACTCCTGTCCCTTGAACCAATCCTGCTCCATTGTTGGAGCCAACATACCCTATACGGAAAGAAAAACGCTCCACTCTGATCTCTAGCTGTCAAACTCTGCATGACAATCATTCATGGCTCCACATCCTAGCGTATACAGAGACTCCAGTAGGGCCATAGATCCTATGGTGATCGGCAAAAGACTGACAATTCGGATTGAGGGATTGGTAGAATATCTCCGCGATTTCTTGTTCTCTGGACTATTTCTCCGTGAGATTCTTCACGCATGAGATCCATATAACGTGGATGATGCAGTACAGATGCACTACAAAGTACCCTACAGATGCTCGGTTATTGGCACCTCGATCATCTACCCGCAGGCCAAGCTATACGACAGAATATCTTCCGGAAGAGGAAATTCCGAATTAGGAAAGACGAGATCGTCAATGATCCACAACAAGAACGACAACTACGAAAAAAAAAAAAACAACAGAAAAGAAGAATCAAAAGCTGGTATTGGCCAACTCATCTTCACCGCATCGTTGTAAAAGGTCTAAGCGAAAGCCCCCTACTCCGTACCCCGTATGCTATGCCTTAGTGTGCGTTTTGCCGTTCAGAGCTTTCTCCGCATGCTGTCTGTGCTCTACGCCGTTGTGCGATCGACAATGTAATTAAAAAAACGGCTAGTTGACACTTCAATTTTGGATATGCACGAGTGACCATTTGTATATGATATGTCGCTCTGAGACGGTCACATTCTTCCGATAGCGCAGGTGCACGGTTGATAGATCAAGTGTACGGAGTAGGTACATGCATTCGAGTTTCTTTGCTTCTGCTGGCTTTACTAGTATCATCTTATCCCCAAGCCCTGGAGTGATCTTCACTGCGTGAAGGTACACATCCGATCTATCCCATACCCGCCTCATAGCACTAACTCCCTACTATAACATCCACACATGGAACCTGTAACCTGCAGAGCTTGGCCCCGTCCGATCCCTGATTTCATGTCCCTCATCATCCAACTACATACCAAGCCAGATAACGCCCCAGATCCATTTTCACCCTCAAATTTCACCGACAATCGCCCGCCAACCTCAACGGAGCTCAGTGGATAGACCCGCTGCATGAAGTTCGCTGCACGACGTTCCACCCCATCAAAAATGGAGACCAAAAAAAAAATTCAAATCGACGGAGTAGAAAGCCCCTATATGATATTCCAGAACAGAGTATGGAGTTCTCCGTACAAAGCATACGCATGTAGTAATCGGCTTTGTTAGCTGCATCTATTGACCGACATCCCTAAAACTGCTTCTTTGCAGGACCCTACTTTGTGTAGAAAACAATCACACCAGTACTACAACTTCACCAGCCGAACATCCCTCGTTGGTAAATACATCAGCCCATCGGGCATACCCCACAGGGAAAGGAACAAATCCCCGGGCCGAAACGCCGATTAGGGCCTAGGTCTTTTTGCCGATAAGCCCGGCATATGAGGCATGTAGTCAGGAGATTTCTAGAAGGAGAATGGCGTGTTATGCATGCTGTACTCCGTACGGAATATGTATCAGAAGAATTGGGTGCCAGGGGTTAGGGATTTCTGAAACGTTCGACTCGGGGTTTGTGGTTCCTAGTTTGGTTGTTGTTATATAAGATATATATGTAACTAACTATGGCTATATATATATTTCATAATACTTCTGTCAATATCTACCAACAATTTGCGCACGGAGCACAATGTAGATGTTCGAGTACATATACATATATATATGTACAGTGTGGCCTTGAATGCTGAGTACCTGGGGGTTGAACAGTCCCGAGATTACATGGGCTGATGTAATACCGGAGGGGTTACCTACCCAGTTATGCTTCAAAGGTAAGTTATTTCAGGTGGAGAGTAGCCTGTTTTGTCTGTGCTCATTTTGCCTGAGACTCGGGTAGTAGGTTACAGGGCGGGAAGAAGAAAAGTAAGCAGAGTAATTGATTGGCCAGGCACTCAAGGCCAGAGTCATACGAGATGACGATGGCGAGAAAGCAGGCTAAGCTACGGAGTACATCTATATCCTTAATTTGGGAAGTTTTGAAATTTTGAAACTTTTTTTGAATATCAAGTGCTAGTTCAGGGAAATACATGACTACAGTCAAATCCTAGCCCGAAAGCAACTCGTGAGAAATCCGAATACTTTTCCTGGCTAAAGAGCCGTCCCATTGTATACCCCTCGCCAGATAGTCGGCGAGTCCGAAAGAAAATGTTTTGTCATAATCGTAAAGTCGTGGTATTTGTATTTGTGTTTCTTTGCCGATGTGCAAGCAGATCTCAGACCTGCGCAGGCAAAGTTTTGGTCCCGAGTTCATGCGCAATGCCGCCAGCGAAGAAACTCAGCTCATCAGGACCAATGTAGACACGACCATTTGCCAGTCTGTCCAGCAGGAATTTCTCAATCTTGTTCAAGAGGGCTTGGTGGTGATTCAGGTCTAAGATCGACGATTTTGTATCGTTTTGGTTGCCAGTTTGCTCTTCTGCGCAGAGTGTGATCAACTCGTTGAGCTCGTCTTCAGCCAGAAGGTTGCAGAAGGTACCAATGACATGGTTGGAGACTAAGTCGAGGTACAATGAAGGCACACACTCTGGATCCACGAATTCGATGTTCTTGCCCAACCGAATGTGGTCAACCTGATCTTTAAGGTATGTTTGGTACTCCGGGGTGGAAATTCCATGGATTCCATTCATGTAAGCGACAAAGAGACTACAGTCCAAGTCCACGGCATCACGTGGAAACTCTTCTGGTTGCTTGGTGGACTTGCGAACAAACTCTGGGTGGTGATCTTCATTTTTGTTGGAATCGGCGATGTCCATCTTGTCGAGTTGATCCAGAAGTGTTTGGGCACCTTTCGAGTCCCGAGCAAGCATCATCATTTCATGGCAGGTCATTTGGTGATCAGGAGCTTCGTCATCCGATACTTCCATGTTGTCGATGTACTCCACATGCGGATTAAAGCGCACAGAATTCTCCTCAAACGAGATGAAGGCATCGTCAAACGACTCTGTGTGATCTTCATGTGTCTCAGGAACCTCTCCATTTGTTTCATCCCAGACCGAGAAATCGGAAATATCACCGTCGTCCTCTTCGTCAGATTCATCGGAGAGTGCATCATACTCCGAATCAATTCCATCCGAGCTATAGCCCGATTCCGAATCGGACTCTTCATCGGAGTCAAAGGTAATGGTTGAGTTTTTGAGGATTGATTTCAAGAAAGGACGCAAAGCCGGTTTGGTAGTGGAAGTCGATGTATCTGATTGAGCTTGGGTACAACCATTCGATGTGATCGAAACTTCATCCGAGCCATAGCAGCTGTCATGGGAGAAAGACATCTCGAGGTTGGAGAAGGCAGACGAGACAGAGACAGAGCCCCACGAGCTTCGATGGAGGGTCGAGTTGCTCATTTGCTCAGTAATTGGTTTGTCCATGCTTTCAGCAGTGACGATTTCTTTTGTGTGATTTGTTGAACTGCCCAGAATATCGGCACCTAGGAGGGCTCTGAGTTGATGACTGAGCACTCCTAGATAGGAGCGATAGGATTTGTGGAAGAACTATGTTGGAAGGGTGCGATCAATGAGTTGAAAGGGCGCGATCAATGAGTCGCAAGGGAGTCACGAAAATAGCAAGGGCGTCGAGGGCCTGCAAAGCACGGTAAAAAGTGCATAGTGAAGGCACACGGGAATCGTGTAAAAGCCTAAGGAAACTTGTCCCCAGCACAAATGTTGGAAGACATGATTTTCCGGTAAACGCTTTGTGATTAGATGTAGAAGGGTGCTTTCTCGCTGGTCTGATGTACGGAACAAGACGGTCGAGATTGGTTGCTGTGGTGATTCGAAATAAGGTGAAGTCGGTCACGAATAACACAGAGGCTAACGGCTTTGTCGAGATGCATGTAGGGTGCAACAAGGTGGCAAGGATAGAAGCTGAAGCGTAGTGTTCACGCGACGCGATGAAAGCGGTGGAATGTCGCAAGAGCAAGAAAGCACACAAAGGCTGTCGCTAAAAGAGAAAAACGCTTATCACAGAAGAAGGGTGCGACAAGTGGAAAAGAATGGAGATTGAAAGTAGTGAAGAGAAGAATGGCCCACGCTTCGCGGGGTGTGACGGAGGGGCAAAATCCGGGTTGAGTCACGTCGACTTCGGAGTCTACGGGTAAAGGCGACAACACGAAGTGTAGATGAGGAGTGTGAGAAGGAAGATACTGCGGGTAATCAGCAGCAGTAACAGAGGTAAGAATTCAAGGACACTGAAGCGGCCTGAAGAAAAGGAGGAGAAAGAAGAGAGGAAGGCTGAAAGGGTCGCCCCAACCTTGGAATTCATGTAGTCATCTGACTCAGCCCGAACTTGACCATTTTGGGATTTTACCCATTATTGGGCTCTTTCAAGGTTTCATTGTCACAAAGCAGTCAATGCAGTCATCTACTATTCTGGATCATTCAAACAATGAATTTGATCTATTTATTGTTATAAATAATCTAATCATACCCAATCACAGTGTCAGTCCAATAACTAGCACAGAGTGCGCGATATCAGCCTTTCCGAGAGAATAGCCTCGGGAGATCGGAGTACGGAGTACAGAGTACCGCTGTGCCTCTCAGCCGATAGTTGCTTTTGCCAGTGTCACGCTCAGATATTTCAGGATATTTTTTTCTGGGCATATGGTATTGAATGACTGCATACTAGGGGCATCTATGTCTTTAGATGTCATTATCAAGTCCTTGCTGATTGCATACATACACCTAACAAATATTGTTGAACGGGGCCGCTATTGCCGCACCACTAATGTATGTACCACCGAGGTTCGTTGTTCTTTGACTCTTCCAACGCCCCTTTGATTTTTCCTTTAAGCTTTGTCGAAGCTGGCAAATCTGGCTGCGTTCTGCTTGGGCGTTTTAGACTCTGTTTGAAGAGGAGGCATAACTGCCTGACGGGTTGTAGGCCCGATTCAGAGCCTTGGAACTTTAAGCCATGCCAAAGCCTGGTCAAATCGACTGGATGACTATCAACCCAGGTTTGTTAACACTGCAGTCTCCCGAGGTCACATAAATCTGTGTTCGTTTGGGTATTAACCCCTCTGTCCGTGATGCCTGAACTTAACCCAAACATGACAAGGATGCTAAAGGAAGAAACACACACACATCTACATGTTAACAACACACTAAAAACTGTTGGTTGATTCAAAAATCGCCTGACAATTGGCTAATGATATCATTTGAGATACAAATACCTGCAAGCTCCACAACCATTGCAGGGCAATGCACTTTGATTACCAAACGACACTTGATTATTTCGAAGAACAAAGGAGTCCTGGAGGCATCAGATCCTTGCCTTATGCTGAGAAAAAAAAGGCATGTTCTTTACTGCATTCAAACATGGCCTTATCTTGATCAACTTCCATGCAGTCCAAATATAGAACAGGGAGTCGAATCAAACACCCCCAAATAAGGCCACGGACGACGATCTCCTGCAGGTCCAGTTTTCCTAAACTTCCGATCAAGGAGTACACATACATACTGGGGCTTCCCGGGAAAATTTTTCCTTCTCGAATACTTGATAACTCTTCTGTGCATTGTTCGGAGCGTGACATTCCGCCCAGCCTTTACATTCCAATCCACATTGCGGACTGTCTATCAAACAGGACATTGGCCAATGGACAATATCACCCCCACTCTAATTGGATCGATTGGCTAATCATGATGAAGCAAATGATGGAAGGATGTAGCCAGAGTGTGCTGCCGATCATACTGTCACCCAATTCGAGTCTTCTTCGGGTGGTTGATGATGGGATAACAGGTATCATGACGCTTACACTGCAAATACTAACCTTGGAACTTGACAGGTGATCGCCCTCCTGTCCTAATTGTATGGCTGGTCCTGGTTCCTTGGACGATCCTGAACGGCTCGGAGAGCGTTCCGACCCATTTCCTTTCCTTACGGTCTTCCTCTTACGACGAGTTATGCCGATCTCCAATTAAAGGTATTGGGTCAACATGCCTATGTCCTCCCCAGACCCACTTCATCAGCTCATCTGATGGCTGTCCTACTGCTTCTGGCTTAGTGAAGGAGGGTTGCATTCCCGCGGGTGGCTACCGGAGCGAAACCTCTTTGGGATTTGACGAAGATTGACAGCTCGGCCAGCCATTCATATTTCTGCCGGCTACTATTGGCTCGAAGAGCCTTGAATCATGCCTCTGAGGGGCTGGTGGAGCCGGCCAGGAGCCAACCGGGCTCTTCATAGCACATTCCTTGTCCATCTTTAGAGCACTTGGAATGTGTCCAGAAATTCCGAGGCTGGTGCCCTGCAGCTATTCAAATAGGGCTTGCATCTGTTTGTTTGCTTTGCTTTCTTTGCATCATCTGCAGTGTTTTCTTTGATTGACAAACTATCAAACATTCAAACATTCAAACACTTCATTTTCTTTTTTTGCATCCTTTGCACATCTCGGATATCCGGGTCGATCCCCCCGAACTATTCCCAAACCTTACAGAGCTCTATTCAAGACAATATCTTTGGTTGTCCAATCACATCCAGTCTTTGGATATTCAGTCGCTGACTACACTATCGACCTGTCTTTTACTTTGTCGCCGCAAACGGAAATCCGACAAGATGTTCGCTCAACCCTACGACCATTCGTTCAATGACTTGTTCAACCAATACGTCAATATGGAGACCGGTGCCGCTGATGGAAAAGATTCAGCGTTGTCCGATTTTGATCAGCTTTTCCCGCTTGACTCGCTATCAAGTGACTGTGGCGATCTTCCACCCACTGTCTCCACTCCCAAATGCCATCAATCACCGCAACCCTGGAATAATGAGTGGCCCCTGCAGGATGACGGAGCCGCTGTCGATCATTTTGCTTTCCATGACACCGTCCATCCTTCTGCAATCTCAGACGTCAGTCTGAATAACTTCGAAATTTCTTCTCGCCCTACAGCAATCAACCGTCTGTCCACCTCACCGTCCACTCCCCCAACTACCCCTAGACGGAAGCCCACTCAAAGTGCCCTCATCACTCCCAAATCTATTCGCCATCGCAGCCCGAATGAGCGCCGCTCCCATTTGCGCAAGCAACCTTTCTCCCCCAGCAGCTTAGTGCGCTCTTCCAACCTTTCCAAAGGAAGAATGGCATATCCCGAGGCTTGGGCCCAGCGAATGCAGAACTTCAACCTTCAGAGTTCCGAAGATCGTATGCCGCTGTCGCCCCCTCCATCAGATGTCCTTATTCAGCATGAAAACATGTCAACCGAACAAATCATGAACCGACCTAGAGACTCAGCAGAGATGCCTCAGTACGATGCAAGACTATATCATCAGTCTCCCTCGGTTTCAATGCCATCGCCGAATATCGCAATGGCAACACGGCAACAGCAGCACTATATGGCACACCCAAGCTCCTCTACCTTGACCAACTCCAGCTCTCCTTCCGCAGATGATATGTTCTCCTCATCTCACTCATCTGACCCCCATTCTCTTTCTTCTTGGCAATCCGACTCTCTCCATGCCTCATCTCTTTCTTTTACTCCAGACCTCCAAGGTCAAGATTCTCAATGGTGGTCTCCCATGCCTTCTCGGGTCGCTCAACAACAGGCCTCTTACCTCACATCTCCCACGCCTGTCCGCTCCATGCAAAGCGTTGGAAGCCAAAATGACATGATGCAAGGAGGACTAATGATCCAATTCAACCCCTCCTATGACATGTCGACGGACCACTCATTCTCATCATCTAATCTGCTCCCCGTCACACCTCAAAAATTCGACACCTCCTTCACCAACTCCCAAATCCACAACATCTCCCGTTCACCATCTCTCTCTCCCAACGCCGGCACATCACCCAGGGACACCCGCAATGGATCCATCTCTAAGCCTACCCATCGCCGCACTCACAGTCGCAAGCTCTCCGGCCAGAGCATGAACACCCCCAAGCCCGCCAAGGCATCTGGATCCTCACCCCGAGGCGCAAACAAATCTGTCAGCGTATCGTTCGTTAACTTTACCGCTCACGACAGCAAAAAGATCCTAACCGGAGTTGCTCCCTCCGGCAGCTCCAAGACTAAGGCTCGTCGCGAGCAAGAAGCCCGCGATAGACGCCGCAAGCTGAGCGAAGCCGCTTTGAGGGCTGTGCGCAGCGCTGGTGGCGACGTTGAAGCTCTTGAAGCTGTTCTCTGTTAAGCTTGTTTTTGCTTTGATTTTTTTGCCCATGATTTTTTTTGTCTGTGTTTTTTTCAGCTGGTGTTTCAGGGTTATATCATTGGGAATATCTGGTTTGCTTTTGGAGTTTACGATTTTGCTTTCAGGCCTGGACTCGGGTGATTGTACCCCCAAAATGTTAGACTGTTCTAATATCTAGACTCTTCTGTGGATATCTAATCTTATAATATTTTGTGACTATCCAGCTCCTGCTGTAGATCCTTCTTCTTTTATTTCTTCTTTTCCTGCACTTTAAAAGGATTTCGATCTCTTTCTTTTTGCCAAACTGGTGAGTTTCATTTGTTTGCCCAATCTTTTTTAATATTGCTACCACCATTACTACTGTGACTTTCTGTGGATAACTTCTTTTTTGATACTGACCTCGGGGCCCTCCATGCCGAGACGTCCACAGGTCCATACTGAGCTCCGGAGGCCTTCATACACCAAGTCCCATACATAGGCAAGTCCTATCTATGACAAAGCGCGTTTTACACTCCGGCCACGACTATAAATACCATCCTGACCAATTTCTCCTTCCTTCCTTCCTTCCTTCCTTCTCTCTCCACGCTATCTGCCAAGCTTAGGTGAGTACATGTCTACCCGTGGACGCTCTGCTTCCTTACACTGTCCTATACTACTATTCTTTCTTCTTTGTATGTTAAGCCATGCCCAATACCCTTCAATTGCATGCCAGTACCTCTGATATTGGCCAAGTGTGCATCTCTCACCCTGATTTTCACCAATCTATCACTTATCTATCACTTATCTTTTCATTTTCTCTCACTTGCATATCATTTGTTACTCTCACAGTATCTCACTTGCTGCCCTTTGATATCTACATCTCTTTTACCCCAAGCCCTAACCTGCAACATACCATTTCTGCACTTGCTGTCTCACTGAGACTAGGTATTTTGCGTACCCCTCTACCTTCATTTGCTCCTTTTGCTTTATTCTAATATTCCCACTTGCTACTGCACATTTACTTCTTCCTGCTCTGCCTTGATTTCCATTTTTCTTACATTGAACTCTTTCACTTGCACCATCATCTATCTCTTTTCACATCCCTACCCAAATTGAGGTATTCTATCACTTCGTTCTATCCTGCATTGTCATTGACATCGCTCTTGGCTGCGAGTTGGGCTACTTGCCTTATCGCATTGCGTGCCCTACATTGTCTATTACTCTACTGCATTGGTCCGTCTTCACATTACTATCTTCGTGCATCTCAATATCCTAATGCTTCATCATTATTGACTCACTTTTACAGATAACTGAACCAAACCCAGGCTTTTTTCTTCCTTTTCTTCTTTGTTTTGAAAAAACAAGCCGCAGATATCCTTTTTCTTTTCTTTTTCTCAACCCTTTTCCTAAACAACCAAACTGACTGAGGATTTCCACTACTTGACGCCGCACACCCACCCTCTCCAACACGCGCAAACATCGCGCTCTCCCTTCATTGCTTTCTTCCTCTATTTTTCGACTACCCTATTTTCTTTGACCAACATTCGCTAAAATGTCTGGTCGTGCTCACGGTGATCTGCCCATTCGAGGCAGCCGTAGCAGTGGTGACCGTGGTGGCTCCCGAGGCCGCGGCGATGGTGGCTCGAGTAGCCGTGGCAGCGACCGCGGTTACAGCGGAGATCGGGGCCGTGGAAGTGATCGCGGCAGTGGTCATGGTGGGCGTGGCGGGTCTAGCAGACCCCAGAAGTTCGAAAGGTAAGTTTATTTGTTCTACATCAAGTGAAAACTATATCTAACATGCGCGCAGGATGTTGAAAGACCCGGTTGAAGCTCCCAGCACCCGAGTCCAGGCCTTGGAGGATCGGTACCTGGCAGAGTCTACAAAGGCTCGCCCAGAACCCAATTCTTTGGCTCGGCGTCCGGGCTACGGCACACAAGGTCGTCCGATTGTGCTTCGTGCCAACTTCTTCCCTATGGAGTTCAAGCCGAACGTCAAGTTCTACTCCTATCGGCTCAAGATCAAGCCTGACGTAAAGAAAGGGCAGCAAAAGTTCATTCTTGAAAGCATGCTCCGGCAATATCCCCTCTTTACCGATGGAAAAGTTGGCGTTGCTACTGATGGGGCCACTGAGATTGTTACGACCGGCCCACTCCCCGAGAATCGAAAGCCGTTCACTTGTTCTATGGGCCATGGAACTGGGAGTTCGAATGTCTATACCGGCCCTTGGAATGCTACATTGGCCCTTGACAGCTCTTATTCCCCGGCTGACATGGCTGCATGCCTTGAGGACGTCACCCGCCGAGAGGAGCTTGAAAATGAATCTTCCTGTCTCCGAGTACTGAATATCCTCATGAGTGCTTATCCCTTCAAAAATTCCGGCACCTACATCATCGGCAAGGGACGAAACAAATTCTTCTGGATGGACAAGCGAAAGCAGTGGATGGCCCTAGGTGATGGCGCTGAAGCCGTTCGTGGTTTCTACTCAAGTGTCCGACTTGGTGCTGGACGAATCATGCTCAATTTGAATGTCAGTCACGGTGCATTCTTCCTTCCGCGTTCTTTGATTGATGTAATAAAAGAATTTGAAGCAAATCACAATGACAAACGGGATCGTGTGCAGCGGTACTTGAAGGGCTTGAAAGTCTATGCCATGCATCTAGAGCCTCGAAAGAACGGACTCGGGGTGAATGAAAGACCCATCAAATCGATCCTTGGAGTTGCTACCCCTAGAGATGGACGCAGCCAGGTCCATCCCCCAATGGTTAAGCAACTCGCATCCAGTGCTGACAACGTGAAATTCTGGATGGGAGATGACAAGGCGGGAGAGTACATCAGTATTACCCAGTACTTCCTCAGAAGTAAGTTTGCTGCTTATTTGTTGATATTTGAAGTACATTTTGCTAACAAGAAATAACAGCTTACAACATAAAACTTAAATATGCTAATGATAAGCCAGTCGTGAATGTTGGAACTCGTGAGCGTCCCGTTTACCTTCCTATGGAGGTTTGTGAAGTCCTTCCCGGGCAACCTTTCCATCCGGAACTAGTCAAAATTCAACGACAGAACATAATCAAGTTCAGTTGCCGCCGGCCTCCTGAGAACTATGAATCCATTATGAAAGATGGATTGGCCATCATGGGAATCGACGAAGACCATACCAAGACGGTAGGGATTAGGATCAGCAAACAGATGATCACTGTACATGCACGGATTCTGAGTGCTCCGAATTTGATTTATGGCGGCAAGAAAAACACTAGCCCCCGATACGGATCGTGGAATTTGGTAAGCACTAGATTTGCCCAGGGCGCTAATATCAGTAAATGGACCTGTCTTTGGCTTCGAAAGCGCTCCTCAAAGCCGGAGCATGAGCTCAAAAATCCTGAACCCTCAATGGATGCCCTGTACCGAAAATTGCGTGACCATGGCCTATCACTTCCGGCGCCATCTAAGCCATATCTGTCATGCCTTCTTATTGATGATGACCAAGAAAATCGAGCTATGATCAAGGCCCAATTCGCAGAGCTCTCGAAATCAAGGTTCTCCTTAGTGGTTGTTCTTCTTCCTACCACAGATAGCAAAATCTTTGATTTCGTCAAGTATTCTGGAGATATCAAGACCGGCATCCTGACGCACTGCATGCATTCCGAGAAGGTGATGAAGATTAGTGAGCAGTATATGAGCAACAATGCCATGAAGATCAATCTCAAGATGGGAGGATGCAATCAACTCCTGCAGCCTACGAGTGCGCGCTTCATTGGCGCAGCAAAGACCACCATGGTCGTCGGCTTGGATGTCACTCATCCGTCAAGCACAGACCCCGACATCTTCCCCAGTGTTGCTGCCATAGTTGCCTCCATTGATTACCGTATGGCACAATGGCCCGGTGAAGTTCGAGCCCAGACGCGCCGCCAAGAGCACATTGAATTCCTAAAGGACATGATGCTGACTCGACTGAAATTGTGGAAAGATACTAACGGTGGTCACTTGCCGCAAAACATTCTCATCTATCGTGACGGTGTTAGCGATGGTCAGTTCCCCATGGTCCTTACAGAGGAACTTCCAAAGGTCCAAGCTGCTACCAAAGCGGTATACCGTGGAGCCCTGCCCAATATCACCATCGTTGTCTGCGGAAAGCGCCATAATGTGCGCTTCTATCCTACTAAATCCACTGAAGAAGATAAAACATCCAACCCAATCAATGGATGTGTCGTCGACCGCGGGGTCACCCGTCCCATCTACTGGGACTTCTATCTGCAAGCCCAGTGTCCCCTTCAGGGTACTGCTCGGCCAGCTCACTACATTGTCATCCACGACGAGATTTTCACAAATTCGAAGGTCAATACAGACCGCAGGCCAGCTGATGTGCTGCAAGAAATTACCCACAATATCTGTTACATGATGGGCCGGGCTACTCGCTCGATCAGTTACAGCACCCCTGCCTTCCTGGCTGATAAGTTCTGTGATCGTGCCCGGAAGTATCTCTTGGCTCACTGGTATGACCAGAATATGGATATTGATAACATCAATCCTAGCATTTTGACTCTACCGAGCAATTTGCGAGACAGCATGGTCTATATCTAATTTGACCATTGTCATTGCTATTTTCTATTCTATTGTTGATATTTGATGAGTTTGCCGATGTTCTTTTCCGGAGTTTGATACTCATTTGCTATGCTCCATTGTTCTTTGAAATTGTTTTTGAGAATGCTTGCAATGCCTTTTATTGTTGGGCTGGAAGATTGCTCCTGGTGAAAGCTATGAAAAAAAACTCAAAATGACAAAAAAAAAGGGTGCAATGTCATTGCTTTTCTTACAAGCTTGAGATGTGCCTATGCTGCAACAAGTGTGAAAAATTGAAAACACCAAAAAAAAGGAGGATAGAAGATTTATTTGCATTTTTATTGTTTATGTCTTTACTTTGGATGACACTTGCACTGCAGCATGGAAAATAACAAAAAAACCAAAAAAAGAAGGGGATGATATCTATGTTAGAGTAGGAAAATTGAAAACATTTAGAAAAAAAACCCTGTGCTTGTGTAGCCACTAGTCTTACTCGTTGTAATTAAATGATCTTAATGGTAAGATTGAGTGGAGAACGCTGAATATCAAAGAAGCATATAATAGTATACAAGTGCCAATCTACATACATATTGTATGAATATGGCTCTGATTATCTTGAAACCCCCAAGACACCTTGGGTCACACCTGTTATGATATGAGGTTGAACACTGTGCACATTAACCTCTATCCTCATACAGCAATGAGCGTGGGTAGAGTCCAAAGACTCTTCGGCATGAGATAGTCTTGACAGCATCTATGACCCAGGGTTCCTTGTAAGATGTTTCTGCTGATGAATTGACCAATCGTGCAAGGCGACAGCCTCCTCTAATTCCGACACATATCTCTGAAAGTCAAAGCTTATATAGCATTGCAAAAAAACGACCAAAGTAAGCCGATATCACCTTTCACCGCTTGATACTAGGAGACCATGCTTCAGGTTGCCACTCCTCGCCTGGATTGGCCTTGTTCGCCTTGGCCCATGGGTTCTCCACCTTTTGTGTCTTCGGTTGTGCGGGTGCGGGCTCAGCCTTTGAGGCTGTTTCGGGGGATGCGGCTGAAGCTGGTGCTTCTTGTGTGGGAGCAGCGCTGGCGGGCAGCTGATTCAAAGTCGCCTCATTGATTTGGGTTGATGGTGCTTGGTGTTGAGTCTTGGGCTTATCGAGGAAGGAGGCCTTGCTGGCCCAACGTTCATCAGCAAGCCGAGCGAGTTGTTTGATTTGTGCCTGCCGCACAAGATCCTGCTGCTGCTCCTGGATGCTTGGGGGGTGTTGCCGGACATGTCGCAGCCATTGGTGCCATTGCGCTGTGTTGAAATAACAGGTTAGTTATGATTCAACTCGTTCACCCTTGCCTCGGAATAGAGGCATGTGCTCCAAGGCCGAGACTACATCTTCCAAAGGAACTCACGTGTTACTTGAACATCACTCAAGTGAGTTTTGGGATCGAATCGAACAATGCGCCGGTATCGAGTTGCATTCATCACATCTTTGAACTCCCAGAAGGTATTTCCGGCGAGATCCTCACCTAAGACAAGTTTAGCGGTACTGAGACACAAGAAAAACACAGAGGGGATACTGACCGACCAAGAAGGACTTCCGCCAGGGTAGGCGAAGCTTCTTCCATTTGAACCATAAACTGTTAACCATGATCGAGTTTAAAGAACAGAAAAGAGGCAAAAAGAAAAAGATCGTGGCGGACTTATCAGGAACGTCATCGATAAACACAGCCCGGACATTCCATTCTTCTTCTCTCCGTCTCTCTCGCCTTTTCTCCTTTTTTTCAAATTTCCACAACTTTTCTAGAAAACTTCTACACTTCTAGTAATTGAAGCATTTTCTTCATCTTGTCATTCCAATTGTATCACGAAACACCCTCCTCTGCTACCCAATACCCGCCACTATTAGGACCGATCGGGCACCCGCAAAGGGATACATACCACCCAGGTGGCAACCACAGTTCAACTACACTTCAGATAAACTCTGATCGAGCATCGGTCATTCGACACTCGTCATGGCTTCTGTGACTTCGTTGGACAAGGACTTGCGCAATATGCGCCTATCCCGCTATACCCCGCAGGCAGCCGCGGAGGTACGCGACTGGATTGAGGAAATGCTGCATGAGAAACTGGCGTCGCCAGACTTGCTCGAAGGTTTGAAAGATGGCGTTGCGCTTTGCAAGTGAGTTGTATCTGTGGACTTAAAATAACAGTTAAAGGGTCTAGACGCCTGGCTGACTCCTTTAATTACAAGGCTGGTAAACCTCGTTGTGTCACCAGGCGTGAAGTATAAGCAGCTGTCCGCACCATTTGTACAGATGGAGAATATCTCTCATTTCTTGCGCGCATGCCAATTGCCACCGCTCGATCTTCCCCCGCACGATGTCTTCCTGACAGTTGATCTCTACGAAGCAAAGGATCCGGCGCAGGTTCTCCAGTGTCTGGCAGCGTTCAGTCGACGAGCCAATGCCCTTGCCCCCAACAAGTTCCCACGAACTGTTGGTCCACAGAGTAAACGCGGTGTGGTCAGCCCAAATGCGACAGGTTCCTCGGGTACCGGGGCATACACACGATCAACCCGCTCCTCCAGCAACGTCGGGGATGCGAGACCCAACCTTCCCTCTCGAACAGACAGCCCCACAAAACCTTCTGGGGCGTACAGTACGTGGGCCAAGAAAGGCGACGAACAGGCTACGACACCGGCTTGGAACATTCACCAATATGGCTATATTGGGGGAGCTAGCCAAGGGAATCAAGGGATTGCATTTGGTGCTCGCCGACAGATCACTACTCCTGGGCCTGCTGTACCAAGCCTTGCAGAGAAAGAGAAACGCAAGCGTGAAGAGGATGAACGGATCCGTCAGCAGAACGCAGAGAGGGAAGAGGTACAGCGGGCACACCAACAGCAGATTGCAGAAGAGGAGGCTCGTGCCAAGGCAGAAGAGGAGCGCCGATGGGAAGAAGAGACTGCTCGTATAAGGGAACAGGAACGCCTCAGGGTAGAAGCAGAAAAAAAGCGCTGGGACGAGGAAAAGCGTCAGTGGGAAGCGGAAGAGCAGCGACGCATGGCGGAAGAAAAGGCAACCGAGGAGCGATTTGAGCAGGAGAGACAACAGAGACGAAGCCTAAATGATACTCGTCTCAATGGTCAGTTCCTGAGCCAGTATCAGGCCTCCAATGCCCAGGCCAGTGACGTCGCCGGAGCAAGGCCAGTCGAGGAAACACCCCAAAGCCGCCGGATCAAAGAGCTCGAGCGCGAGCTACAGCTGGCAAAGGAACGGGAGCGCCAGTACGAGACCGAACGACAGGAAGTTCAGCCTGGGAAGACCGGCGACCAGCCTCAGTCTCGCAGTCAAAGTCGCCCTCATCCCGTGCCCCCCAAGCCTAGCTACGACTTATCTTCCCTAGAACAAGAACGGCGACTTCTCCGCAAGGAGTGGCAGAACACACAGGATATGCCCTCTACTTCCGAGGCAGAGGAACCCGAACCCATCGAGGAGCAAGGACCACCCCAGCCCCCTCGTCCCCTCCCAGTGCCAAAGCCATCATCTACCTCTGCAGCGCCAGTGCTCCCTCCCAGGGATCTACCCACATCGCCCCGCCCTCTTCCAGACCCAGTAGCCTACAATGCCAGCCGGGGTCGTGAAAACCGCGTGGAAAATTTCCTCGCCTCGAACCCAGCACCCACGTCCCCAACCCCAGCCGCCCACCGATTCCAAGACTACACCTCGACCTCCGAAGTCGACGCCGAGAACAGCCGCCGCGCGGCCTCGCAGCAGAAGACCAAGGCTGGTGGCTGGGCGTCCAAGTCCCTTTTAGAACGAGAGATGGAGCGCGAACGCGCGCGCCAGGAGGAGTGGGCAGAGAACCAGAAGCAAACAGCAGCTGTGGCCGAACGTGGCGGCAAAGATAACACGGAAGGCTCGGGACCCGGCCAGTCCTGGGATGTTCACCAGTATGGCTATATGGGTGGTGATAATCAGAACCGTGGAGGTGTTGGCCTTGGTATTGGCGGTGCTAGGCGCCAGATTATTGGGCCCCGACCGCCGCAGTAGGCTGTTGACTTGTGCTGACAACTCGTGAGCCTACTTCAACCTAGGGTTCTTGTTCTTATTTCTTTGATTTCTTGCTCCCCTCTGTTTTCTTACCTTTTTTTTTTTCTCCTTTCTCCTTCTTTTAAGCTCTACGTCTCCAGCCTCTTTGGGCAAATATCATCATTGAAGCAGAAGACCTATTACCATTTTCCTGCGTTGGTGGATTATTCTGTTAGTTGCGTGCTATGATTCCCGCTCCATGCCATTGCTTACTTCATTTTGACGCGATGTGGTTGTAGATAGCACTATTATACTCAGGGTCCTATAATAAACACATTACAGAAACTACAGAGTTTTGTAGATTGATCATACATGCGTAGGATAGTCCTTCCACAGCAAGTGAAGAGAATTGGCATTTGATATGTAAATAGCACAGGTACTCCATGGCCTAAGTATATCTCACAAACTATTATATTCAAACCGAAGAAAAGAAAGGGGCATTCAAACGCTCCATGTACGCCCCGAAACACGATCATTAAGTCATCATTGCCATCATGAACATCATTACCACAACACCGGTCCTGCCCGATCACACAGAACATCTTCATGGTAATATATGCTCAACCATAAACTTCATCCTAAACCCACTCTCCTGCAAATAAGCCCATTCAATCGAGTCCCGGTTATGAGTAGCCTTCTCACGACGCGCAATCCCAGACTGGACTGCTTTTGTCAGCGATGGGGTCGCAGAGAGCATATTGCTCTTATGCAGGATTGTCATCAATGCCTCAAGCAGAATGGAGATCTTGGCGTTGTTCTCAACGCTCGGGCTGGCCGCCGCGTAAGGTAGGAAGCATTTCTCCAGCTTGGCCTGGGTAAGATAGATATCGTTAGAGCCTGGGGCCGAGCTCTCGCGGAGTACGAAGAGGAGGAGTTCGCAGAGAGTGGAATGCGCTTCGGGTAGGAAATGCGGGAGGTTCGAGGGGCTGATGAAGTGTTGGAAGAGGGGGAGGGAGAAGTCGCGGATGTTCTCGACGAACAAGTTGTAGAGGATATCGAGGGGCATGAAGTCCCTAGGCAGTTTTTCCGAGAGACTGGAGAGGATGCCGAGGAGTTGTTGGCGGAGGGCGAGGGAGGTGTAGTCGCCTAGCGGGGATAGATTGCTGCTTTCATGGGAGGGTGTTTGGCTTCCGTTGGCCATCTTGATGGGGTCTGTGGCTTCATCCATTGCGTTTCGCGTTCCTCGTCGGGTGCGCTTGCTGCGCCGTGGCTTGCTAGTCTTCGATCCTTTGACTGGCGGTGATACCGAGGTTGAGCTTTGATAGGCTTCGAAATCCTCGTCTGAACTGTTCTGGTAGTCGCCATAATCATCCTTGTCGAGGTTGATATCGCCTGCCCTCTTTTTTTTATTATGGGAGTCTTGTTCAGGAATAGGAATTCTTGTTTCATCCTTGAATACTTCCTTAAACTCGCCGAGGTTTGATTTGCCATTGGCAAATATTGCCCGCAAGATTCTGCGGTTCCGTCCAGCTGTGGTATTTGAGGCGATGTAACGGAAGATCAAACTTTCCCGGAAAATTCCAAGGTCGTCATGAGCCTCCATTACCACCACCTTAGGCTTTCTGCCCCTGCGCTTTCCTTTCTTGGCCGAGTCAGTGCCTGGTTCAGTGCCTAGCTCATTGCGGGATTCAGCGCCCTGCGAGGCCTCCCTCTCCGATTTCCCAGATATCTCTGACAGAACCGAGGCCCCCCTTTGGTTTTCCTTTGCCGCTAGATATTTTCTTTCACGCTCATTCCAATCATCTTCGAGTACGTCGCACATAAACTGCAGCCATATCTGCCAGCGCTCCCATCGGGCCGGGTGAAGTACCGAACAATTGAATGCCCAGCCGACAGCATGCCAGAAGTCCTCCGCGGAGTGCCACAGGGAAGCAGCTTTGTTGAATTTCGTGTTCAGAGGCCTGGTATCAGGATTGTCATTCTCAACATGCATCGGGCTTTCCCCACGACGTTTACCCTGTCGCGAAGATGCAAATTGACTGAAGCAAAAAGCGAGATTAAACTTTGCATCCATGGGACCAACAAGGGAATTCGTGAGCCGAAGAAATCGCAAAGCTGCATTAGGCGCTTCTTTTTCGTACTCCGACTGGGCGAGCGTTGTCGTTCTTGGGTGCACGAGCATCGTAGCTGCGACAGCCAGATGCTGTGGCAGTGGAATAATTGCTTTTGATGATGAGATAGTGCCCGATGCAAGGACATTGAAGAGAAGGCTATAAGCTTGGGGCCCTAGTTGAGAAAGCGGGGATTATTAACTGCGTCTCTTTGAAGGCTTCCTGCACGTGTCAAAGCATGAGGAAAGGGAACATACATAGTGAGTCTTCGAGGAAAATTTCTGTCTGTTGAGCCAGCTCCCATTGAAGGGGTACAGGTGACCGATATGGTACCTCGTCCACGGTCGCCATGGTCGCCATGGCCAGAGGGGGGTCCTTGAAAAGCCAACTGAAAAGATACATTTTGAGCTGGCAGTAACACGCTTATCGATAAGCAGTCGCGGCGGAGAATGGTGTATGGCGCGTCGAAAGAGGTATATGTCCGGCAGAACAGCACATATGTAGGTAGCCAGATGCTAATATATGTGACATCATTCAAGAGCATAAGAAAGACATCCAAAGTACGTGTAGGATCTAGAGAAAAGCTAGGATAATACCGTAGTCAACAAACTAAAAGATGTTTTGATACTCAATTCTATAAAAAGATTGAATTTCTTTGTTTCGAGGGCGGAAACAAAGGCGGTGGAAAGTATAGACAATGAACTCGGCTGTTTCTTGCTGTAAGAAGCTAGGGCACAGATTATCGAGGAATTGACGATATAACTACATGTGTACATGAAGTTCTTTGGCAGCTTAATTAAAGTAATAAGGTGCTTGTTTTGGCGAAAGCCTCAAAGCTCAAAGCCTAAGGTTAACAACATCCAAAAACACATCGGAGTGTTTCTTACATCTAACGTCCACCATGTCATCTCCAAATGAGCCCGCATTAGCGGCTGACTATTCTTGTATATTATCATTCAATGCGGACCTTTTAATATTCGAGGGCTAAGAAGAGATACTCGATCCTCAAATTCTAGCGATGATGCAATAGGCCCCCGCATGGGCCCTAGCCAAGAGATTGACCTGCATCAATCGAAGTTCTACTCCAGGGCTAGGCACAGATACTTCCATGTGCATAGATTGCAAAGATACGTCGGTCCCTTACATTACACAACCCAATATTTCAAAGACTGAGTAGGGACTCCAAAAAAACGAAAGCTTGCAAGATAAAAAAATGCACTTGGATACTTGGAAATCTAGACAAGGATAAGCCACTCAGGGCAGACCGAAAGGATGGGAATTTGGACTGGTTCGCAGTTACTTCTGCGTCTTCATATTTGCCGACGAAAAAGAAAAGAGAAACAGGATGCGCAGTAGCCAAGAACGGTTCAAAGCCCGTCAATCAATTTCGCAATGCAAAGGCCTTTTATGGAGAAAATGAGGGGAAGGCGAGAAAGCTCGAGAAAACAAGGAGGTCGTGGATACGCCAACATGGATAATAATTGTGGAGGAAGAAAAGGAAAGATTAAATAGGAGCCACTATGACTCCTCGGGTATATCGGAGAAAAAACCTATTCGCAACCGATGCGACTGTAGTCAAAAAGTTAGCAAATGAGTTCCACGAGTCCGGATCCAAGCAGATATAACATACGAAAGGTAGCTTGGGAATGACCACCCCCAATGTAGCCAGGAAGTTGATAGTGAAGTGGGTCAAGTCGAAATGTGTGTAGTGAGTGCTGAGGAGGAAGAGCAGGATAGGCACGCAGAGCAAGAACTTTTTAGCGGGTGTGTACTGGTCGCCATTGTCGATCTGCTCCCACATGTTGAGATTGTCGTAGGCGCCGGCATTAAACTCGAACGGGATGCCCCGCACCCAGTGGAACATGAGGAAGGATCCGAACATGTAGCTGATATTGGTGAGGGTCCACGAAGTTTCTTGCGAGACGCCCGGGATGATGTCGTAGAAAATCTTGAGAGCGGCGATACACACAAAATGGATGGTCCAGGCACCTAATATCAAAACAAAACTTCACGTTAGTCCTTAGTTTCTCAATATTGCGGATATGTGGTCTCCAGGATTCATTGTCGCTCACCCTTAGCATTCACCCAGTTTGCATTCAGATTTGGCAACGCGGCCTGATCACTGGTACGCTCAATAGATTCGGCGGGTTCTTGGTAGATAAGACTGCTAGATCGCCTCCGGCGACCTTGTTTTGAGCTCATGCTTGGAGATAACCGTTGCGGCCCTGTGTCAACATCCGGAGGGAAGGAGATGCCACGGGGGGTCAACAGGGAAGACACTTTTGAATTGCCGGACGCCAGCTTGTCGGTTGGGTCCAAAAATAATTAAGTTGGATGGAGAGAAGGAGAGAAAGAATGGAAAAGGAGCGTGGGGATGAGGTGGCACGGCCCAGAACTGGAGTTTGCCGGTTGGATCGGGTTGGGTCACGGGGTGCGGAAGAGCTCTCTGATTCACGTCTTTTTTTTTTCTTCTTTCTTAGACTATCTGTTTTCTTTTTTCCTTTTCTATTAAGAGAGGTCTAAAATTAGATCGATTTTTCCCTTAATCTATTTCCTGACTTCTAGATTGGCCTAACTGGAGGCAAATGCATAATTGGCCCTACATGTACGAAACGTATGCATGTGCGGAATCTAGCCCGAAAGGACTAAACTACATGTACTTTATATATTATGGATTCAGTAAAGGGGAAGATGATTGCCAAATAAATGAGTAGTTATATCTTCTTTCTATTTTGTCTTTGAGTATAAAAATAGCCGGCTACTTATGCCGCCTTGTTATATCTTTTTTTGCTAGTCATTTTGTCATTTTACTAGTCTTCTTATATTCTTTATTATTTTCTCCCCTTTCTCAATTGTATACCTGGAAAGATGAAAAGGCCAGAAATGTAAATCAAATGGCTTCTTTATGTATAACTGGGGCTTTCTAATATTTCTTATCGTTGATATTTTCCTTTTATGGGGCAATATGTCCCGGGACATCCAGGGTTGCCTATAGGCTAAGAAATAATATGGACTTGGCCACATTTGCTCAACTATGACTCCTAAATGACCTTTGCTATTTCTTTATTTTATGGCCTGATTGAATGTCTCGTGATGTTATAGTGTCTATGCCCCGGGGCACAGCAAAATTAGAGTCCCAATATTTATACTTTCAAGCCTCAGAGATGTACATATTAAGGAGTTTACAGCGCTGTTATAGCGAAAGTGGATAGGAACAGATTCCGGTGAAAAGACTGAAGGTGCAATAGTCTGCCGTACCTGGAGCACGGTCTTCTTCAGCCCAAGCCACTGGACCTTTTGTTCGTATTGATAAATTGTTAATCCATGTCCTAGGATAAAATATTAATCATATTTAATAGGCAGGAATCGTTGATAGTAGGCCGTCAGACCGCGCAGGTGATCGTTTCCCACCAGCGGGTTGAAATTGGAATAGTTACTAAATGCGGCAAGTTTGCTGTCTATTGAAGGTTCTTGTCTGTCGTAGAAACCCATAAATCCTGTCGACATAGAAATATGCCTTCGTTCTACATGGCGAGTCTAGTACTCGGCTAGTACGGAGTATAAATTGAAATAGTTGATTCTGGGAGCACTGGCTAGATTCCGTCCAAACGATTATTGCCGTGCTTCCATGTAGCCTTGTCTACGACCGGTAAATAAGAGTAGAGGGGTCTCTAGTTTGTCCACTAAGCGCTGATGTTGTTCTCCAACGCCGCCAGACCAAGTTGATAATCAACTCGTGCCCTAACTCGATGGATCCAGGAAAACTATTGGATGATAGATGACTGCAGTTTGTGGCCTCTACCTCGGTTTATAAATACTGTTAACTATGTATATGTACTTTGAATATTCAGCCTAATGATCTATTGGATTCAAACATGGCCTCGGCACCTGTGATTAACGACGGCATCACCCCACTCTTGGCGTCGATCGCCTCGATTTGCTATCCTCCGCGGGTAGATCTCATGCCAAAGACAGCCTGATGAGTTCCAAGGGTTTGGCTCGCTCTTTGGGATGGCGTCTTGGACAATAATCCAAACTGTCATCAATATCTAGATGAATCTTATATGATGTTGAGTGTGGCCCTGGAGGAGCTAACTGTGTCTGCCCGCTGTTTAGATGCTTAGATCATGCTGGTATTGATTAACTGACCTATTATGTTAATATTTTCAATGTATTCTCCTGTCTCTTATGCTTATATGATTCTAATGAGTACCTCTTATCATGTTTCGGCTTATGGAATGTTTATTGCTCTACCAGCAAGGTCAATGTACTCTTTCTAATGATTTATCAGGGAAAAACACCATCAAAAACAAGATACCCATATACGCAGCTCTTAATATTACGGGGTGAAGTATGCAAATTCTTACTGGAACTCAAATTAGGCGATTATATATGACTTACCGCCTCATATATCTCCGGCCTATACTCCGTACCTACTTCTATATTAGAATTGCGCGAATGGTAGATATCGTCTCCCGTGAAATTTTCTGGGGACCCAAATTCTACTGTTGATCCTTCTAGACTCCCACTTGATCTGTATTCCAATACTTTTATCCTTATTCAATTGATTGTCCAAATGGCAAAATTATCAGACGAGGAGGCTGATTCACGTACAGCCCTGGTGGGTGCACCGCGCACTCGATCGAATCCGCGTTCCACCTCGCGTTCCACATCCCACGACAGCGCCCGCCCGGCCAAGCGACAACGCCGCAACAGAAACAAGAAGGAATCAGATCTAGCTGACTTTGTCCCAAAAGGTGTTGCATTCAGTACTACCTCCTTGCCAGTGGATCCAGATAGCACATCTAGCTCTGGATCTAGTTCGTCTGAAAGTGAAGATTCCAATTCCGATACCAACTCAACTACTGCTGCAAACCCACACGCTGGCAACACCGCGCCTGCAATTAGTTGGAACCAGGGTCGGAAGGCTGCAGTGCGAACAACACTTGGAAAACGATCGGCACCAACAAACGAGAAGCCTAGTCAATTCGAAGCGGTGAATGACAAATATTGGCGCAGTCACAGCGCATCCGTCTCGTCGGCCAATGGTGAAGACAAGCCGATAGCAAACGACCAATCCGAAAATGATAATGAGCTGGAAGATGGAGAAATTGACTCCAAGAGTGACACAGATGATTCAGATCTTGGCTCTGAAGCCGATGACTCTATCCTGCTCAACATAGGGGACAAGATGGATGGTGCCAATGATTATGACCCTGCGACTCTGGCTCATCAGCATGGTTCTAACACCGGGAAATCAATCACACAATCTGGACCTGGGTCGAAAGAGGAGGCGTTCCGGCTTTTCTCAATCAAGTATCCAAGTGCGCCTACTGCTTTGGTGGACCTAAGCCAGACAGACCTAGAGAACCTGGCCAAGTACGTGTATTTTGATCGAAACATCCATGATCTGGACCTCAAACTTCCTATCTCTTGTCTCGAATGTCAAAGCGAGGGTCATATGGCCGATGTCTGCCCAAAAAAGGAGGTATGTTCTATTTTGCACTCAGTCACTTGATTTTCGCATTACTAACTCAACTATAAAGTGTGAACACTGCGGTGCCTGGAACCAGCATCAAAGCAGTACTTGCCCCGACTGGCGACGATGCCAAAGATGCCGCGAACGTGGCCACGATGAGCCACAATGCACCTCAAAGCTACGCAGTTTCGCATCTGAAGTGCCTTGTGATTACTGTGGCAACGAACACCTGGAATCCGAATGTGATTATTTATGGAGATTCCCCAGCAGAGACCTCCACTCCGATCAAGTCATAGTATCAATCTGCTGTGCAAATTGCTGCAGTGCAAAGCATCTTGTAGGAGACTGCCCGACTGCCCCCTTTAGCGCATCAATCACATCGTCATTTACCCTGAAGGGTATCGACCCGGACATGATCACGAACCTCAACACCGTCATCCCACCCCGAGAAGCTCGCCCACCCAGCCGTACTCAATCCCGCGGAAGAGCCAAGGAATGGTCTCGACCACCATCCCCAGAAGAAGATGACATGATGTCTCGTGTATCCCGCGGCCGGGGACGCCCCGTTCCTGCTCCGCGTGGCAATACTCGCGGAAGTATCAAGTTCGCAAGCGGAGTCGGAGCCAAACGCGGCGATCCACCATCCCGAGGGCCTTCCCGTGGACGTGCAACGTTCTCTGGAAACAACAATCGCCAACGCTCCCCGAACCCGCCCCTTCCACGTGGACCTCCCCCACCAAGGAGTGGTGGCCGAAGCCGTGGGCCACAACGAGGAGGATTCTCACGTGGACCACGTGGCGGTGGCGGCAGAGGCCGCGGCTGGTAGAAGGGGGTTTCTACCCGATGGGAGTCAGGAGAAGATTGAGGCGAATACAAGCCATGTACATAGCAAACAGCAAAGTGTTGACAATTCCGCTCAGTCTTAACTGGGCATGTATGTATGATTAAATGACACTCTATTGTAACATCTCTCAATTCAACAGGTATATCTCTCACATTGTATGTAGTATATGCCTAGGCCAGCCAGATGGACTATCTAACATATGAGTTAACCAAGGCAATCTCTACCTTGAGCCCATGATGAGATGAGACAGCACTAGAACCACATCACGCTCCATGCCCATCATTCTCTCTAGTCCCGACAAATCCCTCCTCCAGAATCCCAATCAGATCATCCAGTCGCTTAATGCAAAGATCTGTATGCGGATGTTCCTTCAAATGCACATTCAGCTCATTCAAAAGCAACACCGTCGCCGCACCAGCCATATGTCCAGCCGTCATATCATCAATGCTATCACCAACCATGATCAAATTCTCACCATTAGCGAGACCCCACTCACTTGCAATATGCAGAATGCCTGCGGGATCAGGCTTAGGCAGGAGATTGGGCGTGTCCCGCGTGATGATTGGGAGGAAGACATGGCCGTCGAGATGGTTGTCAATTAGGTTCTGGACTGGTGCTCTGATAGATGCGAATGTGTATATTAGCGCTTTTTGTACGTTAAATAACCAGAATTGATATTCCAAGGTTATGTCCTAGTTGCGTTGATTGCTTGTATAACGTACTCGAAATTGCGTGTGCAAAGCGCTCGTCGCAAACCGCGGGACTCAAGGTAGTCCATTAGGCGAACCAGGCCGGGCTGCGGCTGCTGGTTGATCATGGCTCGGCGCTCGACAGCTTGCACTTTGGATACGGCTGTGGCTTGTTCGTTAACAGGGAGTTCGCGGATGTGCTGGAGAATGTCGATGGAGCGATCGATTCCTAGTGCTTCTCTATAGTGCGGCATTTGTTAGAGAGGCTTTCGGGGGTGTTGAGTTTTGGATAGCTCGTAGGCATTAGAGCATACCTCATTTCGCTGAACATGTGGTGCTGTGGCAAACTGGTCACAGTTAGCGAGGTTCAGATGAAGTTAACTTGATACCACGATCAGAGCTAATAAACATGCTCAATTTCTCTGACGTTGAACATGTCAATCAAAAAAAGACCAATGCGGAAACGCTGGAAGGTGATATAAAACTAGAAGAGCACAAGAAAGCCCCCCACTCAACTATTACGTCCCAGACCCTAGGCCACAGCAATTAACATCTAATCTGGAGCAAATCATAGATCAAACATAGGGCTAAACCAAGAAGTCTTCGGACCATCCGAGTCCAACAGAAGGTATACTTCCCCGAAAAAAGCACGTTTCTGCCTGGATCTCATATCGATGCCTTAGTCCTCATTGCTCCCCGCCTCCGACAACAACAACAAAATATATGTATATACCAGCTCTCCAGGGCGGATGTAACAAACAATAACCGACAAGTAAAAGAAAATAAAGCGTATAATTCTTGTAAAGTATCAGAAAGGAAACAAGTGACTCACCACAAAGTTCCGTCCACATCAAACACAATTCCCTTCAAGAGAGGGGCATTCGACGTTTCGGGAGAACCGAGAGGTGCGAACTTTCGCGGACGAAGTTGTTTGCAGGCAATAGCAGACATGATGGAACGAGCAGCGTGCCCTAAATTGGACATGAATAATGATAGAGGTGGGAGGTTGAAGAGGTGGAGTTAGCCAAGTGGAGCCGCGGGAACGATCTATAACGTTCCAAGGTTCCAAAAGAGCCTACCTAACTAGTTTGTTCCTTCGTTTTTGATATTCCAGGCCTGTTTCCATCGATCCTGCCGAATATCTCCTCAAGAGAATTCAAAGTTTCTTTCCCCATTCAACAATGTGGACTGCAATATCTTCCATCTTCTCTACTTATGCTATCCACCATGGATCAAAAACCTTTCGCAACGTCAACGGGGGTCTTCCCTTTATCTCTCCAAACAATAACATACCTCATCGGTACTCTCTGTTGGCTGCAAATACTCTACACTGCCTCCTACCTCGTACGGCCATTTTGGAGCGCACGGCGCGAGTTTCCACCCTTCAACAAAGCCATCGAACGCACAGAAGGAAGGATTACCCATGTCATCCTCGGCACTACTCCACTCTCAGCCTATAGTTCAGCAACTGCAACAGAGCGCCCGTGGCAAATTTCATCAGGCAATGGTCTTCTGAGCCACGAGAACAACGTCCGTACCACCTCCCAGCCCACTCCCGGCTTGCTAGCCAGCTCAACCTGGCGACAGGAACATCAGGACACCGATTCCTCATCGGAGCAAGAAAGTGCCACGTCCGATTTAGGCACAGAAAATCTCAGAGAAAGCTCCCCCATCCATGACACCATGCGCAAGCTCCGATCCAGCACCCGAGGCAGCATCTCAAAGATCGCCAGCTCGGCAAAAGCCATCTTCCGACAACCGCTGACTGTTGTCCCGCGGAATCTGGACGGCTCGCCTTCGAACGGGGAACGGGCGGAGCCAGAACTGGCTCCAGCTTCAGTGCGCACTTCGCAGCCTCGCTTTGTCCAGAACATCTCCTTCCCCGTGCCCATGTCTGCGTCTGCGCGTGTCGCGGATCACTTCAGTGACCCTGGACCGTCGACTGGAATCAAGGTGCAGCAGCCGGTCGCGTTTGGGGCGACTATTGATGCGGCGGTTGATTCGGAGACGGTGCAGATGGATCGTGCGCGCAAGTATCACTCTATCGAGAGTTATCCGGGGAAGTTCCCTGTTAGTGATGCGCTGGATTATAGCTCGCTTGCTACTGCGCATGCTGTTAGAGGAAGGGGGACTACCTCTGTCCGGCCTTTCTCGGACTACTAGGGCGTCCCTTTGGTGTTGGGGAATTTTCATTGGCTTTATCGGTTTCTGGAGATATTGTGGTTGTCGTTTGGGTGACTTCTTTGAATTGGGCCTTGGGAAGAGATTGTGTGAACTTGGCTCGTTTTGCTTTTCTACTTCTTGGGTCTTTATTTGTTTCTTGGGGTATGGCATCAGAGTCAGTGTTGTACTTGTGGTTCTACAATTCATTATATGCATTACTGAAGATCAGGTCTGTCATTCAATGGGATCTCTATACCTTGCAGCATTAACTACTTTGTTCTATAGGAACATAACGAACTACCATCTAATACGTGTAAATTTCCTTTGCTTATCACAGTGCATAGTGTCTACTGGAAACTTTGGGCACCAGAAAATTGGCCATCCACATGGTTTTCCCAGCTGATTATAGCATAATAATTCCAGCACTCCTAGTCATACTGATATTGTATATTCAAGGTGATATTATTATAGAGCCATATAGGCAGTGCCAGGACCAAGTCCCTAGTCCTTTTAATAGAAGGTTAGTTTTATGTTCTTCCTTTGATCTGTCTTTCAATGGTTGACCTTGAACCTACCTACGTAAGGTATATAGATGTAGAAACTATTCTGGCTGGTTCTACCATATGGTCATATGTACGTAGTGACTGCTTACGTATATAGGGCCCTTAAGAGAAATTTCCCTCTGCTCTTACTATTCTCTATCTTAATCCTCGAATCCTCAAATCCTCAAATCTCAAGATTTTCAAAAGATATCCATCTATATCAAGAATCATCTCAGTAATGGCTTCAGACGAGACATGTCGGGACGGCTATCATATTTTCGTCGGTTGCATTTCTACAACGGTTGGCTTTATTATCGGCCACGTTTTCATGTACAGTTGGCGTTGGTATCATCATTCTCGCCATGATTACCATTCGAGCGAGAGGAGCAACCAAGCCAGAGCTACCGAGCCTCGCGAGACAAAAATAAAGCCTCTACCAATACGACAAAATGTACTTTCTGGATCAGACAGATATCAAACCCTAGATGTCTAGAGCCGAACCTGGGAATGCAAACAGCTGACCGCTACGTCTAAGGTTTTCTAGAGTTGGACATGCTATATAAATACAGCTGTAATACATTCAAGTGTTACCCGTTGATTTTGGTTTTGGCTTTGGGTGTTTTGCTTTATGTTGGATAAAACTCATAGACAAATCTGATTTGTTTCTTGAATTCAACCGGAAGGGACCTTCCTTCACCTTCCTTGGTTCCTTTTCTACCCATATACTTGTAGCTTCCTTGAAATATTTGACTTCAATCTTCCTACTATCCTCTTTTTCTCTTCCCATCACTGGAATCCAAGTCAAGACTTTCTTATTATTATCTTCCTTTTATGCACACTTCCTACATCCGAGTATCTATTCCACCGGCTAGGAGCCAAAAATCATCCCAACAGTGATAGCTCTTCCTGTGGGGCTCTCACTATTTGGTGATCGGCCCGGCTTTCGGACAGGTCTGTACGAGACTACTGTGCTGAGGTATACCAAATCTCTCTAATTCGGGGACAGATGAAATGAAATTCGTCTCAGACCGGTACCTTTCATTCCAATCTACGCCGTTCCATACCCACTCCAGATGCTCCCGTCTCATCTCGCCCTGCTCTTCACACCTCCATCCATCCCGGGCTTTCTTCTGAATATCTCCATCGCTACATAGCCACTTGATCCGTGCGTGATCTTCAATGACTCAGCTTTATTCGAAATTCTTCAGGAACTTTGATTCATCTTGCGTGCTACGCCCTTGATGAATCCCCCTCTCTTCTTACCTACACATCTTTTGGAAAGGCAAAATGTGCCAGGACAGAGAGCACCGTCATCTTTGGTCTTGCTTTGGATGTCTCTTACTTGATGATCTGCAAGCCTACATAATTTCTCGGTCAGAGGTCTTGCGCGATAGACGCCTGGATCAGTCCCACACCCCCGAGGCGGAGCGTGAACAGGGGGAATGTTCCCCATATCACTACGATCTCTTCTGCCTATTCGACCAAACCTAGCTGAAATAAGCTAAAGAGTGGATAGCAGCCATGGAAAATCAATGGTAAATGGTGCAAGGAGGAACGCTACTCTATCACTTTGACAGCGGCAGTGCCTATATGATACGCACTGCCACTGTCAGAGTCATCAAGACCGCATCGGTGGAGCCGGGCTGTTGATTATTTCCTCTTTTGCAATCAAGCTACGATTAAGAGGGAAAAGTCTCGTCAAATTGACATGTTCTATAGTTTACAACTTTCTCAAGACTCTGGTCAATCAATCATGAATGTTGAGGTCCTCCTCTACGTAGCTAGATCTCTCCTTTTAACACATCTATATAGATAGTTGTGAGAAAAAAAGCCGATATTGTCCATTTTTAATATCCTAACGCTCTTTCTAAGCATATTTCTAGTGATATTTTCAAGGGTTTCCTTTACAATTACTACAAACTACAAACCACAGCAGTCTCAATCCAGTAAGTTCCTATGTTTCCATTAAGATCTACACAAAAACAAAAACCCACAAGATCATTCCTTTGAAAGGGGAATAGATTATGTCTCCCTCTGCACCACTATCTACACCACAACACAGAAGCTACAAAGCGGCTAAAAGCTACAAAGCGGCTCAAAGCCCAGCACGCACACTATGCACGAGAACAGATGCATGCCCTCAGTCAAGGCCATAAAAATAATAAGCATAGAAAAATTGGCGTAGAAAAAGCCAGGGTAATGAAGAGAAGACATAGCTTCCCACCCATCCCATAGCCGTTGACATAAACATGAAAGGCAGGAAATATCGCAGACATTTAAACACACACACATTGCTCATAGATTTGGGGGGTAAATGCACTGGAGCCGGAGTCCCAGTGAAACAGTCATGGACGTCGTAAGGAAAAAAACAAAGCAAAGGCAAAAGCGCTAGAGGGAAACAAAGATTGAAAACATCAATCCAGGGGTATCACAATGCAAGTCTCAATATTGCTCATCTTCATAGTCGATTTGCGCGGGACTGCCTCGGTAGCGGGTTCGCTTGGCGTTGCCTGGGCTGTAAGAGCCGGTGGATGCGAGAGGACGCGGGCCAGTTGGCTTGCGTGCGGGGGAAGAGCGGACAGCAGAGCTCTAGAGAGGGTGAATGTTAGCATATGTTCAAGGAACATTGAAAGGGAGACTCTAGAATACGTACTCTGGAAACAGCACGGTCGCCGCTGTAGGCTGGTTCCTCGTCCTCCGGCACTTTGGGTGGACGCTCGGGAATGAGAGGACCGGCGTCCTTGATCTTGGGAGGACGGGGCGGACCTGGTGTACGGTTTGCACGGGAGCTGGTCTCCGAGTAGCCTGCATCGGAGATCGGGGACAGACGTGCGGTACCGCTAACACCGCTGTTGCGGTTTTGGGGAGGTTGGATAACGGGCAGGCTGGGGTTGGATCCCCACTGTTCTGAGCCAGCGGGAGAAACTGGACCTCCGTAGACCTGGGCCTCGGTTTCGAGGCGGGACTGGTAACGTCCGGTGGGGCCTTGGCGAGGCTGGGGGTGCATAAGCTCGAGACTACCACGGTGGCCACGGTACTTGGGCATCTCGGACACCTGGGAAGGCACTAAGGGCGACGGGGGTCTGTTCTCATCTTGCTCATCGCCCAGGGTATAAGTGGATCGGAGTCTGTCGTCCCCTTGGGGATCATAATAGTCGCCTTTGTAGGGACCTTGGGGTGCGAGATCAGACAGCCCAGACTCGTCCGATGCCTGACGTTCTTTGCGGGAAGGCTGGATGCTGTTGCGAATGCCGTCGCCCATGGAGGTGGCCGTAGACTTCGACCAGCGGGAGATCTTTGGGAAAATTGACGAGCTGCTGGACTTGTGCTTGCGGGCCTTGGGAGTCGTCTCGGTGCTACGAGCTGATGTGGCCACCGGCTTGCGTGGAGGTGTGTTAAGTGGCAATGAGCCTGACCGCTCGTGACTAGGTTGGCCACGGACAGGGAGGTGCGAGGTCAGGAACTGGTCACGGTCGTCAAGCTCAAGGTCCTCGTCGACTTCATGGACGGTGCTGACTCGCTGGTCCGAATCTCTGCGTTGTCCATTGGCTGGGCGAGAAGAGCTGGACCCGTAGGGAGAACGGCTCGTCTCGGCAGGTACTCCGTTTGAACCCGGAGCATCATACCCAATTAGATCCATTCTGGTGCCACCGTGAGGGCCCGAGCCATCTTGTGCGGATCGTAGGGCTTCAACCTCGTCAAGCAACTGCTCGAGCATACCTTCAATCTTTGTCAAATCATTGCCAGACTTGAGACTTAATCCCTTCAGCGCGCGCTTGAAGATGCTCTTCCGCTTGTCTTCCTCGTCAGCTGTGTTCAGCTGACGATTCCTAGAAGCACTAGTGGGCAATGGCCGAGGACCACCAAGCGCCTTGTGAGTCCGCTCATGTGCCCTGTCGGTAGTGTCCATAATGAGATCATCTTGCTCGGCGATAAATCTCTTCATCTGCTCGAAGGAGGTGCGCATCTCAGCAGCACTTCGAACCAAAGTAACCAGAATCTCTGTATCTCTGGCATTCCGCTGGGCATCCCGGACAGTCAAGTGATCCATAAGAGCCACAATATCCTGAGACTGAATTCTCTCGATGCCTCGGCCAGTGGCACTGTCGTAGAATGGCGAGCCAACGCCGTGAGAGTAGCCACTGAAATGGCGTTCATGACCAGAGGCAAAAGGATCATCTGCTCCAGCACCACTATCGAAGCTACCCATTCCAACAGCATCCACGCCCACAAGACCTCGATTAGCTTGCTTCGGGGTGCCAACACTGGGAGACATGGGGTTGGCAGCCGAGACATAGCCTTCATCCTTGGCACCAGGAGGAGTACTGAACGATTGCCGGGGTTGGTTGTCGCCAGAGTGGGCAGAGTAGTCGTCACCACCAAAGATATTCTGGGCAGTCTGGTAGTAATCCGCATCAAGTCCTATCTGTTGCTCGGCATTAAGACCCTTAGATCCACCGATCTGTTTATCGTAATAGTGATCCACAGGCGGAGATCCTGAACCATATCCCCATTGATCCGCCTGAGCGACACCACCAATGGGGCCCTGAATAATGGACGGATTGGTGTTGATTTCAGACTCTGATTCTTGGCTTTCAGCATCAGCATCCGCAAGAGGACTCTCCATTCCACGCGGGGCGCTGTCGGCCATCATAGCAGATTCGTCCATGTCATCATAGGACTGGGTAACGCTCTGAGGGGGCGATGTAGCACCCATGCGTCGAGGGAACGAAGTCTCATCGGCATCGAAAGCATCTTGACGCTGCTTCAGGGGGCTTCCGCGATGGACTTCGCTTCCTGACTTTTCAGGGCTTCGGCTGCCTGATCGTTGACCCAGATCGGTTTGCGAGCGGTTTGTGGATGACATCTGGGATTCAAGGATAGAGGGATCCATTAAGGAAGCGACTGCGGATTCGACGGTCACGGGGTGGATAAATTGGGGGTTAGCAGCAGCACCCGTTGCCACAGGGTGGGCTTCTTTGACTTTATCCATGAAGTCAACATCGCTATCTTCATCGTCGACAGAACGCCTGCTCTCCTCATCGTAGCCATAGAAGTCATTGTCTTGGGAGCCCTGCCGCGAATGTTCGTACCCGAGCCCAGGTGAGTCCTGGCTGTTTCGCATGAAAACTGCACTCTGGCTATGCGAGCTGGTGCCCTGACGGGTGGATCTCGCAAGGTCTGTACTGGGGGCAGATGACAGAGAGTCAATGGAGAGTCGAGGCTCAAGCTCATTTTTGTTGTCGAGGTGTTGTTCGTCGTGAGCCGAGTAATTGTCGTGGCGAGTCTCGGTACGGTCACTTGCAATGCTCTGAATGGGACTCAGTCCGCGGCTGATGGTCTCACCGTGATAGTCATCTTCCGTTTCATGATGCCCGGGGTGAGCGACATCAAGGAGATTAGCCGCAGCTGCGGCTGCAATTGCCCAGTTACCACCGTCGGTTCCTGGAGATTGGCTCTGGTGATGCAGGTCACGATCTGAAGCACTGTGCACCGAGATATTCTGATGCGACTGGTTGCCATGGCGCATTCTGAGCTCATAACGTGAGTCGACGGACTGTCTAGTGGGAGTACGAGAAGCTGGCGACATAGCCTGCCCCGGTGATCCGCGAGGAATGTCGAAGTAGGAGTCCTGCTGTTCGGGAGTGGGACTTGCCGTTCGCTCAGAGAGTAACGAGTTCCTGGTCATCTCGGAGTCGATCTCGCTGTGCATTGGCATTGGCGCAACATTGTGCTTCTGGAAAACAAGTTCGGTTTCGTTGTATTTCATACTCTCAACGCTCTTGCGTGAGCCACTTTTCCGGGAGCCACTCTCTCGCCGGTGCTCATTTTTGCCGAGACTCGAATTGGAGTTGTGGTGTTTCAAAGAAGCCGCCGTGAGAGCAGTACCGACTCGGGCAGCAGCATGGGCATCACGAAGACCCTTGCTCTTCTGTCGGCGGATCTTGTCTTGTTCGGTGTAGTCGGGTCGATTTGCCCATCTCACCGCCATATCGGAAGCTTCGCTGGTTTTACTTGATTTGCGCTCATTATTGCGTGAAGGCGCCTCGGGAGAAAGAATAATGCCTTCGTCTTTGCTATCCTTGTTCAGAACAACTTTAGGCTTCATGACATCCGGTGCACTGGCGTGCTTGGAGAGACGTCGACCTAGCTCATCTCTGGAGCTCGTGCCAGACGAATAAGATGTAGCCATGTCCCGATCGAATTTGTTCTTGTTGGTCATGACTTTTTGGTCCTTCTTGAGCTCCTTTAGCTCAGGTAAGATCAATCGCCTGATCGCATCTTCAACTGTCTCGAGTAATTTTGGGTTGTTGATAGAGGACTTGGATGCACCGGAGCGAATTGAGTACTGATCGGACTTGCGGTTTGAAGAGACTGCAGATGTGCTGAGAAGGCTAGATTCGGGGCTGATGAGATCCTCGTCCGCATATCTGTGCTTTCGGCGACGGGATGATTTTGTTTCGGCTTCGAGATAATCCATGCCGCCCTTGCTTTTTTGGTTGCTACTCGAAGCCTCTTGTGGTGATCCGGTGAGCTTCTCTGCCACGCGATGTGCAATTCGCTCCTTACTCAAACTGCGACTTCTTTGTCGTTGGGGGGTCTTGAGCAATCCCTTCTCTTCACGGGGCGAACCACGCTCCATACTCTGGCTGCGTTTCCGCCTGGGACCCGCCGATGAAGCGTTGATCATGCTCTCCGGTGGCATGGATGAAACCTCCGATGTCATGTACCGGGTATCTTGCGAGAGGGTAGACATCTCGCTATCCTGTCCGCGATTCACAAATTCGATTTCTACCGGGTCGCGACGTGTCATATGATGACCTTCCTCGCCTGAATTTGAACCAACACTCTGATCATCCGCTGCGCCCGAATCCAATTGCTTCTGTTTTGAAGATGGCGAGGGTAGGGATATTCGGTGGGTATATGACGGTTTACGGCCGCTTCCACCTGATTCGGTGATTTGAAAGTGGTTTTTGTCCCTGGACTTTTTTCTAGCTGACGATGGTGTAACACGTACTCGCACGCTGGGACGAGAGACAATGCCGCCTGAGCTTTTTCCGCCCTCAAAATACTCGATGAGTAATGAGGTATGAGAATCGTGTTGCGATCGAGACAATTTCTCTTCGCGGTCCCGCTGTCGCCGAGTGGAGACAGTGATGGGGCTACCGTCGTCTGGGATAGAGTACGACGTTTTGTCTGTGCGGCGAGAAATGTCAGTAGCCAGATCTGTGCCCGTTGCGCTATCCCCCGTGGTATCGATGATGGATTCTGTGGGGGCGGGAAGGATCGGTCTGCGGGTGTTGACCCCCATGATTGAGAGGCGTCCTTTCAACCCAATCGCATACTACACCGCGCTCGATCGAGATGATGGTAGGATGAGGGGAGTTGTGCTGTTGGGGTTCACTGTTGCTTCGTGCTTGTTGGCACGATAGTGGGGAAGGACAAATTGTAGGAATTCCAGAGATCCCAAGAATTAATTTGATAGGAGTTGAGAGCGTACCAGCGCAGACCACGGAACAGTGGGGAAGAATTAAGAATGTGGGATTAAGGAAGGAGAGAGAGGAAGCAACGGTGAGAGTTACCAGTCGAAGTTCGCCGATCCCCTCACATAAAAATGTGATGAGAGGAAAAGGAGAAAGAATTCGAGATATCTCTCTTAACGAGGGAAAGATGAAGCAAAGGATAGTAAGCTAATATCAGCCGGTACCCGAGTTAATTAAGATAATTGCCCAGCCACCAGAGGAAAAAAAAGAATTGAAGAGGCTGGATGCGTTGGCGATTGTACATCTTAGGTTCCGAGCCGCGCGGGTCACCATACAAAGAGTACCCAACAACTACATACGTTGTACGAAGAAGGTACGTTGTAAACAAACGGGAAACCCTTGGGGGATCGTCTTTTGGTTCCTTGGTTCTTCATCGCCTCAATTTTACTTTATTTTTGATTTTGATACTTTTGCCCTTTTTTTGTCCCTTTTTTTTTCTTAATTAGAAACAACTTTGATCTTGGTTTTTTTCCAATGAAATATTGAAAAAAACATGGATTTATCTAGGTAAACGCTACTCTGTATAACGTCTCTCAAGGCTGATTCGTGGCTGGGGTAATCTTGGTAAGTCCCTCTACATAACTACGGCAACCCAATTTTTCCATCAAGACCCGACAACCTAACACTTTGGGAGTACTCCGTACTTTGTACCCGTCACACACGAACACATACGGTCCACCTGCAGTTCTCCGTTGGACCCGCAAAAAGACAAGGCAAAAGAAACCGGAACAAGCACACCGTCGCCCAGACGACTGAGACCCTGGAGACCGGGTGATTGGCCCCAGCGTCTGCCAGCTCATCACACTTGTGTGCTCGGGCATTCAACATGACCAACCTCTCCATGTTAGAATGATTACTGGAATTGAAATTCATGAAATGGTTGGTCTATATGCCCAGATATAAAATACACTAACAGCATCCCCTAACCTTTGGGCCCCAGATTCACACTATTCGCCAGCTCACCCTGCCTGTCACTGGATAGAATTATACACGCGGCGCTTGTAAGGGGGCGCAAGAAATTCACATCGAGACTACTTCCGCAGCTGGGGGTTGATGACTTGCTGCATCTCGTACATTAGTGGCAATCAAGCTGCTTCACTCTGTCATTGGCAAACGATCGCCTCGCTACATTACTGTGTAAGATTGGCATCTTCCAATTGGACCGGGTTGGTGGGTATGGCAGGCTGTAGAACACACTACTGTAGGTACCGATGTACTTTTGTAAGGATAATCTTACGTAGATTTTCATCATTGTATCTCTTCTGTACTCTATAGCTCTCCTGCCCTTGTTTGAAGTCGGGCCCCTTCCACGTGGAAACAAGTCCGAAGTCCACATGGCCCAATGAATGCTTGCTGTGGCATTCCGTGAGGAAAGGACTAACATTGGAAGCCTTAAGATCATCGGACAGTCAGAGGTTGCATGATTGGTATCTATACATGTGGAACTGACCAAACGGATCTCGGATCGACCTCCTAGGTAGGCGGAGCGTATGCTTACTTTGTATGTCCACAGCCAACCATTGACCAGGGCGCAAGGAGGTGTAAACAAGATCGATCCATGCAAAGAGCAAGATGCATTCGACTATCCCACCGCTAACTACACGAATATTCAACTCGGATGCCATCTTTCTCATGATTACAGAATACAGGGACAAAATTGAAACCCAAATAGATATATCCACATTGCTGAACTCCAATGTCCCTAAAATAAATATGCAGAGACAATCGATCGCTTTTGATGTTCATACAGATTGTTCTCAGTCATTGTGCTTCCGCTTGAACTTCAGTCCACCACCGTGCTTAGGCTGGCTACCGTACGTGCGGCGTCCTTGCTGTTCCTGCTTCTTATCGCGGCTGAGGCTGGAGCCTAGCTGAATATCAATACGGGGAGGGGCATTGAAACCGAAGCCCTTAGCAACCTTGACGAGGTCAAGCTTGTTCACGTCGAACACAGTGCGAAGGGAGTGCGAGGCATATGCTTGGAGATAAGAACGGTAACCGTCCTTGGCAGACTGTATAAATGTGTTAGTATACGAGTAAAAAACAGATAAATGAGACGATGGGGAAGATAGCGTACCTTGTTGAGATAGTAGTTCTGGCCGATAAGCTTCTCCAGCTGAGACTGCACATTGACAATCTTGGAGGCGGGGAACTCGAACTCCACGACAGGCACACGCGCCTCCTTGAGGTGCTTCAAGAAACCGACCTCGGAAGGCTGGAGGAACATCAGACTGCGACCCTTGCCTTCGGCACCACGGGCGGTACGTCCGACACGGTGAATGTAGTCACGAGGATCATCAGGAGGATCGAACTGGATAATCCAATCAACAGCGGGGATCTAGAATTTGAGTCAGTTATGGGATAAACATGGTAGTGGGGGTCAGGGAACATACATCCAAGCCACGAGCAGCAACATCAGTACAGATCAGGGTACCTTGCTTGGCATTGCAGAACTCGAAGAAAGTATTGGTGCGCTTCTGCTGCTTTTGCTTTCCGTGAAGCTCCAGAACGGGGAGATCGATGTAGTTCAGAAGCTCAGCATGGTACTTGACGCAGTTACAGCTTGAGAAGAAGACAATAATCTTCTTCTTAAGGTTACGCTTGAGGAATGAGAAGAGAAGCAAGAAACGCTTGTCAGCCTCACACACCACGTAGCCTTGTTCCAGACCGGCGACTGTGCTGTGCTCTTTGCTGTGGTCGACGTTAATGTAAAGCGGTCCGGGGCGCAGGGATATCCGGGCCAGATCCTCGACCTTAGTGGTCTGTGTAGCGGAGAAAAGCATAGTCTGGCGTTCTTCTTTGGGCAGAATCTTCACGATCTGGCGCATCTCATCTTCGAAACCGACTTCGAGAATTCGGTCTGCCTCGTCGATGACCAAGGTCTTCAGGTTCTTGAAGATGAATCCTTGGGTGTTCTGGAGGTGATCGAGCAAACGACCGGGGGTCGCAATGAGCAGGTTGACACCCTTCATCAGCTTCTCAGCCTCAGCGCGACGGTTGGCACCTCCAATAACAATACCGTATGTCTGCGAGTGGTGGGCCATGAGTTCACGGGCGACACCGAAAATCTGCAGTGCCAGTTCGCGGGTAGGGGACACGACGAGAACACCAGTACCTGCATCAAAAAGTTAGCCACTTGTCTAGATGGCAAGTAAATATCAGATATGGGCATCAAAAAAGGTCTTACCATTTCTGGGCTTGAAGCGCAGGGCGTGCAGCATCTCAATCGCGGGGAGCAGGAAAGCCAGAGTCTTTCCAGAACCGGTCTTCGCAGCACCGAGCACATCACGTCCGGCAAGCAAAGGAGGAACGGTACGCTGTTGAATCTCAGTCATGGTTGTGAAACCCATATCGTTGATACCCTGCATGGTCTTCTCGGAAAGGTTGAGCTCGGTGAATTTCTGCAGCTTGCCCTCAGTCTGGGGCAAGCGGACATCTTCCATAGTAGGAAGATCTGTACCGTTCACAGCTGCCTTGTCTTCGGCATCACTGCTCTCCACATCACTGCCTTCCTCGACATCCTCAACAGCCTCGGCGTCGTCGGCGCTCTCTTCATCTGCGCTTTCCTCCTCGACACTCGGTGAAGGGCTGACCCTACGCTTCTTGGTAGCTTTCTCAGCTGAAGCCTTCGGGGTCGAAGCAACACTCTTTTTCGGGGTCACTGAAGAGCTGGATTTGGCTTCCACGGGCTTGGCGACATCGCTCTCTGTTTTCGAGCTGTGCTTTCTCTTGCGCTTGTTGATGGACTTTGCGGTGTCCACGGGGCCAGGCATTTTGTTGATTGGTCCTGCGACAATGTAATATTTGACACTGGAACAAATCAATCAGGGGGGTTGTCTCGTAACACCTGAACCTTGTGTTTTGCAGGTCTAGATTATTGATCTCTGCGGGCGGAAATCATTCTGCTACATTTTTTTTTTCTGATCGGTAAAATTTGGCAGAACTCCACATCACGTGTTGATAAACTCGATCAGTTGATGCCTTAACCACGAGGCGGATATTCTTGATCTCGCTCACGAGGTTGGCAATCTCCTGTGATTTTGATCATTACTTGGATGTAGCTTCGAAATTGTAAAGATCACATGTGTTTCAAGCTCAAGGCCCCCATATTTCAGATGTTATCAATCCATTTTACACCGGAGAAGAAACGATGCCGAGCAGGTTACGGATATGCCTACTCCGTAGTGGATTCCTGCTTTACCAAGTGAAAAGGCGGGATGCTAGTTTGAGGGCTGTGCAAGCGCAGCTATCTTGGCCTTGAGATAGGCAGCTGAGATATCACAGTTTGTATGACATGTGTTTAGTGACTGCTCAGCTGTCGCATAACTATATGTCTCATGCCAAGTGCTAGGCTTCTTTGTCTTTGCCCAGGAGCAATGGTCTTCGATATGTTTATAGAGTACGAAGTAGGTACTCTCTGTGCATAAATAAATTGCCTTGGCTGAGATCTGGTGTGGTTTCCAGTCAAGTGAGCTTTCTATTCCTCAATAGGAGTTGATGATTGAAACAGTGGCTATGTACCTAGGTAGTACAATAGTCTAGTGTTAGGTGCACGCCCGTTTTAATAAGAAGCAATAGAGAAGAAACTTGAGGATACTCTTTGCAAATGAAAAAGAAAACCGAGGAAAAGTATTAAAATGAAGTGCTATAAGTATATGCTTCGTACTCGAGTTCGTACTCCGTATACTACGTTGTAGGTACATGTCTTGAATGAAAAATCCAATTGCAGCGAAAGTAGAGATTTCTAGCCAATGAAATGCAATGATCGTACAGCCAATTAGACAAAGTGGGTGGGCCCTAAAAATACAGTGCAGCCACTAGTAGACCGCCTGTGGCGGGTGCAACATTTGACTGAAGAAAATACATTCTAGTACTGGGTCGCACAGGTGAATGCAATGAAGGTTCTGATGTCTCATTTAGCACATTGCAACCACAAATTCTACAACAATGTTGTATTTAAATGAGATCAGCGGGAGATCAAGACGTCATGACACGCACATGTGAGTACGTGATTATTATGATCATCCCTTTTTGGTGATCAGGGGTTGACAGTAGAATACACTATGCAAGCTAAATAAATCTATAATAAAGGGGGAAGGGAAGGTATTTGATTTGACACAAGTATACCAAGCTCACAGATGGTCCATGCATTTGTAGGTTCCCTTATTTCTGAAACGTGTCTGATCCGACCAGATGATGAAGATGGAGGCTGTGCAATCGCGTGAACGCTATGAATCTCAGTTGATTGGTATAGTATGTCGATCCTCATACCATCTCTATGCAGCCTGTTGAGGTTATTTTCATTTACATGTCTTCTCAAAATGATTAAAAAGAGTATATTATATCGTGTGTATCATCATATTGGAAGTGTTTTAGATCTATAGAAGGAAAAAATAGAGTCTTAATGATCTTCCCGGCTTTAGAATCCTAGGGGTAGACTAAGGAGAATAGTACCTGCACTGTACGGAGTAACTTCACTAGCAGACTAGTATTACATTAATGCTCGGGAGGGTTTACTCCCGGATCTAAAGCCATCAGGAACGTAAAAAAGAAGACAAAAAATTATCAGCCAAGGGCGGTTGGACTTTCCTTCCGTTTTAATGTTTATCTCTTGCCGCTTTGTATGCACTGGGTAAAACTGAGCATGCCCCTGGGTATCAACGACTGATCAACGAACTTCACCTGCGCACATTGCCGATATACAAAGTAGATCAATTTTGTCTTTTCATTCTGCTATGATTAAACCCTAGAATATATTTTTTTTTCTCTGGCGCCTATGGCTATTTTGTCCGTAAAAAAAATAAACCTATTACAACGTCTGATGATCAGGGTCGAAGGCACCGCACCACTAAGTTGTATCCGCCTGAAGAGGCTATATAGAGCCTAATTATGGTGCCTAATTATGGTGTAATTTGCTGATTCTCTGTCACCGGAGATTCGTGCAATTGTAGTCGAAGACGATGACTTCTTTACTGAAGACTATAGGTCCAAAAGAGGATACTGCTTTTTTTTGCTGCCTATCTTCCATTCTTGATGATTAAATAGCTCGCTGGTCAATATTGCCCACTTGCCAATTACCATACAATTTCTTACACTGAACTCTAGGCGGGTTGTTGAAAACGGTCAAGAATGATGAATTAGCTGATGTATGAAAGACCGTGTTTGATCACATCGAATCAAAATATTGCTCTATAGGCCACTTCCTATTGAATCCTCCAGGATTCTCAGCAACTTTATCTTTAGAATATGAATCTTGAATATTGTCTACTGATATGTATGATAAAATGGCCATACATCTGATAGTGAGTCCGGTCACGTGATATCGAGTAGCATCGGACTGAAATATACTCTGGTTAATTTACAAGCGCCCTTATAAAAGCGGCAGCTAACCTATAGCCCCACTTGAGGAAATTCCTATAACGGAGTACGGAGGTACATACTAGTAGGCAACGATTTATAAGTGTGGACCTACTTTATATAAAATCTAGACCTAAATTTGATTAAATATTAGCAGGCAGACAAAATACAAAATGTATGTGTTTGAAGTTGAATAAAGGTTCTTGTATGGAGTACGTAACGGTCCACTGTATGCGGCACACTCCACAGCTGGGGGCAGCAGTTCCTGTGGTTGAGCGCAATCCTTAATATTGGCATCTTTGACTCTGCTAATAATAATCTCCAAGCCAGGGACCCGCCTGATTCCGCCACGATTGCAACAACCGCTTTTGGCAGGGGATATGTTAAGAGAGGAAAAAAGATAGGTTACATTTGTACTTTTCTCCAACTGAAATAAAACAATAGTAAATAAAGGAATAGAATAGAATAAAGTGAACAAAAAAGCAAGTGAAACATATGTATTATATAACCCTGGAGATGGCATTCTGTAGTGTATTCAATGTTGAAGGGGGGGGGAGAAACTGCCAATGGGGTATACGAAACAAACCTAAACGTTAATACCAAAGAATACCGAAATTTCATTGGTTTCAAGTTAGCCGCCCCTGTTCTCTTACAATACATAACCACATACCTTGCCAGTGGAATGGCGATGGTCACCCGTGGACTCCAGACAGTGTCTTTCCCACGGATCCTTGTCGACTCTCTTGTCCCTGAGAGATCTTCTTCTTTCATTATTCTCTCTTTCTTTTCTACTTCTCTTCTCAGGTTTGGTGTCCACTTACCAACCTTTTTCCTCCAGGGCTCCATTTCAAGTCTATTACTCCTTTACTCCTTTTTCGGCCATACTGTGTATCGCCTGTCCACTCGTTCTCGACATTTCGATCTCTTGACTCGATCCTCACTCTCATTCAGCTCCTACTCTCATTCATCTACAAATTCAGCTTTGGATTCAATATATCCCACCCTTACGACTACTTCTACGCTCCGCTCATATTCAATACCTCAAAGGCACGCCTTAACCTTAACCCTGACTTTCCTCCGATAATTTGCGCCAAAACACAGACAGCACAGTGACAGCATAGTGACAGTCTAAGGAGGCATTGGGAAATAACTCAGCCCCACGGCAGGAAAAAAAATTCAGGGTCGAACAGAAAACTTCCGCATCCGGCGGCTGGCAACGTGGTACTCTGGAGTGCCACTGACACGATAGCTGTCAGATCTCTTCCCCTCGCCTTCTTCGCAACCTCTTCCTGATATTCGAATATACACCAATATGCGGTTAATATCGCTTCTCACTTGCTTCGTCGCCTTTCTGGCGCCGCTAGCCTCTGCCATTCAGCTCCTTGAATCCAATGCACTCAGCGTGTGCATGGAGAGTAGCAATTTCACGGCAACATATTTCAGCGTCGTCTTCTTCCCGGCAAACGACTCCCTTATAGTCGGCTTCGATGGCGTCTCATACATTGAGGGTAAGGTGGTTGCAGAAATGACCCTTACCGCGTATGGCTTCGAGGCATTGAAGACCGAGCTTAATCCTTGTAAGATTGAAGGCATGGGCATGTGTCCCATGGCCGCTGGACCTATGGATTTGGGACCGCTTACTCTCGAACTGCCAGCGGGCACTTCGAAGAATATTCCCGGTATTGCTTTCAGTGTGCCTGATCTTGACGCCAACGTGCGAATTGTCATCAAGACAGCCGACACTCAGGAGAAGATTGCTTGTGTCGAGGCCTCGCTTTCCAACGGCAAGACCGTTAATCAAGCCGGAGTCTCGTGGACAACTGCTGTCATCTCTGGACTAGGTCTCACTGCATCCGCTATTACCTCTGGACTAGGTCATTCCAACACTGCAGCTCACGTCGCAGCAAATGCGCTCTCTCTTTTCGGGTTCATGCAGTCGCAAGCGATTATTGGCATGACCTCCATCCATATGCCCCCGATCGTGGAAGCCTGGACCCAGAACTTCCAATGGAGCATGGGTATCATCCGCGTGGGATTCATCCAAACGATTGCAACCTGGTATCAGCGGGCAACGGGTGGAACCCCGTCGACAATCCTGTCACAGCTTGGGGATACTTCCGTGGAAGTCCTCAGGCGCCGCAAGCGTGACATTGCTGACCCCGCGGTGAACCTCTTGAGGAAAATTACGAGACCAATGTTAGTTAGACGGGCAACTGGTATGGCCAAGAGAACCGAGAACACCCAGAAACTGCTGGTCATTCGAGGAATTGATCGTGTTGGATTCCGTGCGGACATGGAGGAGACCAACATTTTCCTCACTGGCCTGATTTTCTTTGCAGTCTTCACCTGCATTGTCGTCCTCATCGTTGCAGCCTTCAAGGGAATAACTGAGCTACTTGTCAAACATGGCAAAATGAACAGCGACCGGTTCCAGGACTTCCGCAATGGATGGAAGATCGTTCTGCGTGGTATCTTGTTCCGACTGACTCTCATCGGTTTCCCCCAAATGACTGTTCTTTGCCTCTGGGAGTTCACCCAGCGTGACTCAGTGGCCGAGGTTGTTCTGGCAGCGGTCATGCTCCTTTCCATGCTCATCTCTCTCGGATGGGCCTCTCAGAAGGTCATTCGGTTGGCAAAGCGTTCAGTCACCATGCACAAGAACCCGGCATACATTCTTTACTCTGATCCCTCTTGTTTGAACAAGTGGGGCTTTTTGTATGTGCAGTACCGAGCAACCTCATACTACTTTGTCGTTCCGTTCCTCGTCTACACCTTGATCAAGGGTATGTTCATCGGTCTGAGCCAGCCTGCACCGATCGTTCAGGCAGTGGCCTTGGTGGTCCTTGAGCTAGCCATGCTGGTTGCTGTCTGCATTCTCCGTCCTTGGATGGATAAGAAGACCAACGTCTTCAACATCTCTATTGCCGTGATCAATTTCCTCAACTCTGTCTTCGTGCTCGTTTTCTCGGATGTGTTCGACCCCCCCGGATTGATGATCGGCGTCATGGGTGTCATCTTCTTCGTTTATAATGCCGTGTTTGCTTTGGTCCTTTTGATTCTGGTTCTGATTGCCTCCGTCTATGCCGTGGTATCTAAGAACCCCGATACTCGCTACCAGCCAATGCGTGACGATCGTGGCTCGTTCATCAAGTCCCAAACCCAGCTGACTACCGAATTGGATGCCTTGGGTGCTACAGCGCGTGGTGATATGAAGCCTGGCCAATATAATCACAACCCCTTCGACGATGATACCGCCTCTATCTCCAGTGGAAACGGTGCTAGCATTGCCCGCCCAATGGAATCGACCTACCCACCGCACGGCACTATCAACCAAGCGCCTCGGTCACCCGTTGACCCATCTGTGCCACTGTTCCCCAGTAATGTGTCAGGTCATCACAACCCTCCCCCCGGATACGACCACTACGGTCGGTCGCCTTCACCCGCCCCAAGGAGCTTTGATAACAACGCTCCTATTGGCCAATCTGCTTTGTCGACAAACTATCGGACCCAGAACAGTGCCAGTCCCTGGCAAAGGGGCGCTGGCTACGACCATTAAAAAAAGCCAGTGCACTCTTGTTTTGTCGCTTCTGAGATGAAGATATGTGATTTTGTTTTAGCGCGGGATACCGATGGTCTATGTTTTTTTTTACTTTCAATCGCCATTCCTCTGGGTTCGGGGTTCTTTTCTCTTTTTTTCGCTTCATCTGCAGCATCCTCGCTTCAGATAAACTTCTTTTCTTAATTCACTACATATCTTAGTGGTGTGACCTTTTACCATCTATCCCTTCCTTTTCTATTTACTTCTCCTCCCTTCGTTTCTATCTTTCTCTCGCTGGTCTAAATCCTTTCGTGATCGACGTGTATCGCTCTTGTTTTTACTTCTCGGCGTTCTTTGATGCATTCTGGATATGGTGATTGGCCTTGGGTTTCGCTTTTCTTTTTGTTGGCTTTGCAGTATATCTGCTACCGGTGAAATATATTTCCAATTTCTACGGCTGTCAGCATTTCTCACCTTATCCACCAGTATTCTGGCAGGTAGTCCTAGTGTAAATACTAAAGCAATGTCTACATTTATCGATGCAGATGTCAATGTCGAAGATTTTTTATTATCATCAGTTCCTTGCCCTACCATGTACTCCGTATATCTCCTCCAACTTTCAAGGCCTTGGATCTCTCGTAAAGAATCCAATTCCATGAATTGACAACAGTCATGCTTTTCCAAATCAACCAGATCCCCAAGAGACCATGTACGAAACACCGTACGAAACGTAAAAGAGATAATAAAAAAAAATTGAACCCGCTATTTTACACTAACAGTAAAGAGCAAAAAGAACCATGAAAGATGTCATGTCGACAGCACCAGACATCCCCACAGAAAAAAGTAAAGGTATCAGAAACAAACCACATACGGACCAACCCCCAGATCGTCATCATGATCACCACTGCTGTTCCATCCTACCATTATTCCCACTTCCAGGGGGAGGAGGATATCCCTCCAAGCCACGGGGTCCAGTCGGAATAGGCGACGGACCGCCAGGCCCCGCACCAGGCTGACCATGCATAGGCATAGGCGGGAAGCCCGCGCCTGGCGGGGGGATAGGGAAGTTTGGGAAGCCGCCGGGGGGCGGGATGGGCAAGTTTGCGCCCTGTGGCATGTTGAGAGGCGGGGGGAATCCGCCTGTTGGCGGGGTCCCGGCGGCGTTGGGGAAGGGAGGTGGGAAGGGAAGACCGTGGGCTCCTGGGGCTAGCGGGAACGGAAATTCGTTAGCTTAGTGTTTTCCTGGGTAGAATTGGGATCCTCGTCTAAGGTTCTTGCGGGGGTGTGGGATTGGAGGGTGCGACATACGAGGGAGCATGCCTGGGGCGCCTGGGGCGCCTGGTGGAGGGATGCCGAAGGGGGGAGGAGGCATTCCAGCCATGCCTGGGTGTCCTAGTGATGTTAGCTTTGGGGTGGGGTTGTGGGAGGGAGAAATTGGTGGGTGAGTCGGACCTGGGAATCCGAAGGGAGGCGGGAAGGCTCCCGGAGGCATCATGTTGGGGGCCTGTTGGCCCTCTGCGGCGTAGGAGGAGGTGATGGAGTCGATGACGGACTGCGCCTTTTCTTGGCCGATCTCTGCATGGGGAGCGTGGTTAGCCAATCATTCGGTTGTTGAATTTTGTGTGCCTTGCTGCGCTATCGCTTAGACGTACGTTGGTAGTAGTCGACCACATTGCGCAGGTGGTTTCGGCCGGAGTTGTGCGCCTTGCGCACGCTCATCGAGTCGTGCGTCAGATAGACATCGCAGTAGTCGCCTAGAAGTTGAAGTGAGGAGTTAGTAGTCTGTCGGTGGATGTGGGCTCAAGAGGCCGCAGTCAATATGGAAGGGCATAGAGCATCGTGTCGCATTGGGCCTGGAATAGGCTATGACAAGGCTTGGCCTTCTAGACTTGGATTTTCGGAAAACCTACAAAAGAGTGCATGGGCAATTAGCTTTCAGTTTCAAAGATGTAGACCAGAGGGTACTTATATTTGGGCATCTTGCAGATTTCTGCAGCAAGGACCTTGCTGTCGTCGCGCGAAAGAGGAAAATTCCCTTGAGGGATTGGCTTCGTTCGGGGGCGGGGAGCTTGGCTAGCAAGGAGTTCCCTGATTTTCAATTTCGTGGTTTTAGGTTGAAGCTCGGAAATAAAGCCTTTGTGGCGCAGATAGGAGTGAAATTTAAGCAGCAGGACCGGCAAGTCGTTCCAGGGCTCGATGGCGAGAGTTGAATAGGCGGTCTGCGTTGGCAGAATAGTGTCTTATCGTATCTCTCGAACAAAGACAGCCCCTCTCAGGTCTCTTGCTGGGGGCAAATTCTTGTTATTGAAATAATGATGAAAGTTCCAACTGTCTAGCGCACTTTGTTTCAGCTTAAAACTAACACTCGATATTAAGGCAGATTCCAGCCAAACTTATACGATATCCATTCATTACGAAGACGTTGAAAGCACGTTTCTATCCATGGATATATAACCAGGGGTTACGCACTCTACTATTATAGATAAAATAATAACCCCCCAATTCTAGGACTTTACATACGCTATTAAAGATGCACAGCCAATATATGATCCTGCTACTTTCCAGGGGCATCCTCGATGCCATACATGCGGAACACGTCTAGCTAGACTAATACAGACTTTTGGAGTCGGTTATCATACGTGAAAAGCATTGGACTTATTTCAAATTGATTTAAACTCAGGGTTAAAACAGTGATAGCAGCTTAAGCCATCGCCCTCATGAAAGCTGGTTTACATATCCCACTTGCTTGCGACAGCCGGGGACAAGACGCCATTAACAACTCCACCCTGTTCTCTCAGATTCAAAACCTGCTCACCATCCTCACGCTCAATCTCAAGTTTCCCATTTTCCACGCTCCGGGCGAAGGCTACAATCATCTGGAGTAAGCTGGCAAACTTGCCCAACCCCGCTTGCTGGGCCTCCTCCCATTGCTTTACCTCATCCCCGACGTCCTGCACCCGAATATCCCTGAATCGACCAGATCCATGAAGGGCGAGAATGAAGTTTTGAGTCTGTGAAACCCAAAACCGAGGCAATTCTTCCTCGAGAACGTTAAGATCCTTTCTATTCTGAGATCGGGTCTTCAGGTCAAAGATTGCACACTGTGGGACACGCCGGCCTTGCTTTGTAGTCTCAAGCTGTTTCGACGAGACTTCTGTAATGATTGAGATATCATCCGAGATTGTTGCTTCTTCAAGGGACGCCAAAGCTCCTTCTGGGTCGATACTATCCTTTGGGGAGACGGGGTCTTCTTCGGTTTCCTCGGTATCCGGGACTAGGTCGGGCAGAAAGCCATCCGGTTCGAAGCGCACCAAACACTGCATTCCGGCAAATTCATACTGCATCACCCGTTGGTGGGACTTGGATCCACCCACTCTTGCACTCCACGTGGTGTATGCTTCTGGGAAAGTATGCCCATACCCACGGACATCGGGGATCTTTTCGGTGGGCGAGTTTTCCCTTCTGACGAAGAAGACCGTCTGACCGAGTACCTCGACAAGAATCCTGAAGGACTTGTTCTGCCCAAGTGCAAATCGTAAGAGGTTGCCCATTGTGCTGCTGCAACCAATGATGTCCACATTGGTCACGGGGAAATCGGGATTGTCTGTTAGTATTGCTTGTACCATTGGCTCCAGAGGGTGGGCGGGGTATTGCGCAGCATTTCGATCACGATAATATTCACCCCTGTCCTTTTGAAGCATGGGAGCATCGGGCAGAGGTGTCCACTTTGGTGGCTCACCTGGTAGAAATGCGTCAGTCAACATGTAGGGGGTGGTGAACAGTGCCTTTTTATCAGATATCATCCTCTTACCGGGAACGATTATCCTGCTCTTTTCCCCAGCAAGCCAGTTGTAGGATGTCAGATATTGACTGTTTGTGATTCGAGATGTGTCATTGTCTTCGTCCGCGGGACTTTCGATTTCATTTTGACGGATTGTGACAATGATCTCTCCAAGCGGAGGCGCTGGTGAACTGATCTGGGGAACGCGTGCCCCTCCACGTCCTCTCCCTCGTCCTCGTCCTCCTCGTCCTCTTCCCCACGAAGACATAGTGTAGACTCGTCTTGTGGGCAGAAATTAGGATGAAGGTTGAAAAGGAATGCAGAGGAAGGGAGAAGAATAATTAAAAGTAGACATGTGGGCTCAAGTGTTGAGTACCTTATCGTTTGCCAGCTCTTGTAATGCCAACGCGTTATGTTGCAGGGGTATAGACCCCAGTCGCCACGTCACATATGCGCCTCATGGATCTATACCGGCGCCTAGTGCTGCGTTTGTTGGTTTTTGCTGCGGATAGGCTGGATTATAAAGATACAATCATGCAAGGCAGACAGCCCTGGTTTTCTGCATATTTGGTGTAACTGTGCTCTGCTTTGTTGTCAATGAAGCAGGATTCAAACTGTCTCTGTCTTTGAAGTCCTTCTACACCTTTTATTTTCCACCTTTCTCCAACTTTGACCTTACAACTATTACGCCGAGTGTAGTTAGTACTGTTCGAACCTCGTCTGTCATGTCTCCAAATATTCGATCAGAGCGACTGGCCAAGTATTTTGGAGCGGTTGTCCATGGAAAGCAATCAGTCCAGGATCCGAGCAATTTCAAGCGATTTATTGAAGCAATTTTGGACCAGAGCGATCGCAGTAATGTTGTTCAGCGAATCATCTCAAGCCAAAGCGCTCTAAACGCCTTGAGAAATGGTCTGAGGTTCAACCTCACCCCGGTCTTCATCAACGGGTACACCGCCAACTTGATTCAGTACTTGAACAATCGCGACGTCAAACTCCTTTGCAACGGTCAATTTCTCGAGCAGCTTCTTCTGATTATTTTGGAGCCCCGTACCCTCTGGGGCGCATTTTTGGAGGCGTTCCGCACTCGAAGGCTGGAAGAACATGCGATCCAGGCTCTATGCTGGTTGATGACGGAGTTGCTTTCATTGCCTACCTCTTATGGGGTGGATGTTCGAGCGGATGCTCAGACTGTTTTGAACGATGGATCGCTGCTCTCTTCACCCTTGGCGGAAATGCGAAACTGGAGTCACAAAATCAAATATTGCCTGGAGATGAAATCATCTGCAGCCACCGTCCAGGACTCCGAGATTACTGCAGGTGGTCGGCATGATAATGATTTTGCCGATTTTCGTTTGACAGCCATCTTTCCTACGGCCGATGAGATGGGATGTACGGAGAAGCCGTTTTATCGCCGTGCTGAAGATATCGCGCTGTTGCCTAATGACCAACGCATTGCCGGCCATGTTGACAATCAGTTTCGTCTTTTACGAGAAGACATGCTCTCAGAGCTCCGTGATGATTTTCAAGTTACCAACGGCAAAAAGAAAGGGCGACGGTCGGCTTTACACTTGAAGAATCTCTTTCTCGCTCAAATCCGTTGCACTTCTGGTGGTACCCCAAGCCGTCTTCGACCATGCACCATTGGTGTTACTGCTCAGCATGGCCTTGGAAAACTCAAAGACCTCCCAAAAGATGGTCGCAAAAAATTCCTTCAGAATACGCCTCAGTTTGTCAAGCATCGTGCTTTTGGCTGCTTGATTCGAGATACAGAACTCGTGGCTTTTGCTACAATTGAAAGAGACATCGATGAACTGGTATCTGACCCCCCTGTGGTCATGCTGCGTATTTCAGGAGAAGAGGCCCTTAAAAAGTCTCTGCTTTACCTAAAGCTTTACCACGATGTAGAGTTCTTGCTTGTTGACACAGCAATGTTTGCATATGAGCCAGTTTTGAAATGCTTGCAGGAGAGGATAGAACTTCCTCTCACAGAAGAGCTGTTCCTTTACGAAAAAGACCAGCCAGTGCAGGAGTCAAGTCTAGCTCCTTGGGATGTGGTTAGCAAGTTGAAGAAAGAATACGGATGTAATATCCAGCGCATCCTTAAAACCTCAACTCCCGTGACACTGGACTCTTCCCAGCTAGATTCTCTGCTGGCTGGATTGACACAGAGAGTAAGCCTTATTCAAGGACCACCAGGTAAGATCATTCGAATCCTCTCATTTCCATGACCAAGGGTATCAGACTGACAGTATGGGCTCAGGTACCGGCAAGTCATTCATAGGCGCCCTTCTCGCAAAGGCCCTGCATGGCAACACCAAAGACAAAATCCTGGTTATGTGCTACACGAACCATGCCTTGGACCAGTTTCTGGAAGAATTGCTAGACATTGGTATCGATGCCTCGGCCATGGTAAGACTGGGATCCAAGTCGACAGGGCGGACTGAGCAACTTGGATTGTATAAGCAGCATTCGTCCTACAGGAGGGATGCTAACACTTGGAACACCATCAACTCACTCGAAGCGGATGGGGATAACCAAAAGACCGCTCTGAATGATTCTTTCGAAGCTTACAAGAATCTCGCAGCTAATGCTGCATCCATCTTGGATTATCTGGAGTTCGAAGAACCAGAGTACTTTGAAGCTCTGACTGTACCACAGGATGAAAACGACATGACGATGGTCATACAGGGTGGAAAAGCAGCCAGAAAAGAGTACCTTTATGGGCGATGGATCAACAACCAGAATGCAGGAGTGTATACTGATCTTCTGCCCCGTAATTCCCGCGACATCTGGGAACTGGATATAAAAATACGAGAGGAGAAAGACAGGTCCTGGAAAAGAGCTCTGCTGAGTGAACAGGCGGAGTCTTTGGGCGTCAGAATAGCATTGTTCGACAAATGCCAAAGCCGACTGAGCGCTACCCTGGGTGAGAAAAACAGGGAGATTTTGAAATCAAAGCGAATCATCGGCTGCACCACTACAGCCGCAGCAATGTATTCTGAGGACATTCGACATGCTTCCCCTGGCATCGTGCTACTCGAAGAAGCGGGCGAGATTCTTGAATCCCACGTCCTTACAGCAATGACACCGGAGACGAAACATTTGATCTTGATCGGAGATCATCAACAATTACGACCGAAGATCAACAGTTACAGCTTGAGCACAGAGAAAGGGGATGGATATGACCTGAACGTATCCCTTTTCGAGAGACTCATACATGCCGGGTTTCCACATACGACGTTGAACAAACAGCATCGGATGTGTCCTGAGATCTCAAGTCTTGTACGCAATCTCACATATCCCGGGCTGGAAGACGATAAGAAGACAAAAAACCGCCCTCGGCCACGAGGCCTGTGCGACAGAGTGATATTTTTCCATCATCAAAATGCCGAAGACATGTTTAACGAGGTCTCTGACCGTCGTGATGAGAACTCAAAGGGGAGTAAGAAAAATGTATTCGAGGCAGAAATCGTCCTCAAGATCGTGAAGTATCTCGGACAGCAGGGGTATGGAACAGACAAGTTGGTTGTTTTGACTCCGTATTTGGGTCAGCTGAGTCTACTGAGGGATACTCTGAGCAAACAGAACGATCCAGTTCTGAATGATCTCGATTCCCACGACCTTGTCAAAGCAGGGCTGCTGTCGCATGCTGGTGCTTCCCACAACAAGCGTCCAATCAAGTTGTCTACAGTTGGTAAGTGGAGAGAAATAATTGGAGGAAAGAGTCTAACCTAAGAAAATAGACAATTTCCAAGGAGAAGAGAGTGAAATCGTTATAGCTTCGCTTACTCGCAGTAACGAATCCGGCGACATAGGATTCATGGCAGCCCCCGAGCGCCTGAACGTCCTTCTTTCCCGGGCCCGGAATGTCCTCATTCTAGTGGGAAACTCGAAAACATTTGTCTCTAGTCGAAAGGGTCGGAAGTACTGGAAGCCATTCATTGACCAACTGAAGGAAGACGGACATCTATATGATGGACTGCCAGTTCAGTGCGAGCAACATCCTCAGACAAATGCTATTCTCCGAACAGTGGAGGATTTCAATAGAGAATGCCCAGATGGAGGATGTTCTGCCCCTTGGTGAGTCCATGAGAACTTTTGCCTTCACTAATATCGCATCGTGTTTATTATCCTTGTTTGCTGCATTCACCAGTATATCTTTTCTGGTATCTTTTCTATCATATTCTTGATATATTTCTCGATGTCTTGATATTTCAATGCTAACTCTTCCAAATAGCGGCGTGAAACTGAGTTGCGGACTACACGATTGCCCGTCAAAATGCCACCAGCTTACCGACCACTCAAAAATGAAGTGCACGAAAATCGTGGCGTGGAAATGTCCGCGAGGCCATTGCCTATCTGTGTCATGTTCCCAGGCCAAACGTTCATGTCGTTTCTGCATCCTGGAAGACCAGGTCAAAGAGCGCAAGCGCAAACGCGATCTCGAGTTGGAGGCAGAACGACAGAGAAAGCAAAACGAGTACGCCCAGCAGCTTTTAGAGGCTCAGGAGGAGGCAGCTCATCTCAGACGTGTGCAACGCGATGTATACGATGAGGCAGAGCGCGCGAGGGTTCTCGAACAAACCCGTCAGGAAATCGAAGATTTGAGGAATCCCCCCAAGCTGGCACCTCTTCAATCTCCAGCTCCTCTAGCCCCGTCTCAATCTCCGTATCAATCTTTATCTCAATCTCCATGTCTTATACAGAACCTAACCTCTGGAGCGGCAACAAGCACAATCTCAAACATCACAGCCACAGGCACGGATTCCAGCAAGACAACCACTCCCACCCGCAGTGTCGAACCTACAAGTCGACAGACAATGCCACCGCCAAAACGATCAGCGGCCAAAACAAACTGGGACCACCAAAAGGAATTCTTCAATGCCCAAAGCCAGGAGATCGACAAGCTGATCGACATGATCGGACTCGAATCCGTGAAAGAAAAGTTCCTGTCCAGCAAAGCGCAAGTGGACGTTGCCGTCAGACAAAACGTCGATCTGAGCAGCTATCGATATGGATCCGTATTGCTCGGGAATCCCGGTACGGGAAAGACAACCGTTGCCCGTCTGTACGCAAAGTTCCTATCATCTATGGGAATCATCCCCGGCGACAAATTCATCGAGACAACCGGGTCCAGACTCGCGAGCGACGGTGTGAAAGACTGTCAAAAGATCATCGAGAATCTCCTGAAAGACGGCGGCGGAGCCATCTTCATCGATGAAGCATACCAGCTCGTCGGCGATGGTTACGGCGGTAAACAGGTTCTAGACTTCCTCTTGGCTGAGGTTGAAAACCTCACGGGGAAAATCGTCTTCATTCTTGCCGGATATCAACGGCAGATGGAGAAGTTCTTCGCGCACAACCCAGGTCTTCCGAGTCGTTTCCCGCATGAGCTTAGGTTCGAGGATTTCGACGACACGGAGCTGATGCAGATTCTGGTCGGATGCATTGAGAAGACGTACAAGAAGCAGATGAAAGTCGAAGATAACCTCGGAGGACTTTACTGTCGTATTGTGGCTCGTCGAATTGGGAGGGGCCGTGGTCGTGAGGGCTTTGCCAATGCTAGAGCCGTTGAGAATGCCATGGCTAAGATCTCTAAGCGGCAGGCTGCACGGTTGAACCAGGAAAGACAACAGGGTAGCGGCGGCAAGATTGATGATTTCTTCCTGAGTAAGGAGGACATGATCGGTCCTAATCCATCGCAGGCTTTGCAATCATCCGCTGCTTGGAAAAAGCTGCAGACTATGATTGGGTTGGATGCTGTGAAGAAGACGGTGCAGGCTATTCTGGACACCATGCGATATAACTACCAGCGCGAGCTGGATGAGAAGCCTCTAGTTGAGTACGGTCTCAATAAAGTTTTCTTAGGAAATCCTGGAACGGGCAAGACTTCTATCGCAAAGATCTACGGTCAAATACTTGTGGATATCGGGTTTTTGTCCAATGGCGAAGGTATGTTTAAACTATATTGCTCTCACTTCACTCTCACTCTTCTCTCACCTTACTTTATTCCGATCCAAATTATGCCTTGTTCCCATAATCTCTACATCTACCCCCGCTATCTATAACATCTACTAACAATCGCAGTGGTGGTGAAAAACCCCTCAGACTTCGTCGGCGCCGTAATCGGCGAATCCGAAAAGAACACCAAAGGAATCCTCGCATCAACACTGGGAAAAGTCCTAGTCATCGACGAAGCCTACGGACTATTCGCCGGAGGCACCTCAGACGGCACAGGTTCCAAGAGCGACATGTTCCGAGCCGCCGTGATAGACACCATTGTAGCCGAAGTTCAAAGCACACCCGGCGAAGACAGATGTGTCCTGCTCCTGGGCTACACAGACCGCATGGAAGAGATGTTCCAGAAAGTCAACCCCGGCCTCAGCCGACGCTTCCCAATGGACCAAGCATTCGTCTTCGAAGACTTCACCTCAGGCGAACTGGATTCGATACTGGATCTGAAGCTCAAAGAGCAAGGATTCGGCATAACTGACCGTAGCCGCCGCGTGATATTGGAGATGCTCGAGCGGTCTCGGAACCGTGCGAATTTTGGAAATGCAGGCGAGATCGATAACTTGCTCAACACGGCTAAGATGCGGTACCAGAAGCGTCTCTCTTCTGCTACACGACCTAGCTCTGTTCCGGATTCGGTTCTTGATGCTCCTGACTTTGATGAGGACTTTGATCGCGCGGATAGGGAGGAAAGCGTTGCGAAGATGTTTGAGGGAGTCATAGGATGTGACGGTATCGTTGCTAAGCTGGAAGGGTATCGGCAAATGGTTCAGAGTCTCAGACGACTAGACTTGGATCCCCGTTCGCAATTGCCGTTTAATTTTGTTTTCCGTGGGCCTCCAGGTATATAACCTCTAGTCATGACCCCAGCAAAACAATTACTGACATGTAAATTCCCTTAGGTACTGGAAAGACAAGCACGGCTAGAAAAATGGGTCAAGTCTACTATGATCTGAGCCTGTTGGCTTCGAACGAAGTGATCGAAACCTCAGCTACCGACTTGGTGGGCCAATATATAGGCCATACAGGCCCGAAGACTCAACAAGTCCTAGAACGTGGCCTTGGGAAAGTATTATTCATCGATGAAGCCTATCGGCTCGCCGAGGGACAATTCGCCAAAGAAGCCATGGACGAGATTGTGGATGCCATTACCAAGCCCAAGTTTGCCCAAAAGCTGATCATCATTCTAGCCGGCTATGATAAAGACATCAACCAGCTGATGTCAGTAAATCCGGGGCTCACCAGTCGTTTCCCAGAATCTATTCAATTCGACCCTTTGTCCTCAACAGACTGTATCAAGTTAATGTATGAGCTCTTGTTGAAAGAAAAGAAAGAACTCTCAAGCAAATCCCAAGCTCAATTCGACCTGGTCTGCTTGGAGAGTCCAGACTTCGAGTTTCAGAATGGAATATCGGAGCGCTTTGATAAACTATCAGAGAGTGCAGGTTGGGCAAATGCACGAGACGTTGGAACGGTCACGAAGACAATCTTTGGCAAAACTCTTCAGTCGGCCAGCGGGAAGCGACTAGTGCTGAGCCAGGACACGGTGCTCGATGCTCTTGATTCAATGATCAACGAGCGATCCAGCCGGGATGTCTACCCGCAAAAACCCCCGTCCCCTATAATGAAAGCGAGAGCGCAGACAGACCTGGCCATACGCACTAAGCCTTCGAGCAATTCCGCTACCAAAGTAGATACTCAAGCCCCAGTCAACGGGGACATAGCCTCACCGACGGAGCCAGACACAGCCGAGCCTGAAACAGACAAACCCGCCACCACAAAGCGAGATGACGGCGTTACAGACGAAGTGTGGGCTCAACTCGAAAAGAAAAAAGCTCTGGCAGAAGCCAAAGAGAAAGAATACTTGAGTTTGAAAGCGGAAGAGGAAGAGAAAGAGAGGAAGGTATTGGAGTTGAGGGCAGCGGAAGAGAAGGCAGCACGGGAGCTGGAAGAGGCAAAGAGGAGAGCAGATGAAGAGGCGGAAAGACGCCTTGAGCAAGCCCGGATACAGCATGAATTGGAGCGCAGGAGGCAGGAAGAGATCTTGGAGGCCATCCGCAAGCAGCGAGAGGCTTTGGCTGAGGCGCGTCGAAAGGAACAGGCTGTTCAGGCGAAGTTGAGGACTATGGGGGTCTGTGTCGCTGGCTTTCAATGGATTAAACAAAGCGGCGGATATCGATGTGCTGGTGGTAGTCATTGGGTGTCAGATGCTCAGCTTGGAATTTCCTGAGCTTGGGATATTGCATTAAGGATATTCTTGGTGGGTTTTCTGGTAGTTTTTCGGATAGTTTTTTGAATACTTCCTAGTACTGGCCTTCCTGGTAGTCTTCCTGATAGTCCTTTTTGAAGTCATCTTGAAACATTGAGTGTTGTCAAACCCAACGAACTAGATAGAGAGTGGGTGAACATCCACGTAATTCATATTTGCGTGTGCACCTCTCTCTGATAGTCAACGCGGTTAATCACAACCAATCCCCATACCTTCGTCATGAGATAAACCATAAGATTCCATATCAGATGATAAGAAACGCGCCGGTATGATATCCACCGTGAAAATATCTACTTACCTATCGCATTACCTTCCATCTCATCAATATCTTCCATCCCATTCATCCCATTCATCCCATTCAACCCAGTGACCGAGACATATGGCAACCACCCCGACAACGGAACTCGACAATCTCACAACCAGGATACATATCCTGACCATTAGAACTGAGCTGCTGATCTCCTCCACCACAGCAACCTCATAGCCAGCCCAACCAACCCAACCAGAACCCCTCGCATGTCGGTAGAACTCAACGAGCTCCCAACCTACCTATCCACCAAACCTTCGTCTTCGAACACCCAAAAGCACCGGAAGCTTACTTCAACAGGCTCCACTCCGCCCAGGGAACAGCCACCAAGCTCCGCCTCCGATGCATCGATTCGCAGCCACGCCATACCCGGGCTTATACAGGAGCAGAATTCCAACGACAGAGTGGGTGTGTCGGTCTCGACGCGCTACCGGAGGCACGTGAGTTCGACGCGATGCCGAGTCCCTTCTAGAAAGTCGCCGCTGACATGATTACATACCTCGGGACGGGAGTTCGTTGGTCTCGTTGTGGAGTGGAGGGCTGCGTGGAGGGCTGTTCTGAGGGGTTATTTTGTGTAAGAGATCACGTTTGATTTGGCTGGGTGCGGTTAGTTCAATGTGAGTTTTGTTTCTCGTGTGCTGCAAATGGTAAGTATTCTTTTTGCTGTTAAGACTGGCGGCTTATTCTGTTGTTGACTGAGATATAACCACGCAGGGATTTTATGAGAACTTTGCCTCGTAATTGGTCTGGATAGTAAAGTAAGGTTTGATTAGGGAGTTGAGGTACTGCTGATGTACAGAGTTAGGAAGGAACATGTGGCTGTAGCTGGTGGTTGTCAAGTTGGGCTTGACGATTAATCACCATATGCAATCAAGGTTCACTTAGCCTGCAGTCTAGTAGTTACATAATGACTATACCTTCAGATGATTAGATCACCTCGCCGGGATGTCTGGGTTTGGAAGATGCATGGGAATCTGGGGATCTGGGGGATGCTGATCCTGGGATGTCATGTGTCTTGGCATCAGATTGAAACTCCAACTGAACCATTCTCAGCTCACTTTGCTCTCACCAGAAAGTGTCATACACTCAGTAATGCACTATAGCACGAATCCCAAACCAGCATTTTCAAACCGACTGCCAGCCAGGTTCAAAAGTCTTGTTTTTAAGTGTTCCACGCAAAACGTGTTCCAGACTACAGTCTACGATGCAGAGTCTCAAAGTCCAACAGACACCAAACCCCAACAGAAGCCTGAAATAATAGACATGAATTCATAAAACAACCGATCTACCACGTCCCCCTCCCAACCCTAATCCAAAACCAAGTTCCAGCGTTAATACCCAACACATCTATACCAGCACGACAGAATTCCAACCCAACGAGCTTAGCCCGAGACTCCAGCGCTAAACGTCACACAGCTGACCTGCAGGAGACAGTTCTGGGAAAACAGGTCACATCGACCAGCAAAGACACTACATGGATACAATTACTCAATAATAACAGTGTATGTCGTCAGTTTGTTACTTCCGAGTTTACTATCAGATACCCCGGTATTCCAGACATCCGAACCTACATACCCGGCACGGAACAGGGAATGTGCTGGCGCCTAGGGCAAGGTGAGGCATGTCTTAGTCAGACTGCGGTGTAGGCGAGTATGCAAGTTATAATGCCCCGTGTACTTTGTACGTATAATTCGATCATCTGTGGACCAGCCGCGTAGTACCCGGTCTCGACCTGGCGACAGTGATGATCATGTGTCATGGATGCCTTGGTACCGCGCTATTATCTAATAACGGGGAATATTAGTGAAATGGGGGGGGGGGGGGGGTTTAGGGCTAAAATATTGGTTGCATTGGAGTTAGGTGGTATATTGGCATTATAAATGACAAATGTTACCTCGGGGTTTGATTTAATCGCGCAATTTTATAGGTAAACTGTATGTTATATGTATCGTTATAATATGTATATGTCAGGGATATAAAACCAAATCTCCTGAATATCATGTGCTGGGATCTTAGTCCAATTGGGAGATCGGGATGTTATAGAAGACACGTATTCCCCTTCCACGTGAGAGGGAATTGCTGGGGGTGATGATACCTATGTATGTATGCATATTCAGGTCATGCCCTTGATTGCTCCTTCTCAGGAACAGAAAAAAAGTTGGGGAAGAGAAAATCTGGGGAAACGCACAGACGCTGATTTGTCGTTGTTCGCCGCTCGGATCTTTCGGCCAGTCAAAGGAGATTTTTCCTTTTTCTACTTTTTTCTTCAACGTCATTCAGGAGACACCATACCAATTCCGTCTCGGAGTTTTCGGTTCAGCTGAAAGGCCATAGCCAAGCCTGTTCTATAAGTTCCCTTTGGACAATATTCTCGGCATGGCATTTAGTAATTACTCCATACGGTGAGTGAATTCTCACAATGTGCTAGTCCCACAAGGTCCTAGACCTGGATCTACTGCCAAGGAATTCTTCAAATTTTTTCCAGATGGAGTCATCGTACATAAGGATCAGCGTGAAAATTTAGACTTGATCTGATATTCGGGCCGGTATATATGTTGTAACTATATGCCTTAACTATCAACTATATCATTCTAGTATGTTATATAGGATAATAGTACAGCATAGTATATTGTTTGTATATACATTTGCCATATCAGACTGCCAATGCTGATAAATGGCAGAAAAAAATGAGTTGCACATGTGCCTGTTTTCCAAGGTTCTCTGGAAATAGAAAGTGGACACGGGCCAAATGATGCAATTATAATACCGTCTTGAAACATCGTGAGTATTATAAATTCCTTTCCTATTTTGCCTCATCATATAGTATGGCCAATGCTTAATGCCTCAACACCTGACAGAATGTTGCGGTGTGTGCTTACAAGGGATAATAACGTGAGCTTACAGAGAGATTATTTCTGCACAAGGCGACACAAACATTGGATGATCGAGAAATGAGAGGTTTTTTTTTTCTTTTGGGGACATTTGGGCATTTCTGACCATTCTGGCATTTCCTGGGGGTAATGGAAATCCCCATTGGTTGCCAAGGAGGTCACCGTTGGTTTCTGTTACGTTTTGCCACTCGCTATTGGTGGAGAAGGAGAGTCAGATGACTTTTCAAACGCTGGTTGCCAGAAGGTTTAAAGCGGCACCAGTTGGGATGTGTGGGGGAGTGTCAGAGCCAATCATCTTTCCTTTTCAGGTCACAGGGGCGTTTTAAGGACGCAGGTGGGTGATGACTGAGCATCCAAAAGGGGAATATTCCTGGCTGGTTTACTTCGATGACGTGGGAAACTCAAGAATAATTAAAAAAGTCAAAAATAAAAATAAAAAATAAAAATAAAATTCAAAAATTCAAAAATTCAAAAATCGAAAATCGAAAAATCAAATTCGTCCCCAGGACCTTGTGACAGGATGTCGTGCCTGGGAAGGAAATGACTCCAAAAGGGACTGTTATATAACATTGGAGTCCCCGTTTGCTACATCCACAATACTATTCATACACTATTCACTTCGCTGGTTGAAGACATAATCTATACATCTATACTTCAGATCAACATCACCATCAACACCATCAACAAATACAAAAAATAATCACATTCAAAATGCCATCAACATACCGCGTCGTCGAACCACACCCCTCAGTCCCCCACGCCGGCCGACCAGCCGTCTACACCGGCCGAGGCGGCTGCGGAAACGTCGTCAATCTCAAGAACACCAAGACAACCGACTCGCGCAGCGCAACGGGACCCGCCTCCCTCGCCCGCCTCGACTCCCGCATCCCAGCAACCTTCACCTCCGGCCGCGGCGGCGCGGGCAACGTACACAGCAGCTCGGAGCGCGCCATCTTCAGCTTCGACGAAGAGCTCGAGCGTGATCTGCGCCGCGCCGCACCAGTCTACCACGTCGGCCGCGGCGGCGCCGGTAACACCATGTACCGCGACGACTGCAGCGAGCCCAGTCTGACTCGCAAGTACTCTGCGGCCAGCACGGCGACGAATTCTAGCACGGGCTCTGTGACGGATCGCGCAAGGGATATGGCCCGTCGTGGGCTGGAGAAGGGTTGGGGGAAGTTGAAGGGTACTGCTTAGATGCGTGCTGTTTCATACCCCTTACAATGCTGCTTTTCCCGTCAGAGATTGCATACGACATCACGATACCAAAAAAGTTCTTTTTCTTGTTTTTGCGCTTTTTTAATCATGGGATATTCCCATTCCTCGAGGAAACATCACCTTCTCTCCATTGGATTCTTCAACATGGATAACCGGCGTTTTTTATGGTCTACTTGCGCCTTGAGCCAAACCACACTGCATCACCGGGTTTCGTTTTTACTACGGAGTTCCATTCAACAATACCACCCGCAGATCCCGCCATCGAACAACAATTGTCTGGCATTATTCTCGGCGTCCTTGTTTTTATTGATTTTTGGTTTCCAACATTTTGTCTACAATGTGTTTTCCAATGTCTCCCAATGTTTCCTGTCTCCTTCTTTCTATTTCTGTTTACATATTCCCCCCCCATCTTGCGTATTGCACCCGAGCTACTAGCCGTGGAATAACAATGAATCACACGCTTGGGTCATTCCCTTGCTGAATCACGTCGAATATTTCCAACTTGTAATTGTATCATAGTAGACGTGGATTTCGTAGGTTAAGACGTGCTTGAACAGGGTTCGGTTCCAGATCTAGACTTGCACTTAGGGTTGTATCCGCGAGTAGCCGTGATATTTCAAATTCGTGTCCGTGTATGGTATAGAAATTGCTTATTCGTCATGTCGGTCTGGAATATTCTTTGGCATATTCTTTGTCTGTTATAGGGCTTGATTTGGTTGTATATTTCGAAGTCCGTGTTCACTCCACCGCTATTTGATACGTGGCGACATATGAACATTTGAATTCTTTTTCATTTCTACTAGTTCTCTGAGGCGACAGAACTGAAATTCTTTTGAAAAAATAACGAAATTGTCTTGCTCAAGCCCATAGGGCTGCGTTCGGGTACCCATGGCTAGTTGCGTCATATATTGGAGAATGAAAACATATCCGTCTCCAGAGGTAGGATGAATAATATCGACTATTACGACACACAATTTCTGCGTACAGGCATAGATCTAATAAAGGTGGGATAGTAGACGAGAACTGTGTATGCAGGCTAGTATGTCCGAGTAAAATTATGTCTAAAGTAGAACCACCCCCAAGACGTAAAAGAGACTGTATTTGCACGAATAAAGCCAGAGCCAATGCTAAGATGACATAAGCTGGATAGGAATGGGGTATCAAGAGTCGCACTTTGCGCGACTCGGATTGGTGGTCGATCACTTAGTATATGCACTTCCAATTGCATGATGATCGATCCAGGTTGACAAGATCTGTTTCTTGTGTTATTTGTACTTGGGGAGATGGTGCCTTGGGGATCGCTTCGAGACAGTAGATATGATCAGTCCCAGGCGACAGGCCACCATGATATCAAAGAGGTTTAGGCGAGTCCTCTATGCGAATCGCTTGTGGATCACCTCGGGGTCCTCGTGCCATTCGTCTGCGCTTACCCACATCTAGAGAGTATTTGGTTAGCTGTGATGCATTGGAATACTTTGTATCGGGGATTGCATACCTTTCTAAACGTGCTCAGCCCGGCAAGAATACTACCGCCAATCCACGTGGTGTACTTGCGCTCAGCAGGCGCAGAAATGCGGATCTTCATGTCCTCGACGGCTAGTTTTTTGATCTCGCGCATCAACCGATCAGGGAAGTTCTTGCACAGCGTTGAGCCTCCAGAAAGCACAATATTCAGGTATAGCGATTTTCGCAGGTCGAGATCCGTGCGAGTGATGGCGTCCTGCACGATCTGGTGCACACCGGGATACTCGAGGCCGATGAGCTCGGGATCGAAGAGGATCTCAGGCGCACGGTAACGTTCTTGGCCGATCTGAGACAAGTCCATTAGCATTGTTGTAATCCCAATCACATTCAAAGACAGTGCATACCTTGATCTTGTGACCGTCCGGAAGAACATAGTCCATCGCCTTAGCATCAGACTTGTGATAGCTGTTCATCCACTCCTTCTCTTCCCGCTTCGGATCCAGCGACACGTAGCAGACCTTCTCCTTAATCATGCGCACCACCTCCTTCTCAGCGCTAGTGTGCAGCACATGTCCCGCCTTCCGCAGCAACAACTGCATCTGCTCCGTAACATCACGACCAGCAACATCGATTCTCCGAATACTGTTTGGAATCGCAAAACCCTCGAAGACAGGCACTGCATGCGAGACACCATCACCAGAATCCAAGACGACACCCGTAGTCCGGCCCGACGCATACAGCGACAACACAGCCTGGATCGACATGTACAAAGCCGGTACGTTGAAAGCCTCGAACATAAGCTGTGCCGCAATATCACGGTTGGCGCGCGGGTTCAGCGGCGGCTCCGTGAGCAGCACGGGGTGTTCTTCGGGGAGAGTCTTGAGCTCGTTTTCGTAGACGTAGTGCCAGATCGATTCCATGTCTTCCCAATTCGTGACAATCCCGTGTTCCAGTGGATACCTGATCTTCAATAGTCCGCGAAGTTCTTGTGCGCGGGACCCGATGAACGAGTCTCCTTCCAGACCGCCGGCCATCACGCGCGGGTGCTTGGGACGCCCGACAAAGGACGGGAAATAACATGAGGGGATTTCTTCTCCGGCGAAGCCTGCTCGGATCGTGCCGCTGCCATTGTCGATGACAATTGGCACGTTGTGGAGTGTTGCCTCTGCCATTGCGGGGAGGGTGGTGTGGTGTGGATGGGAGGTGTGTGTCGGGCAAGGACAACCGCGGGTGTTAGACGGCCTCTCGGCCTAGTATGGGCGGCTCGGAGGATCGACGGGGCGGAAGTCGGGTTGAAGGCGCATGGAATGGTTCGATGGTTGGGCGTTGATGTTCTTGTCGTTGATTCAGGAGTGGACGCGAAGCCGCAAATCCGCAAATTGGGAATTGTCAACAAGGAGCTTGGGCCACTCTAGTCCACGTCTGGTAAATTGTCCTTGCATGGAATTGGAGTTTAGAGAATTATTGTAATATTTCTGATTAGCTTCTGAAATAACGAAATATAGGTTAATTGTTTGTGTTAACGGCTAATCGGTAGTGGTTTAGGAAGTACATATGCAGTTGATTCTCTTCATGGTCTACGTATCAGATGAGACTTCTACGTCGACTCGAAGACCGAACAAATCAAACCCAGGTTGGTTACTTGGAATATCCATTTAATTTCATGCAATGTCATAATTCGTGAGAAAAGCCAGTTCCAAGCCCATTGTTCAATCAACAAAGCGAATTGGCTGAAATCGGTCCTCGTAGGTCGCCGGAGGGGGTTCCTTTAGTCCAAAAAGCTCAACTCATCAGACATACTTTCCGCAAGAGTTGTAGTTCCAGTTCGTATAGATAATACCTCAGATTTCTGAGTCTCTGCTCTGCTAATTGCACTGCCTAAATCCCTGATCAGAGGTTAGCTAGACTGGCCGAGGAGGCAAAGGACAGATCATTTACTTGACCGAACTACTAATCACGTAATTCCCTTCCTCTAGCTCATCAGCCAGTTCCTGCTGGTGGTTATCCGCAAGATCGGGATTCGGAACCACAATCAAGGGCACACCCAGGCGAAGTCCTGCCAGAACAGTCCCACTTCCTGTACGATGGTAAGTGGATCAGGCCTCACATATTCGATACATGAAACAGTGATATATCATACCAGCGTGACATATAATCAAGCCGCGCTCCTGATGGACCACCTCCCTTTCCACGGTCATCATCATTTGGGCATCGATGCTTGGCTGGAAGTCGAAGCCCCCAAGGGTGAGACCGTGGTGGGGCTGGCCACTGTCGATGAAGTTCTGGAAAATTTGCTGCCCATCTTTACCGTACTGGATAAGAAGATGGGTGTAGTGACGTTTGGCTAGAATCTCGAGGAATTCTGAACTAAGTACTTGTTCAAGTAGTTTGTGAAAGGACGCCGTAGCTCCCACAGTCACAAAGCAAAGTTTCATAGTGATGATATTAGTGAGTCGAAGTGGGCAGAAAAATCAAGATTGCAAGATTTCTCCTGATCAATTATCCTCCTCCCGAGGTCACATGAATTATAAAAGCTGCATTATCGAGGCGAAAGAATAGTCCAAACATCAAGATGCAATCATATACCAAGAATGTCACGTGTAGATGCACAGCACTAGTCTATATTTGGAATAGCGCACGGCGGTGAACCTCGCAAAAGTGGAAGCGGAAAACATCGTGGTTGAGATCCTGTCCCTACCCACGCTATACCCCCAACAATGGCTTCAGCAGCTCGGTTATTGACTCGCCCGGCCAGCCATATGGTCCGGAGAGGCCTGATGGCCCCCTCTGCCCGGTACTTCTCCGCCTCGCCGCTCAATCGCGTCCAGGATGACCCCGTGATTCCTCCTCCGCCGAAGGAACTCAGACCGGAGGACTTCCCCCGATGCCCGAGTACTCCGTCGAGCTCCTGACCAAGGAGCAGCGCTCAATGTATGATATGATGTCTCCCGAGGAGCGCGCGGCCTTCGACGAAGAGAACACCCGCATGGTTGCCGAATTCAACGACCCCCAGAAGCGCGCCGCGGCCTTCGAAGAGCTCGAGAGAAGCATGCAGCAGATTGATAAGGAAGAGGATCTTCGATTCGAAGAAATCCGCCCCCGTCGACCTGGTTTCTGGGCCGAGGACGAACCCGACGAGTTGGTGAACATACTCGAGGATGGAGATGAGGAAATCAACGACGACGAAATCACATCCCTGGCACATGCCGAGATGGAATTGCACCGTGAAATGAGGGAATACGCCCGTCTTACAGCATGGGACATGCCAATGCTGAGCAGTAAGATCAATTGCTCACCAGGACTACACTTCCCATCCACTAACCGTGAACCGTAGAGCTCGCTAAACCATTCACCCTGCCTCCCCCCACCCACATCCTCCGCTTCCGCTACACTACCTACATGGGTGAACAGCACCCAGCCGAGCCCAAGGTCGTCATGGAGCTTGCCTCCCAAGATCTGACCCCCAAGTACCTCACCGAAGCGCAGCGCCAAACATTCCTCAAGCTGGCCGGTGTGCGCTACAACCCGCAGACCGACATCATCCGCATGTCGAGCGAGAAGTTCGGCTCGCGCGCCCAGAACAAGCGCTACCTACTAGATGTCGTTAACTCGATGGTCAAGGAGGCCAAGGAAGGCGACTCCTTCGCCGATATCCCCCTCGACCTCCGCCACCACAAGTACAAGACCAGACTGCAATTCCCCGAACACTGGAACATGACCGAGGCCCGTCGGAACCAGCTGGCCGCGCGGCGCAAGGAGCGTCTGTCTGCCGAGGAGACGCGGCCTGCCCTTGTAGACGGTAATTCGGTTGTCGCGGAAGCTATCAAGGTTCTGCCTTCGCTCAACCCGGCTCTCCAGGCTAAGGCTGCTGAAGAGCGGGAGCGCGTTGCTGTTAAGGTTGGCGCTCGGAAAAAGGTGGCTCGCCGGTAATGGATGTTCGTCAACTGTATATTGGGTGTGTTTGAGAAGCTGTTGTCAGACATTTGCGAGGCGCGGGCGCATATTTCAGGATTTTTGGCATCTTTTCTTTCGAATGTACTATAGTCATTTTATTCCACGCATTGACGGCTCGCTGTTACTTCATTCCATCTTGTAGTTTGTCTAATCTACTACCCTATAGTATGCTATTTTACATGGAAGCTCCATTTCAATGCTCAAGTACTTAGATACCATGAAGAGCTAAAAAGGAAAGGAAAGTAGATTGTTATTTTTTTTGGTTTTCTGATAGATATCCCCCCCCCCCCCCCCCCCCCCCCCCCCGCCCAGACCAAGGAACCTGGTATACAGTCAGTCGGAACTGACTGCAACCTCCTCAAAGTCATCGGCCAAAGCCAACCTCGTTTCCTCTGTAATCGAACCAACATGGCGTCCTATCCATGACAGATGGGACAAGTCCTTGCTGCAGTTCCAGGAACGGAAAAAAAAATTACAAAGTAACCACAGATGAGAATCACAATGCTGTTGTAGACATGGATACGCCTCAGCGTATATGGTCTATATCATCAACCCATATCAACGAGTTAAAGAAGTGACAACATCCCAATCCCGAACGCGAAAAACAAAAGAACAAAGCAATTTGGAGCAAAAAAAGGCAAAAAAACAAAAGCAATTTTGAAAAGACTGTGCGCACAACTCCCATCTCTCACTCACGATGTATTGTTGTTTTGTCGTATGTCTGGACCCTTTTTCGTGCTTGTAGTATAGTCTGTCGTATCATGTGGGATATTTATCTGGTAGCGTTAAACATTGAAAGGAAACAACGTCGATGCACCAGATCTCATAAATGCACGAAAAGAGATAGATGATCAGCGATATCATGCAGGGAAACATGAATACCACCCCGGGTCAGACACACCTGAGTGAGAGTGTTAAAATGTACAAATTAACCGGTGTGAGGATTGTTCGAGTAAGGCCCAAAGAATGGCACAATGCTCTCAGTTGGAGGCGAAGTACGCTTGAGAATGGGACCTCCAATGGGACCCCAAGTGACGCGAGTCTCAGCTGAGGTGAGAGGGGCGTTTTCAGCAATGTGGAGATCTCCAAGCTGGGGAGTCGAGGGTCCAAAGCTCATTTGGGCAGTGCTCTGAGAGCCGCTTCCAGCGGAGACATTGCGAGTAATATCAGAACGACCGAAGGCACTGAAGTTCGAATCGAAGCTTATGGCAGGGCTCGCGTGGGCCATCATGCCGCCATTAGAAGAGGGGTTGGAGCCACGAGGGAACATATGAAGAGGCTGAACGCGAGGGTGGGGGTCGGTTGCCTTGATCGAGGCATCGTCGAACATATCTTCATCACACTCTGTCAGCTCACTGAGCCTCCAGTAGAAGTTCCGATTGTGGGAGTTACCGTCATCCAAGAGAGATTGATTGGCAGCCATGGGAGCGCCGATATGACCAGGGGTCGAGGCAGTAATTGAAGCAGTGGCTGGAACAGCAGCCGGGGTGGTGGGGGTGCGAACTAGACTGTTGCTAAATCCTCCATACTCGCATGCAATACTGGGGGATCCCATGACGGGAGAACAATCAGCGCTGCGGTTACCATCACGCCCGCCGGTAAATCCCTGGCGAATAGAGCCCATGTTGCGGTTACGTCCACCGCGGTGGGAACCCTTCCAATTGCTGCTGTGGAATCCATTTGAAGCTCCGTTGCGGCCTCCACCTCGATTATGGTTGTAGTTACCAAAGCCGTTCTGACCTGCACGGTTGGCTGGGCCACGGGGAGGAGATTTGTTAAACTGCGGGGAAGTCTTTGGCTTCGAATTGGCATTGATAGTGTTGCTGGCACAGCTATCAGCAGGTGAATCTGGAGAAGGCAAGGCCCGCATGGGATGCTGATCAGTGATGGCAAGATGTGGGCGGGCTTGGTCTGATTGCAGGAGACTGGCGACATTGTACTTCTCGCGGTACCAGCGAGGGATATCGCGGAGACCAAGCTTCTCGATCATGGCCATGTCAACAGGCATCTCATGTTTGTACAGGCAGCCTATGGAGCACTGTGTCAGTTAAGATCTCATAGGGTCTCAGTCATCCAGTCAACTTGCCCTGCTGGGAATAATCACATTCCCCGTGACGAATCCAGTACGAGCAGTACTCCTTCTTGGAGCCAGGGCCCTGTGTTGAAATAGTTAGGAACATGAAGCATAAAATGCCAGGAGTACTCAGTCATACATTTCTGTTGCCCATCTGGTGATTCTTGGCATAGAACGTGGGGGCAGCCGGGGACAGTGCACTGCTAGGAGCACCCTCGCTGGCAATACCATGCTGGTCAATTCCCCGGAAGAGAATTGCCTGAGCAGAAGTACGCATGGACTCAGGGATGTTGCTATTGGTAATCACCTGCAACAAGAAGCCATGCACATCGGTAAAAGGCTCTTTTCCAGCCTCAGAGGAGTGGGCAACCCCGTCAACAGACCAAGGCTCAGAACGTTGGGCAGCCAGGCCGCAGCTGGTCATGCCCTGAGTTTCTCCGGCACTGAGGTTGCGGGAGACACCGCGGATGCTAATGCTGGTGGGAAGCTCATCAAGGGCCACCAGTGGGGTCAAAGTACCGTCAGGACGGGTACAGAAAAACTGAGGGCGACTAGGAGTCGCCATATTGACAGGAGATAAAAGTTATTCAAGATAAAGATGAGATGCTGAGGCAGATAGGATTGTGTAATAAGAATGATCTGTGATACAGAAAGGAAGAGGGGTGAGAGGGATGGAGAAGAAAAGAAAAAAAAGTGTGGGAAGAGGACGTGGGTGGGAGAAGAGGATTATGGGAGACGCGACTTATGACAGAGAAGGTAGGGGACAGGTAACAGCCTAGGAGGGGTCAAATGACAAACAGAAAATTGGGATAAAGTAAAAATCTGATGAGAAACTGAAGTCCTGGGGGAAACAATCTCATATATTGGAGAGAGCCTTCGTAACCATGAAGCTTGACTGGGCTAATTAGCTATATACCAAAGAGATATATGGACTGAATCTACACAATGAACTAAGCTATCTTGGATAAACTTGAATGCACTTATATACACAATGAGAGTCTATCTATCTTTAAGCTCACAATGAGATCGCCGTGGAGGCAAAGACGCTCTGTTCTATCAGATCAGGAAACAAGGGTACAGGTTTGCAGGAAGGTAATATGGAGACATCGTTTTCCTGCATAGCAAAGAGCAGATCAATCTGAAAGGATGGGGGAATAGACTACTGAAAGACACGAATTAGCTGTGTATCATTCGGAATCCAATGCTTTTGGCTTGTAAAGGCATCGTGAACATAGTATGTCTTGACAGGGTTGAGCGGCAGCCTGCAGAACATACCTGGTCCAATTCTAAACTTGACCTCCATGCTGCTTCTTCATCTTTCATGTCTTCAAATACGCTTAGATCAACGCTATGCATGTTTAAAGCTTCCCGAGAGCCATTTTCCTTTGTATTGCGTCCATGGTAGGGTGGAACACATGCTAAAGTCTCACTACATGGGCATGAGACAATGATTTTGTTTCTCATTTTATATATGTCCATGTAACTTAATGTTCTCTCCCAGGGAATACCTCTTCCAGGATTTGACCCATCTCAATAACAGCCTGGCCACCTTACATCGACTATATCACCTCCAGGTACTTTGTAAATGTCTCCTTAATATCCTAGGAGAAAATTCTCATGTGGCCATTGCTCTTTCACATAGGAAAACCTGTATTGCTTGCTTGAAAATAGGACAAAGTGCTTTTAGGCGGCTGCTACCACAATCTATTTAGCGTGCAATAGCACAAACAGATAAAGTTATTCAAAGGCACGAAATCAAAGAAATAAACCACCAAAAAAACAAAACAAGTATCCTTTGACGCTGTTCTCCTTTCCTCTCCTGTCGGATGTCGTCCATTTCACGGGTGCGGCTCAGGTCAAAATCCCGTGACTTAGCTTGACCTAACTCGACCGTCCAAGCCAACAGCCATTGACTGTAGGATACAAGCTTGCAAATTGAAAGACCTTTGCAACTATTAAATCCACCAAACCCAGTGTAAATTTCAAGCCAACTAGATCTTCCATACATGTAAAAAGAAATGCCAATTTGCTCAACTGCGATTCTACCAAGGCTCCCCGGCGACCTTGGCCCCTGATATGCTACGCTCCTGCGGCCCATCCCAGGAATTCGCTAGCTAGGCCTCTTTCTTAACCTCCTTTTTCTTAACCTCCTTTTTCTTAACCCCCTCTTGCTTGGCCTCCTCTTGCTTGGCCTCTTCTTGCTTGGCCTCCTCTTGCTTGGCCTCCTCTTGCTTGGCCTCCTCTTGCTTGAACCGATCCTCCGATTTCTGGACTGATAAGGTTTCTTTCATTTTATACTTCTGTTGCAGTCTTGACTTGATTCTGTCTGCGTTCTTCTCTCGGTATTCTCGGTTTTTCGCCTTGATTCTGTCTGCGTTCTTCTTTTGGTATTGTCGTCGTCTCGCCTTGATTCTGTCTGCGTTCTTCTCTCGGTATTCTCGGTTTTTCGCCTTGATTCTGTCTGCGTTCTTCTTTTGGTATTGTCGTCGTCTCGCCTTGATTCTGTCTGCGTTTTTGCGCTTCCATTCTCGTTGTCTCGCTTTGATTATGTCTGCGTCCTTCCGCCAGTGATTTTGAGAGTAAGATTTAACTTTGTCTGGGTTTTTCTGCTTCCATTCTTGTCTTATCACCTTCATTCTGTCTGTGTTCTTCTCTTGGTATTCTCGTTTTCTCGCCTCGATTCCGTCTGCATTTTCCCACGACCATTCTTGCTTCACTGCCTTCTTCCTACCTGCGTTGTTCAAGCTCAATTGCAGGCGTGATACGATGGGCCAATTGGGCAATCGATCAATATCCCTGGATACATTCCAGCACGCATCGTAGAACCGTTTCTTTTCTTCCTTCGCCTCTCCCACATCCAAGGCATTATTCATCTCATGCTTCAATAGGAGCAGGTCCACTAATAGATGAGATGGGAGCTATCACTGGATTAGCTTGGTCTTATTTGTTACGGTCGGTTTATTCTTACTAGTACGCATGTAGAATGCTGCCTGACACACTTGTCACAGCGGGCCAAATTCCCATGGCTGTTCTGACAGTCCAGCAGCCTCTCACCGGGCTTCAGTGACTGTTTCCATCTTTTGAAGCACACAGTGCACAGCTGGCCTTGTGGCTTTGTGCCCGAAGACTCAGGGGAGTCCGGAGCATGCGGCTCTAAAATATCTTTGGAATCCAAGCAGGCGAGACGGGGCTTACAGTCAGAAAGCTCAGAGTTAGCGGTTGGTTCATTTGGCTCAATTTTGGGGGCCAATGGCATCTCCGTATCCTTGCAAGGTGGCTCTAGTTTGACAGTAGTAGCCGTATTCCATTTGCCAATGCCAGCTAAATCAGGGTCAGGCTTTTCGAGCTTGATCGATGGCTCAACTGGATTGATTTCAGGGGCCAATGGTATCTCAGTATCCCCACAAGACGGCTCTTGTTTGAAATCAGTGACAGCCTTCTGGACTTCCAGACCAGCTGCTAGATCAATGTCACCCTGGTCAGTCTTGATCAGCGGCTCAGTTGGATTGATTGTAGGGGCCAAGGGCATCTCGATATCCTCAAAGAGTGGTTCTTGATTGACACCAGTGGCAGCCTTCTGGTCTTCCAGACCAGGCATCAAATCAGGATCAGCTTTCTTAACCTTGATCGATGGCTTAGTTGGATTGATTGCAGGGGCCAAGAGCATATCGATATCCTCGGAGGATGGTTCTTGATTGATACTAGTAGCTGCCTTCTGGTCTTCAAGAACAACTCCCAAATCAGGGTCATGCTTCTCTACCTTGATCAATGAGTTGTTCGCTACATTATATAGCTGTTAATGTGTCACTTTTTCATAGGGAGCATTAGTTCTTCCACAGTTCAGCAGACTAACCTTGTCCATGATCATCATGTAGCATTTTGACAGGAGCATCTCCATCTCGAGGCTGAAGGATGCTTTCCGAGATGCTAGACTCAAACTCCTTTTTGGTCTTGGACACCTGTGGAGTATCAGTGGGATCTTGCTTCATCTCTGCAAACACCTGCTCAAAGTGGTGTGTTCGCTGATGACGTTTTTTTGGGGGGATCCATGTCGTGAACCTGGTTTGATGAAGTTGCTTGAATGAGGAAGGTGGAATGGGGATGTGTGGAGTGACGAAGAAGATGTCCGTATGCCCGTCGTAATCTCTTTAAATATTGGTTTGTTGCTACCTAGTCTTCTCACGATTAGCAATCATGTTGGATTGCATAGTGAGATTCTTGGAGGATTGTGTAGCAGGTTCTTCAACTGCAGATGTTTGATTTGCACTGCCTGCAAGGAAAAGTGTCTGACCAAAAATCCAAACAAAAATTGAATCTCACAAGTTGAAAGTTATATCTCTTGGATCTACCCACAAGTTAAGATGAATCTACTTGTTCTACATGCACCATTATAATGTAACATCTTGATTCTCTAATCAAACAAAGCTGGGTATCTTTCGCTCCCAATGCCTAGAACGCCTTTTTTTAGTTTCCTTATGCTGTTTGGGGTTTCCCCCTTTTTTTTTTTTTTTTTTTTTTTTTGAAAACACACACCCAACGTACACCAACAGAAAAAAAAAGCAAAAGAAAAAAACAGAAAGAGAAAGAGAGGAGCTCCCGCTCCTCTCACCGTGATCAAAATATGCCACCCCAGCGGGTGCCCCCGCTGGGGTGGCGTGACGAAACTCATTTTGAGTCTTACGACTCAAAGCCCCCCCCCCCTTCTGTCAACTGAATGACAGAGGCGGCGCTCACCCCGCCAAGTGAGGGCGAGGTGAGCGCCATCTGAGACTCCGCTCAGGCGGAGAGGGCAGCCTTGCGGCCGCGCTCGGCGCGCGCGGCCGACTTTAAGACACCTTGAAGGTATCTCTTCGCCCCCAAGATGAGGGCGGGAGGCTCTGCGCTCTGCTCGAGCGCCTCGAGCATCCGGGTGACCTGCACCCGTGACTGCAGGTGGGGGCAGGCACGGCGGCCACCCCAGTGCGCCAGGCCGCACAGGCCACAGAACTCGACGCCGGCGAGGTGGAGCGGGCATCGGCTAGGGAGGTGGCATTGCTGGCATGCCACGCAGGTAGGGAAAGCATCTTGAGCACCATCGAAGGTGCCCATTGGAGGCAATGGGCGTGGGGATTCAACACGGCGGAAGGCACGGGCTGCTGTGAAAATCATGTATGTTAGCAAAACATGTCTTTGTGCTTGGAATAAGGAATGATGCAGTAGTGAGGATTGTAATGAAGTAGAACAAGTGGTAATTAGGACGTGCATGAAAAATGAGGAGGTTTCTTACCTTGCTCTTCTGCGTCCACGCTGGACCCAACCACGACATCATCTGCGGTGTCAATTCGCATCCCGGGATCAGACAGGGTCGTGTCGCCATCATCTCCAGTGTCATCCGGTTCTAGCTCAGGTGCGGACTCAGAGTTATCACCATCATCCTCTGGTTGTTGGAACTCATAGTCTTTGTCGTCCGCACTCTTTCGCATCTTGCTAGGCGGCTGTCGGACAGGACTAGCATTACTGGCATTGCTAGCATTTTCATCGTCGTCGACACCTTCGATGATGGTACTGTAGCGGGGTGCTCCGCGCTTTCTTTTACCGCGACCCAGACCTTCAGATTGACGGTTGGCCTCCTCCAATGCTTCACGCTCACGCTCTTGCAGAATCTTCTCCCACGCCGTAACGTCCAGAGGTGTGTCTTCGGTTTCGGTCACTTCTTCGAGGCTATCACGATCCTTTTGCCACACCCGAGCGAAATTGAACTGCACCTGCTCATTCTGGTGTGAACTTCCTTCGCCGGCAGTTTGGTCCGCCTGCTCTGCCTGGCTACGATCCAACAACCTATCAATGGAATGGCTGTCGTATGTAATGTCCGCCGAGTCATCTTCATCGAATAATGCCTGAGCACCATGCTTGAGGATTGACTCCAAGTCTTCCTCATCCTGGTCGGCCTCAATGCGATCGATAAGTACGTGATCAAGCGCCATCTTGGTTTTACCCTTTTGCATGATTTTTTCCTCGACTGACGCGCGCACTACCAGGTGGAACACAAGGACTGTGTTCTTTTGCCCGATTCGGTGCGCACGCGACAGAGCTTGCATATCCTGCTTTGGATTGAAATCTGGGTCCATGATGATGACTGTATCAGCAGTGGCGAGGTTGATTCCAACACCACCCGACCGCGTCGAAAGCAAGAAGGCAAAGAACGGGGAATCCGGCGCGTTGAACTGATCGATCTGCTGTTGTTTCTCTCTTGAAGATAACGCTCCATCCAGGCGACGGTACTGGAGTCCCAACCCAGCGAGGAAGTCTTCAACAATGTTGAGGTTCTCTAAAAATTGACTAAAGATGAGAACTCGGTGTCCACGCTCTTGAAGTCGCGGTAGCATCAAGTTCAGCAACTGAAGCTTCCCAGATGCTTCGACCAACCGCTGATGAGAGAGTTCAGGGTCCACAGTTTGTTCTTCGATGTCTCGGTTGTAAATGAATGGGTGACACAGGCACTTCCGCAGCTGCATCAGGATATTGTTCAGATTATGACGCTCCGCTCTCTTCAACTGCCCGGTTTGCTTCTTACAGATGGCTTTGATCAGCTGCGGGTTCTTTTGAAGAATTGATTTGTACAGTTTCTTCTGCACAACGGACATGGAAATTGGGATAATGATTTGCACCATCGGGGGAAGGAATGGCAGGACCTCTGCCTTCGTTCGACGCAGGAGGAATGGCCGAATCATGTCGTGAAGCTCGGTAATTTCTTCCTTGCCGAGGACTCCTCCGTATTGCATCTCCAATTCCTCGGCATTATGATCTGGATCGATGAATTGAATTAGATTGAACAATTCTCTGATATTGTTCTGAAGCGGCGTGCCAGTGAGTAGCAACTTGAAACCGAAATTCATGCGACGAAGACGCTCATAAAGTTGGGTCTTGTCATTCTTGAGGCGCTGACCTTCATCAACCACCAAGCCGGCCCAATTGACAGTGGACAAGACTCGCTTAGCGCTATCATCGGACATGCTCTCGTACGAAGCGATGACCACATGACAACACAGAGTACCATTCCTGTGAAACATCTCGTACTTCCTAGCCATCTCGCGAGCGGAAGCACTGCCATAATATGTGACAACCCGGATGTCCGGCGACCAGTGCTTAATCTCTCTGCGCCAGTTCTGCACAGTCGCGTTTGGAACAACGACCAAGAATGGGAAACAATCCAGCTTTTCAATCAATGCTGCAAAGGTGGTGATAACCTGGATTGTCTTTCCAAGGCCCATATCGTCAGCAAGAATAGCGTTCTTCTGCATGAAGAACATGTAAAGCAGCCAGTTCACGCCATCCATCTGATACTCCATGAGCTCACCCCCTGTCACCAATGTAGGCTGAGAGGTCAGAATAAGGCTCTGATCGAACTCCTCTCTGCGGGTATGACGAAGACGCGTTTGAAGATCTTTCGGCCTCGGGGGGTGGATGTCTTCTCGAAGCACCCTGTCAATAAGAGCAGCCTTGAAATCTTCCCAACGACCAGTGTCAGTCTGACTTGGAGGATCTTCCCAGACTGAGTCTTCGTATGTCAACCCTTTGTACTTGACATATGCCCGCTTAACCATCTCGGGGTTTGCTCGATCCTCCTGTAATTCAGGTTCGTTGTGATATTCCACATCAAAAATGATGTCCACTCGCAGATTGTCTTCAAGAACTGCCTCGACCGTTGTCATGATTGGCTTCGTGGATCTGTCTGACTTGAGGAACGACTTCATCTGCATGGCTGGAGCCTTGGACCAGACCCAGTCTCCAATTAACCAGGTGACACGGAAGTAAGACATATTGTGCCATTTGATGAGATATTCTTTCTCGATTTCTGGGAGCACCTCAACCAACCCAGGGACAACTTTGATTTCGGGGTTCTTCGGTCTCCAGGCAACGATCGCATGGATTGGGTTGGTGCCGGGAGGAGATGCAGAGCAATCATTGCATTTCCAGCAATCAAGATCAATGTCGGCACGGTCCTTCTCTGCCATGTCTGGTAGATGCTGAATATGGAAGGCTCGCTTGCAGCCATGACGGCTACCAATGCATCTGATGAGGACATTGTCGACATTATTGACACGGGAAATATCCACGGAGGTAATCGGATCGATGCCATCATTGGCTTCCCGCAATTGCTGTTCGATCTGGGAAGAAAGAGTCTCTCGCAAAGGCTGTGACATGGGTCCTTCCTCTCTGCACACGGCACAGTGGCCCAAATGAGGCTTCATATCATGCTCTTGGTGCTTGATCCCCAAGCACCAACTGCATTGAAGAATGAAATCCGCATCATCAACCTTGGTGACTAAATGCTTTCGGCTGCTTCGATCGCCAAGACAACCTTGATGGTACGACACAGTACAACCTTGACAAAACACCAAAGCCCCATTTTCAAGGTCGCGATCTTCATAGCCGCATTGGGCACATGACTGGGAATGACACAGTCTGAACTCATTGTCATCTGGTAGTACACGGAATTGTTCCCTTGCACCTGAGAACTTTTGTTGCTTGGGTGGTTCAATTTCTCGCTCAGAAAATTCGTCATCTTCAAGTCGCTCTTTCATGTTGCGTCGTCGTGTTTGTCGCAGGCGAGATGATGTGCGCTTGCCTGTGTTGGAGTCAGAAGACTCAGACTGTTCTGACTGTTCAGATAATTCGTGAGTACGTTGCTTTTGGCCCTTCTTCTGCACGCCTCTCCTGAGATGGCGGCGTTTGGTTGGAGGATCATCTGAATCCTCATCGCTGGACTCTTCAATATGCACACTGCTGGTCTCTCCATCGCGACTTTGATTGTTGTCCTGTCCATCTTCATCATCAGTGCGAAAGAACTGATCGTATGAGATCGATGGCCCACGCCGTTGGCGTCTTCGTGCAATCCCCCAATCCATATCTGAATCATAGTCTGCAGGACCATCTCCACCAGGGTAAATGAGATGTGAAATAGTTTTGTGGTCCATTGCCAGAGGATCAGGACTCTGTGAGTCGCGGTTGAATTCACGTAGAGCCTCCCTTCCGTTCTTGAGGCTCTTCAACTCATTGAGGGTCACCTAGTGAAAGCCATGGTCAGTTGAATGGAGCTTGGGATTGATTGATTGTGTTCACTTACGGTTTTACATTCACCACTTTTCAGTCTCACAATGAGCTTTGGCTCATGCATATCAACCGCAAGAATGCGGTGGACTTCGAAGTGACCAGGCAAGTACTCATAGTCCTCAGGGTTCTTAGCCGCTGGGACAACAATCTCAAAAGACATTATTGGTTCTTCTGAGTTTCCAGTGATCTGCTGCACTGGCTGAAGAGTATTTTCGGTACTCTTCGGTGGGATGGCAGGGGTCGTGCGAGAGGATGATCTCTGAAATTGCGCTAGCAATTGCGCAGCCATCGCATCAGGATCATTGGGGGTTAGAGAATTGCCTCTAGATTGAGACATGATGATTTTCTGATCACTTGAAGAATCAGAAGGTGATGATAAAGCTGTAGGAACCGCACATGCGGCTCCTACAAATGAGGTTCGAAAAAGTCAAGTGAACTAGAGCTGAGCAGTGAAATTGATCTGAGATCGATGGTAAGAATGAGGACTTCAATGGACAGTCAAGCAAAATTTTGAGCTTACTGGACGGTCAAAGGAGAGATGAATTCGAAGGAATGAGGAGCGAAGTGAATGAATGAAAGAAATAAATGAAGAGATGAAATTAATGAGAAAGTCGAAGTCGAAAGACTAGATCATACACAGATCGCGCTTTGCGCGTGTCAACGCGATAACGATAAGTACGGCAGCGGGCAAAGATCTCTTGTGCAGTTCGATATCGAAGTTCTCACGGAACGGGAGAACCTACGAAGACCGGAACTTTGTCGCAATGCTCAGTACTATCTCAGGAACGGGCTTGAATGGTCTTTCAAGATTGATCCGTCCCTCGCATTCTACAGTCTTGGTGACTCGGCATGCATCATTGAATTCAGCAATTGGAGAGGGTATCCGGAGATCTCAAAGCGCGGATGCGGACAGAGAAGATCGCCGTAGCAACGAGTCTCGTTTTCCCAAACGACATGAGCGACAATACGAGGGGCAATACGGAGCGCGACAATACGAGCGATTGCATGGATCTAATTTCAATGAACGTCAAGCAAACGGAGCGCGACAGTACGGAAGGCAAAAATACGAGAGATCAGGTCAATCCAACTTCAATGAACGTCGAGCGTATGGGGCACCGCAGAATGGAGAACAGAAGCCCGAGAGATCAGGATTAAATTCCGGTGCTCATCAAAACTACGGGCGCAGCGAGCGAGAATACAGGGCGAAAACCCCCTGGACATCAGATGGTCTAGGGCGTAAAGACTATGACCGCCGACAATCGCCATGGAACGGCAACTCCCAATCCCCAAGACAAAGCCGAAAGGAAGAGAAGTTTGAGTTCGATGAGGATGAATTCATTCGTTCTGGTGATTTCCGAGGACTTCCTCGCGAACATCAATCCCGATTCCAATCTCGATTCCAATCGCGAACCCAAGATAGTCCGTTCACACAATCGGCACGAGGAAGGCCTCCAATGGACGAACCACGGGAGAAGGAGCCAGCAAGACCTCGAGCTCACCGGATCACGGGTAGCATGCCAGAGCGGGTGAAGGACAACGTTAAAGTGCCCGACGCAATCCCCTACACTACACCAGCATCTGAGTTTATTTACGGCACCAGTGCCGTGGAGGCAGCACTGCGCTGCAGCCGGCGTCAACTATACAAGCTCTATATCTACCAGAGCGCGGAGGAAGAGCTCAGTGCAGCAAAGATGACAATCCGCAAACTGGCGTTGTCAAAGAACATTACAGTAAAAATGGCATTTGCAGGGTGGGATCGACTTATGGACAAGATGAGTGCTGGGCGACCTCACAATGGGTGCATTTTGGAGGCATCCCCTTTGCCAAAATTGCCTGTGCGTGGCCTCCAGGCTGTTCCATCTATATCCGAGGAGTATTTCCGGACGGAACTTGCGCCACAAACCCGGGAAGAAGCTGCGGTAAATGGCACTGATGACCGTATCCACATCCATCATCCCTCTCCGTCCCCGCAGGACACGGAACAACGTCATCGATACCCAATCGTGTTGCTATTGGATGGAGTCGTCGATACCGGTAATATGGGCGCCATCATCCGTTCGACCTATTTCTTAGGTGTCGATGCAATTGTTCTAGCTGGTCGCAACTCTGCACCATTGTCTCCCATCACGATCAAATGTTCTGCTGGCGCAGCTGAGAATATGCCTATCCTTCACGTTAAGAATGAAGTTGATTTCATTCAACGATCCCAGCAGAACGGATGGCGATTCTATGCTGCAGATGCACCCACTCCCGGCTCCGTGCACTTGGATCACGTCTCAGCTGACGGTGATCAAAGCGGGGTCACATTACCCATCACAACCGCGCCTAGTGTCATAATGATGGGCAGTGAGGCTACAGGGCTGAGTTCGCATATAAAATCACATGCAGATGCAATCGTAAGCATTCCAGGCGCCCGGCATAACTCCTTCCTAGGCGTTGAATCGGATCCCGCCCGCGTCGACAGTCTAAATGTGAGTGTCGCTGCCGCGCTACTGATGGAGAAGTTCCTGCGGACTCCTATGACCTTGGGTGAGGTCGTCAAGAAAGAAAAGAACATAGAAAAACACATGGGAAAGGACAAAATGTGGTGATTTTGACTGTAATAACTATGTATTCTAGCATTTAAATGCATCTTTGTACAATAGCACATATAATTGGAGTTTTTGAGATTTGAAGTTCTTTGACCTCGTCTGAATTAGGGTTAATCACACACCTCATCTGGAGGGGAACTCCGAGGAATGCTCCTCAATTTTGAGACTAATGATATTTCACCCCATCAAAAGAAATCAGATTTCAAATCATAGAACCATTCACATTAAGATAGAACTTGTTTCTTGTGATGTACCGAAACTCGTCGCCGAAGTCGCGTTTGTGGGGAACAAATCGGGTCTGCGGGGGAAGACCCGCAGGCATCACAGGCGCTTTGAGAATTTCTTTAAGAAGTCAGTTCCCTTCAAGACTAAGTCGATTGTGTTTTTTTGTTTTTAGGTTGTTGACTTCTTGGAGAGTTATTACTCCTCAAGAAAGAGAATCCTTGTTGCATATCGAACTGTCCCCATCATGATCCCAAAAAAGCAAATCCCAACCACGGCATTCGTGGTTGAGAAGCCAGGGGCTCCTTTTATTCTTCAAGATGTTGTTCTTGATGAAGTCAGGGCTAATGAAGTCTTGGTTGAAATGAAATATACCGGCCTTTGCCACACAGTATGTATTATCCAACTCCCACCCCAATAAACGATACTAACAAAATACGGTCAGGACATCGTCGTCCAACAGGGTGTAATCCCTGTCGGTGATTATCCCGCCGTGTTAGGCCACGAGGGTGCCGGAATCGTTCGTCGTATTGGCAGTGCTGTGAAAGACAAATCCCTCCAAGAAGGCGACCTTGTCTTCCTGAGCTTCACCTCCTGCCATGAAGAATCATGCAGCCCCTGTAGCAATGGCCGACATGGATTCTGCAGTCAGATGACAGACATTAACTTCGCCGGTGCTCGAGGTCTCAGCTCTACCGAGTCACCCATTTCTTTCCCCGATGGAAAGGGTCCAATTCGCGGCCAGTTCTTCGGCCAGTCCTCCATGAGCAAGCTGGCTGTGGTTGATGAGCGCTCGGTTGTCAAGTCCCCTGCAGCATCTGGAATCACGATCGAAGATATGGGGGTCCTTGCTCCTCTTGGCTGTGGATATCTCACTGGTGCAGGAACCATCTTCAATGTCCTCAAGCCTAAACCGACAAGTCGCTTGGCTGTTTTTGGCATGGGTGCTGTTGGCTTGGCGGCCCTGTTGGCTGCCCGGTCCCAGGGGGTTGAAACTGTTATCGCGGTTGATATTGTTGATGCGAAGCTCGAGCTGGCGAAGTCTCTTGGTGCATCGCATACGTTGAACACGAAGAGTATATCGGATCTTGCACAGGGGCTGTTGGATACCTTCCCAGATGGCGTTGACTATATTCTCGACACGACGGGCGTAATTCCTCTGCTCGAGGCTGCGGTCAAAGCTTTAGGCCATGAAGGCACCCTAGCTATTGTGGGAGTAGCTCGTGCTGGCTCATCTTTCAATATCGATCCTTTAGCATTCATGATGGCTTGCAAGCGTGTTGTTGGTGTGATTGAGGGCTGCGGGAATCCCGCTGTGGTGAGACTTTTTTTTTTTGATAATCGCTTGAGTCGTGACCAATTTCCTGACCCGTCGTCTAGATTGTTCCCCAACTAATTGATCTATACAAGCAAGGGAAATTCCCAGTCGATAGAATTGCTAAGATCTATCCCCCGGATGCTCTTGAGCAAGCCCTAGCAGATTTGCACTCTGGAAGGGTAAGTGCTCCAAAATCAGTATGTCAATGAGACAAGCTAACAGATATACTTCCTGTAGGTTATCAAGCCCGTCATCAAATGGGCAGATCTGTAATACTTGTTTCTCTGTTAGAGGGTTGCGGTATGTTTCTCTTCCTTTTCATATAGCGGCAAGTTCATTCTATAGTAATGAACATCTGGAATGTCTGAGTTTATATTGCAAGCAAGTCCTATAGCCCAACATTACATGATACAAATACCTAGCTGGACTCAGAAGGGACGGAGATATTCTGATGCAGCTCCTTTCGCTGTACAGCACCAAAGCGAAGATTGCCGACATCAAAGACCTAACTAGCGGATTAACTCGTGCGACTGTCAGCCCCCAAAAGGACATATCACTCACTGCATAGATAGCCTTCAGGAAAGTATCACCTAGAATGTCCATATCCATAGTACCACGACTTTGGATGCCTCCGTAGACATAACCAGACTTGGCCTCGGCAAAACCTAGATCCTCCTTCTGCACAACAAACTGTTTGCCGCCAACAGCAAAAGATATAACAGGCAACTTATCAACCGGTGTTTCAGATGGATAGATCCATCCCTGGTTGTCATCATCATACTCTGCCCCGGGGATAGCATCATAAATGGCCTGACAGGTTGCATCGTCCACCAGCGCCAAGGTAGTCCCTGTATCAGCAATAGCCTTGTTTCCAGTCCGAGAAACCAAATTCCCATTCACAGTCGCCGAGGCAGAATCGAACATCCAAAATCCCTGACTGTTATCGACAGGCGTGTAGTAGATCTCTGCCTCAGCAGCCTTCACCGTGTCCTGATCAATATACCCAAAAGTATAGAACGACTCGCCCTTATCCAACTCATCAGTATCTCGCCATGATCCCAACTTCGCAGTGAAGATCTCAGCCGACTTCGGGATGTCGGACTGCGAGATCATATTCTCCACAGGTGTGCTCACGGCCTGAGGCTTAACGGTATTGATATTACCGAATGCAAGCCCCAGCAGCCCATCCCCAGCACCTTGTGCGAATTGCGCAGACAAGATATCAGCGACCTCAATAGCCTGGCCTTTGACCACTAGCCCGCCGATGTTGACATTATCGTTGCCGACCGTGCCAGAGGCAGAAGAGCCATCACCGTACTTGATCTGCCACGTTGATCCGTTTTTCTCCATGAACGTGCTCGACTTGGTCGGATCGAAGACTGTATGGTCCTTGTTCTCTGACAAAGTCTTAGACGGTAACTCCGTGGACCAGACCTATATAGTATTAGCAACATTAATATCGCACAGAGCAAAACACAAAGAAGTATACTTACCCACAGATCTGCAGAGCCAGTATCAAAGTCCAAAGTGAGCTTCTGCGCAGGCGTACCAATACTAACTTCTGCAAGATACATCGAGTCATTCTGCACATCATGGGCACCTACTTGTCCAACCTGATCGCTAACGGCGCTCTTCTTCTGCAGCACCTGCTGCAATCGAGCACGGCCTCCAACCGGCTTATTAGTGAACTGTCGGCCAGTTTGTACCATTGTGGTGCCGAGGAAATACGGGCCGCCCTTCGTTGGGCTGAAGCGATACTTGCGCATGGCATGCAAGTACGACTTCGTGCCGGACTTCTGGTAGCGCGGGTTCGCGATGAGGTTGATTCTAGTTGTCATGGTGGGGGGTTTGGATGGTTCTGATTTGACAAGTGTGATGGTGAATGGCCAGGGCTTGGGTCTTCCTAACTATTTATGTTATTGGAATATTATCATGCAATGAACTGGGTACTTCAAACAAGCGTCATCATGGCTTTTAAATATTATGATATCTACCTAGCGAGGAGGCTGGTCATTTGTCAGTTTGATTATTGGAGGCGAATAGAAACCTGTATTCCGTCATTGCAGATGACTTAGGGCTAGTGTTGTTTCAGCGGCGTGATGGCGCCAGCAGGTAGTATCCGATCTGCACCGGTGAGACGGAGTCCGGTCAGGCGGGGATTTTTACATTGCAGGGATTATGCAGGGGTGTACGATAAGCCTTTGGGAGTTGTAAAACAAGTAACTCTATTCCAATTACAAAAGTACATTAAAAGATCATCTGCGCCGATCCTGACAAAATCCCCCCCAATACCCGAGTCACCAATAAGAACCTTAGCAAACTGGGAACATACACACCCGTGGACCCTCAATCCACATGATTACCTCTTGCGACTCTTGGACTTAGTCGCAGCAGCACTGGGAGCCCGGGAACTTGCGGTAGAGGCAGTTTTGCTACCACCCTTGGTGGCCTTGGCCTGTTTGGTCGGCTGTGAAGAAAACAAGTTAGAACCAGAGTAATATATAATTGATAAGACAAAACTTACAGCAGCTGCTCCGTTCTTAGCCTTCTTTTTGGCAGGGGGCGCTTCTTCCATCTCTTCTTCTTCCTCACGATCACGACCGCGGCCTTTGCCCTCACTGGGCTCGAATTCCTTAGCCACGGTGTTTAGTAGAGTAGTGCAGCGGCGACCAATTTCCACGGGCGTGCGACTGAGCATAAAGAAATCGAATCGGAACAGAGGCGAATCACGAATCTCGTCGCGGATCTTTTCATATAAATCCTCACCCTCGACTCCGTACTTGTCCAGCATGATTAACAAAAATCGGTCCTCATCCTCAGTATAGACCTTCTTATTGGTGGTGGACACAGTGTAGTTGATTTTGAGCTGCTGAAGCGGCACGCGGTACATCTCCAACTTCTTGCGGAGCATCTTCCGTTGGTGATCCATCTTGCGCACCTTCTCCTCGCCCTGTTCGATGACTCGGAGGTACTTGGGATAGTCCTGGATCTCGGTGTATCGGCGCCAGAAGACCTCGGCATATTCCTTAATTTCATTGGGCTCCTTGCTGTCCACCTCAGTAGCAATGCCCTTGTAGTCGGTGCGGCCAAACTTGGCAGATCCATTGATAAATTGCTGGAAGTCACGTCGGTTCCAGGTGGCAAAGCCTTCTTCTGACATACGAGCTTTCTCGGCTTGCTCCTCCTCAGTAAGCGGGACAGAGTTGTCAATCTCCTGTTGTTCAAGGTCCCGCTCAGCCTCTCGCTCACTGAGCTCCTCTTCGGGGCCTTCTGGTAATTGAGCCTTGTAACCAATTTCCTTGTGGAAATAGGCCGTTTCCTTCTCTTGAAGCTCATGGAGTCCAGGAGGGAAGAATTGCCAGTCGTGGACAGTGATTTGTTTAGGGGCACGGGGGACTTTGGGCTTTGTATCGGCGGTTCGGCCTCCAGTGGCCAAGGCTTGGCGGTAGTACTTGTCGATGGAATAAAATTGCTCTTTGCGCTCACGCTTGGCGGGGTTGATCCAACTAATACCAATGTCCTTCTTCCGCTCGGTGAAATCTTTGCCGTTCCATTCATACGCACTCTCAGAGGAGAACTTCTGCAAGTCATCAATGCCGAGTGTCTCGTACTTCTTGCTGAGCTCTGCAGTTCGCTCTTCACCTTTCCGCAGGATAGTCTCGATATCCTCATCCTCAGCGAGCTCGGTTGCATCTCCACCCTTGGTGTTGAAGACGTCAGCAGCACCGTGCTGAATCATGCCAAGGAGGTCCTCTTTTGAAGATGCTTTGCCAGCCTGTTGTCCGGAACGGCCCTGTTGAATGACAAGCTGATCCAAACGCAGTTTCTGAGCTGCTCGCTCTAGAACCTTCTCTTCAATGGCGTTCTCTGTAATGAACCGGAAAACCTTGACCTGCTTGGTTTGACCAATACGGTGGGCTCGGTCCATGGCCTGCAAATCAGCTTGCGGGTTCCAGTCACTATCAAAGAGAACCACGATATCGGCTGTGGTCAAGTTGATTCCCAGACCACCCGCTCTTGTGGTGAGAAGGAAAACGAATTTGTCAGATCCGGGTTTATTGTAGTCATCAATGGCAGCAATACGGTCCTCATGGGCCGTGGTACCATCGATACGGCAGTAGTTGTAGTCTCGGAAAACACAGTAATCTTCCAAGATATCCAATACACGACTCATCTGAGAGAAGATAAGCACACGACTACCATCCGCTTGCATGCGCTTCAGAAGTTTGTCCAGAATGACCATCTTTCCCGAGTTGAAAACAAGATGCTCGTCAGTCGTATACGGAGGACCTGGCTCAGCTCCCTCGAACAGGTAGGGGTGGTTGCAACACTTCCGCAGTTGCATGACGATGTTCAACAGGCGGGTCTTGGACTCGCGCTTCCCAGCGGCGCCGTTGACAGCGTCAATATCCTTCTCCAGAATTTTTTGGTACCACCTCCGTTGCATTTCAGACATTGGGACATAGAGATTTAGTTCTTTCTTCGGCAGCAAACTCTTCTCGACATCACTCTTCACACGTCGAAGCAAGAAAGGGCGCAGAACACGGTGGAGCTGCTGTACGACGGTGTCTTGGTCAGAATCTTGGTTGGAGAACCACTGGTCAAATGCCTCGGAGTCACCGAAGACATCTGGAAGAAGGAAGTTGAGCAAAGCCCACAGTTCATGCAAATTGTTCTGTAGTGGAGTACCCGTAATCAGCAAGCGATTGCGGGAGTTGAAAAGGCGAATAATTTGCGACAATGATGATTCTTCGTTTTTGATCCGATGGGCCTCGTCGATGATAATGTATTCCCAAGCAAACTTCTTCAGATGAGACTTCTCGCGGAGGATCATTTCATAACTGGTAATGCAAACATCAAACTCCTCCTCGACTAAGCGCTCATTGATCAACTGCTGTCGCTCTTCTTTGTTACCTTGGAGCACCAGGACATCGATGTCAGGGGTCCACCTTGCGAACTCGCGCTTCCAGTTGTCCAGAGTTGATTTCGGTACGACAACCAAATGAGGCCCGTTGATATCACGAATGTAACGTAGATAACCCAGGAACGAAATCGTCTGCAAGGTCTTGCCGAGACCCATCTCATCGGCCAGGATACCGGAAATACCGTTCTCGTGTAGCGAAACGAGCCAGTTCAAACCAGCAACCTGGTAATCACGCAGTTCACCGTGAATGAATGCTGGCGATTCTCGGAAGACGGTGGTGCTATCGCCGCCCTGCTTCTCATCTTGCAGCAGCTCTGCGTCTTCTTCTTGTTCAGTCCTGCGGCGCCGT